GGTCTAAAACCAGGTCTAAACCAGGTCTAAACCGGGTCTAAAACCAGGTCTAAACTATGTCTCAAACAGGATTGAACAGGACTAAACTATGTTGTGTGGACCGGGCTGCTCCTCTTCTATCAATACTATTTTTAATTTGGTTAAGTAAAGTCTGGGCTTTTTATTTTCTTTTAGCAGATAAAACAGCTTATGTGAAGATTTCCTCGTTTTTGCTTCTCTCCAGCAAACCAGGTAATCCAAAGTATTCAGATTACATTACTCACCTTAAGTGACTTAATGGATTCCGTTACAAACTACATTTTGGGATCTGTAATCTGTAATCTGTAGGGGAATACATTTTAAAAGTAACCTTCCCAACACTGTGTTGGGAAACGCCGCAACAAATACAAATGCCACAACACATTAAAAAGCCACAACACATTAAAAAGCCACAACACATTAAAAAGCCACAACACATTAAAAAGCCACAACACTTTAAAAAGCCACAACGGAAGTGACCGCGGGACTCTATTTTCCGACGGACCGATCAAGGGGCAAGTGATGAAGAAGAACTACAACGTGAAACGAATAATGATAAAACAATAAATTACTTTTACTTACATTTCCAACTTTTCTGTTCCTTTACTTTTCACACTGTAGTTCTTCTTCTTCACTTGACGCTTGATCGGTCCATCGGAAAATAGAGTCCCGCGGTCACTTCCGTTGTGGCTTTTTAATGTGTTGTGGCTTTTTGATGTGTTGTGGCTTTTTAATGTGTTGTGGCATTTGCGTTTGTGTTGTGGCGTTTGTGTTTGTTGCGGTGTTTGCGTTTGTTGTGACCCCTCTCAGCTTCCGTGGGGATAAACACAGTAATACAAATCTTGCATTACAACCTTAAAAAACATAAGACACACACTCTTCCACTGATCTCACAGTGAACAAACATCAGGCTGTGAAAAGATTTTTACTCTGCAAAATCCTCATTATTACAAAGCTCTATATTGACTTGTAATATTCAAAAAAGCAGCTATACACTTACGTTTTTTTTTTCACATTTCTCAACTGACAGGAGGTCAGGACTTTCACATGGATGACCTGGGTTCAAATCCCTTCTGACTATGATTTTTTATTTATTTTTTGCAACATATAATTAAAGAATACAAACATTACGTGGAACATACAAAGAAAATGTAGTTGATCATGCACATTACCTGTAAATGTCATGCAAAATGTTCACTTTATCTTTACTAGTTTTTCATAATATAGTTGTATGAGAAAAATGCAAAAGGGGGACACTTTCAGGAGTAAACCACATGACACATATTAACCTTATATAAAGATTTACTACAAAGACACTGGTAAATTCTTTTTTTTTCTTTTTCCATTTTTTCCCCATATGGGGTAACATGGGCCCTTTAACTGTTTATGACTTACTGCTATGAAGTATTGACTCTGAGACCATGGAGGGTTTATTCGTGAGGTATATTGTGGTGACGACATGTAAAAAAAAAAACAACTTTCCTTGCTGCTAGGCTTCTCATGGCTGTACAGTTGCAGTCGTTCAAATATTATAAAGTACAAAAGCAGTACTCAGGAGATAAATGCACTATGAACATAAAAGTACAACAAACGTCTGATTTGTAAAACATTTTGGAAGTTGAATTGTATCGCGTTGACAATTTTTGTATGTTGGAATATAAGGGTAAGATCTGAGCGTGGTGTGGTTTCAAGGCCTCGATCTAAAAGATTGTTCTGCTCTGTCGGTCTCATGGTGACAGTCATGCAAAACGTGTGTGTGTGTGTGTGTGTGAGTGTGTGAAAGTGTGTGAGAGTGCACTCGTGGTCAGGTCCCATGGTGCTAAGAAAATCAAATGAGGTGTTGGTGTAATGAGTTTAAAGAGAATGAAGTACTATGCAAAATCAGCTTTTTGGAGTTGTTTCCTCTTCAAAAACATGTCTGAAGAGGTGTGAGAGTCATCCATGCGTGTTTGAGTAATTTAGCGATCTCTCCCGGGCCCTATTTGAACCCTCCTTATTTTTAGCAGTATGATCCAATGCCCCTACAAGCCTCCTGCATGTCACCACACAACTAGTTTCCATAAATACAGAAAATATACTACAAACCTGCTTATTTCTATGCAGATGTCACTGCTCTGCCTTGAATGTTCCGCAGTATGGCATTCAACAGCTCTATCTTACATTTATCCAATTACAGGTTTTGAGAGGGTTTGAGAGTTAAAGAGGCCATTTTTTTGTTAGGAAAGACAGTCCATCTTTGAACAGAAATGCAGGCCTCAGACATCAACTAACCTACACTTAACACTGGGAGCGATTTTAATTGAACAAGTTGAAACAAGTAGAAAATGTCTCCCACAGTGGTTGCTCAAAAATCTAGTACAGTCATTAGTTCTTTCTCAGATGGATTATGCATCTGTCATTTGGTCAAACACATGTGAAAATAACTTGTACAGGTTACAAGTCGCTCAGAATAAAGCAGCGAGGCTTGTTTTGAGCTGCCCATATAGAACTAATATAATCATAATGCACAATGAGTCGGCCTGGCTGACTGTAAAATACAGACTCAAGCACCATTTATTAACTTTTATTAGAAATATCATTTTAACTAAAATCCCAGAAATATTTTATTACAAATTAGTGTTTTTCTCAGATACCCACAATTATTAAACTCGTCAAAGCCAAAATATAAGTGGTGTGCTTCCTGTGTGCAGAATCAATCAAATGCAGCGGACTGTTGGTTATTGAGCCATAGTTGCATGGAACACACTGCCAGCATTTTTGTTGTTTGAAAACAACAAAAAGCTATTTAAAAAAAAAGTTAAAACTGTTCCTTTTTACACAATGATTAGTTACTGTTTATGTATGTATTATTGTTATTGATATCTGTTTTAATTGTTGTTTATTTTTACTTTTTATTTATTACTTTTCCTATAAATTGAGCTTTCATGTCTTGTTATTGTGTGTGTGTTTGTGTGTGTGGGGGGGGTGTTTGAGTGGGTGGGTGTTTGGGTGGGTGGGTGTTTGGGTGTTTGGGTGTTTGGGTGGGTGGGTGGGTGTTTGGGTGTATGGGTGGGTGTTTGGGTGGGTGGGTTTGGGTGTATGGGTGGGTGTTTGGGTGGGTGGGGGTTGTCTCTGTGTGTGAAGTTTATGTGTTACACAACAATTTCTATGTAATGAATTTGAGGAGACCCCAGGAAGAATAGCTACTGATGTTTCAGTAGCTAATGGGGATCTTAATAAACTAAACTAAACTAAACTGTCTCCTATTTACAACTCCATCCTTAAACCTAAAACAAAGAGAACAACAGAAGGAACCAGGTCAGGACCAGAGGTGTGAAAACTCTTACTATGGGCCTGAATGATTTTGCCAATATGACCCCGCACTTGGTACAGATGAATAGGTTGAGCTAACTAACAAACTGTAAAACAAGTAGGGTTAAAAACAAGTAAGTCAATCCCTCAGTCGTCCAGGTAGAGTCCACGGCAAAGGGAGAAATTCAGTTTGTCAACTGGACAAACGTTTATTTGTTTGAATATGTTTTGCAACTTATCCAAGCTGCTTCTTCAGTTCTGGTCAGTTCCTTCACTTCCTTATATCTGCCTAAAGGGAGGAGCTAACTACAATGAAACTACTCTGAAACAAACACATCTACTTGTTTACAGTTTCTGTTTGTAGCTCGGTCTGTTGAACTCGCACTGAGTGTGGGGTCATTAGCAGAATCCTTCACGGCCATAATAAGTGCTTTCATACCTCTGGTCCTGACCTGGCTCCCCCGTTGTTCTCTTTGTTTGTTTTGATTTAGGCTTGACAGATGTCTGAGTCCTCCATTTCTGATAGGACCTCATTTCCTAGTGAGCCAGTGAGTATTGGAGACGTGCGGAGACCCTTTTTAAAATATTCCATCCAGTCCTTGTATTTGCAGAGGTCACTGGTGCTAGACTAGTGCATGTCAATCGTCATAGTTATCCTGTCTTACCCACTCCACAAAACACCCGAAACAAATCTATTATTACACCAGACTGTCCATGTGAATGTCTGTGTTGATAGAATAATGTTTGAAATAAAACTCACCTTGCATCACATGAATCGTCACATGTTGAGGAACTGTTTTCTCATATATCAGTCCACCACTTTCTATCAGGAAGTACAACTCACTGCTGCTGCTCAGACATAAATCCTTCAAATATAAGGTTGGTTTTACTTCTAAAATTATTCAACACAACACAGACATTCACATGGACAGTCTGATGTAATAATTGTTGCCTCTGGTGTTTTGTGAAGTGGGTAAGACTGTTTTTAGTGGCAGGATAACTATGGCCATTTAGTCTAGCACCAGCGACCTGCAAATACAAGTACTAGATGGAATATTTCAAAAAGTGTCTCCACACGTCTCTAACAGTCTGGATCACGAGGAAATGAGGTCCTATGTCCAAAATTCTGAACTGTCCCTTTAGGAAGGATTCTCTCACAAAAATAGCTTACTTACTTGTAAACAAGTACATGTCTTAGTTTCAGACTAGTTTCAGTGTAGTTAGCCCCAGCTCCCTTCAGGCAGATATAAGGAAGTGTCCACCAGCGTCTGACCAGAATTGAAGAAGCAGCTTGGATGAGCTGCAAAATGTTTTTGACCTAAATAAACGTTTGTCCAGTTGACAAAACTGAATTACTCCTTTGCCATGGATTCTAACTGGACGACTGAGGGATTCTACACACAATTACAGGTGGTTTTATGGCTCAAAAATACCTAGAAAAACATTCTGACTGTGAGCAGAGTCACCTCTCCACAGATCTGTAACTTGGTCTGATTTGGTCTCCATGGAAATGCCATACTGTGGAACATTCCAGACAAAGCAACAACATCTGCATGGAGAAAAGCATTTGACAGACCTTCCACCAGAAAAGTTACACAATGCACCTTCAAGAAGAAATTCTCCCAAGTCTTATTTGTATTAAGTCATGTTTAATTTCAGAATTTCAAATGTTCTTTTTAATTTGTGTCCAGATTCCGACTCCAGACTGGTGCTGTTCGGCCGAGCGCTGAGGTCAGAGGTCAAACTGGATCCTCTAATGATGCTGGGGACGAACTACAAGGTACTACAAAGATACCACTGTGTTAAATTACACATTTTTACAGTCAAAATCACTCTTCACACTGTCAGAGAATTTGAAATATAAGCAGCAGTTCTTAAAAGGCCATTTATTACACTGTTTTCTAATCAATACTTTCCAGTTCAAAGCCGCACTACTTAATATTCGAAATACTTTGACTTCAATAAAGTAGCGGAGTTGAAAGTACTAGAACCTGCTCTTAAATGATTAAATACTTTAGATTGTACTTAATTTTTTGGTACTTTTGTACTGGGGTGAGACACATTTAGCTCAAATACATGGGACAAAATGTGGGTCAAGCGCTTTGAGGAGATCACTGTTTCTCATTCATACTGAGTGATGATGGGCTGTAGTTTGTGTTCAGGAGCAGAAGTGCAGATGGAGAGCCGTGGTTTACAGAAGAGACATATTTATTACAAGTGCTTGGCTCCTCTAACTCACTGTGTAAATGTTGTGTTCAAATGCTGTGTGTGTGCTCCGGTCCCGCGTGTGGAAGTGAATAGTGGGTCATATTTATGGAGTTTGAAATCAAAAACAGTTGTATTTCTTTCCCCAGTCTGAGCTTCAAACTACAACCACAGTTTTTTATTGATATAGAACTGACTCTCTTAACATCTATTTTAACATCTATCTTTACATCTATACATCTATACATTTATCTATATATTTACCTATCTATACTATCTATATAGCTATCTATACAGGTATGTATCTATCTATCTATACATCTATACATTTATCTATTTATCTATCTGTCCATCTATACATGTATCTATCTGTCTATTTATCTCTCTATCTATACATCTATCTTTACATATATGCATCTGTCTATACATTTATCTATCTATTTATCTATCTGTACTTCTACATATCTACTGTATCTATACATCTATACATCTGTCTATACACCTCTGATCCTCTGTGATGTCCTCACACGCAGCATCCTGGTCTTGAGTCCGATGTTCATACATTCTCCACCTCCACATGGAAAAAACTCCTCAATTGGATTGAGGAAATGAGAGTCTGGTGGTAGTAGCTCCATGAGCATCATTGGATGTGGAGTGAACCAGACCCTGATGAGCCACAGTGGAAATTCACACTGTCCCACATGATCACATAATGTGAGAGGAAGTTCTAATTTCACCTGACTGACAAATACTGTCATCAATTTATCAAATGTTACCCCCCAAAAAAATCATATATGGTGTTCATGGTATTTTGTTCTTGACTGATTTTGACAACTGAACAGACTGTTGTGCAGATGATGACTTAGATGATGAAATGATGCTGACATGTTTTGGAGAGAACAACCATCAGACTGAGAATCAACTCATCAGTTTAGATCAGCAAGATTTATTTATTTGGACAATGTGCTAAATGTGGCTCATTGTGTTAACTGTAGGTGAACTGTACAGAACCATGTGCAAAGATGCACTGAGACACTTGCACAAAGACATTTACAATTTGAGGAAATCAATGAGAAATGTCATTCAACAACTGCAAGGTGGTTTGAAGATTTGTCAGTTTTTTGAGAATGTCATTTCTGTTTCAAAAAATGAGCCAAACCAATGGAGAAAACCTGTAATCTATCTGTCTGTCTATATACCTATATATCTATCTGTATACCTATCTGTATACTTGTCCATCTGTACATGTATCTATATAGAGCACTGGCTGTAGAACTCTCCATTAAAACCACCTGAGCTGATCACTGACCATTAGAAACCTCTGTCTGTAGTCAACTTGGAATTATTTCACACTTCAGTTTGTATTTAACTTGTATTTAATGAAGAGACGAGACGGAGCATTAGAGGAAAGGACAGAAGGCGGGGATAGGTGGAAGTATACGTATACACATATACACATATACACATATACACATGTACACATCCATGGTGTATTTACGTCTGTTGTTGTTTACAGTGTTCTAGTGTCACATGACCACACCTCAGACTGACCTCTCTCCCCGTGTGCTGCAGGTCAGCAACATGCTGGACGACTCATTCCCCGCGAGGGACTTCCATACGGTGGTGAAGCCCGCTATCGACAATCTGATTGGCCAAGAGATGACCTTTGACATCCTGTACCACAACAGCGAGCACCAGGCCACGCTGCTGCGATACGGAGTCAAGAAATCCCAACAGGTGTGTGTGTGCTCACGGGCGACTGGAGAGCTGCCCCTCCACCGTCACTCACACGTGACTGAAGACTCTAGATTACACTACATGGACTCTTGTACATCTGGAGCTCTGTTTTGTTTCATACACACATGTTTGAGTAACTCTTGTACTTTAATGCTCTGTGCCACCTTGTGATGTCATGCAGTGGTAGTTTTCATCTTAATAGCTACTTCTATTTTCAACTTAATAGCTCTATCTATCTAAACATCTATACATTTATCGATCTCCTATCCATCTGTCTGTCTGTGTGTCTCTCTCTCTCTCTCTCTCTCTTTCTATCTATTTATACATTTATCTATCTCTCTATCTGTCTGTCTCTATCAGTCAATCAATCAGTCAATCTATCTATCTATCTATTTATACATCTGTCTCTCTCTATCCGTCTGTCTCTCTATCAATCAATCAGATAGATAGATTGATTGACTATCTATTTATACATCTATCTCTCTATCCATCTGTCTATCTATCTATCTGTCCCTCTATCCGTCTGTCTGTCTATCAATCTATCTATCTCTCTATCTATCTATCTATCTATCTATCTATCTATCTATCTATCTATCTATCTCTCTCTCTCTCTATCTATCTATTTACGCAGCTATCTCTCTATCCATCTATCTATCTATCCCTCTATCCGTCTGTCTGTCTATCAATCAATCAATCAATTAGTCAATCTATCTATCTATCCATCTATCTATTTATACATCTATCTCTCTATCCGTCTGTCTATCTATCTGTCTGTCTCTCTTTATCTATCTATCTATCTATCTATCTATCTGTCTATTTATACATCTATCTATCTCTCCATCCATCTGTCTGTCTATCTATCTGTCTGTCTCTCTATCAATCAATCTATCTGTTGATTTTATGTTCCAGTATAGTTCTACAGCGTGTATCTAGGCCCACTGTGGTTTTTTTAATTTATTTATTTATTTATTGTGCTGACAATGTAGTGCCTTTTTTCTTCTTCTTTTTTTTATGTAGGTATAAACCAGGTCAAAACATTTGCATTTTTATAGTTTAAAAACAACTCCACCCAAATCCTCCCCAGCTCCGTCTCATTCTTGTGTGTATATGTGTGTGTGTGTCTGTGTGTGTGTGTGTGTGTGTGTGTACTTTCCCCCTGCCTCATTCTGACACTGTGTACATATTTTGTGTAACAGATTGAGAAGATCTACGAGCACATCATGCATACGTGGAAGAAAGAGTTTGAAGCAAAGACGCTGTGAAGAGTCGCCACTAGAGGGAGACATTTTCCACCAAAGCCACTCTGACCTGACGTGCACTTTGACTCATCACGCGTTTGCTTCAGATTGTACCACATTTTTATTTGAATAACAGGATATGAAAGCATGTACTTATGAACTGTGTCGAACATGAACAGAAAATTGCCTATAAAAGTGCTACATGGTGGTAGTATGTAAAAATAAAGTGACCAGACGTCCCTATTTACCGGAGACAGTCTCAGTTTTGAGCCTGTGTCCCCTGTCCCAGTGGATTTATACAAAACCAGTGATTTATTCTAGTTTTATACAAGAAATGTCCCAGGTGTTCCAATTTTTGACCAATTTTACCTTTACCAACAGTAAAGAGAGCCATAAATTGTAATTTGTTTGGGTACATTTTTTTAAAAGCTAAAAATGACCAAAACAGAAAGAAAATGTGACTATACTGACTGACATGTTTGTCATGAATGGTCTCTGCAGAACAATTTTCCTTAATTATGGACAAGTTTCACAATTTTTAAAAAGTTTTTTATTTTGAAAAATCTAGTCACCCTATGCAAAAAGTAACTTTAATCTGATACTAACCTTCATCATGTTTCTTGTCATTTCCTAACTTGCATTAAAGTTTTAACACTGTAAATGACCAATCACTGTATTTTCTATTTCTTTCATCGACTGCAGAGGTGGGACTTGAGTCAGACTTGAGTGACTATTTTTAGGACTTGAGACTTGATTTGATAAAATGGACTAAGACTTGGGACTCGACTTGGACTTGAAGATCAGTGACTTGACTCAGACTTGAGGCCTGTGACTTGAGAAGACTTGAGAAGCACTTTTAAATCTGAATTCTTACTATTCTGACCATAATGATTCACACTAAGATCTTGTCAAAACATTTCAAAAGGAAAAATTTACTAAATTAATGTCTACAAGTCTTTAGGCGGCACGGTGGCTGAGTGGCTAGCACTCATGCCTCATAGCAAGAAGGTTCTGGGTTCAATCCCCGGGTCGCCCGGGCCTGTCTGTGTGGAGTTTGCATGTTTCTCCCCGTGTCTGGATGGTTTGCTCTGGTTCCCCCAAAACATGCTACATATGTCTGCATAAACAGTTGACAGTCAAGGTCAGTTAAATACAATCAATTCAATTATTGTGTCCTTAGGTAAGATACTTCACCCACATTGCCTAGTATGAAAGTGGTGGTGGTTGGAGGGACCATTGTCGCCAATTGACATGGCAGCCACGCTTCTGTCAGTGTGCCCCAGGGCAGCTGTGGCTACAAAAGTAGTTTACCATCACCAGGTATAGAGTGAATGAATAATGCTGTGTAAAGCGTATTTGGGGACAGAAAATGTCTGTGAAAGCACTATATAAATAAAGACTTACTTATATACTCTAAAAAAATCACTGTATATTTGTATATGAGTATTTATAAAGTATAATTTATCTTAAAATTAATTTACATTACAAAATTCTAAGCTATATTTGGTACTTTGGTTTAAGAATTTGAAATGAAGCCCAAAGCAGACGACTTGGACTTGACTTGGACTTATGGGCCAGTGATTTGAGACTCGACTTACACTTGCTTGAATTTAACTTGGGACTTGACTAGGACTTGAGGACTTGACTTGCGCTTGCTTGTTTTTGATTTGGGACTTGACTCGGACTTGAGGACTTGACTTGCACTTGCTTGTATTTGACTTGGGACTTGATTTGGACTTGAGGACTTGAGACTCGACATGCACTTGCTTGTTTTTGACTTGGGACTTGACTCGGACTTGAGATCAAAGACTTGGGACTTATTTGAGACTTGCAAAACGACTTGGTCCCACCTCTGCTAGATGGTGGTAGTAACAGTGGATTTATCCAAAACCATTCATTTGTTCTAGTTTTATACAAAAAATGCCCCAGATTTCCCTATTTTTGAACAATTTGACCTTTACCAACTGTAAAGACACACATAAATTGTAATTTGTTTAGATCAAATTTAATAAAATCTGCTTAAAAATGACCAAAACACAAACAAAATGTGACTATACCGACTCACATGTTCGTCACGGTCTCTGCATATAAATTTTCCTTAATTATGGACTCATTTCACATTTTTATTATTACCAATTTTTATTAAAAAATGTGGTCACCCTATGCAAAAAGTAGCTTTAATCTGATACTAACCTTCATTATTTTTCGTGTCTTAACCATAACATTTCCTAACTTACATTAAAGTTTCATCACTGTGAATGACCAGCCACTATATTTTCTATTTCACTTATCGACTGTATAAATAAAGACATAAGAAACCTGGTAACTGCTGCATTACAAATAGGGACAGCCTCAATGAGCTTCATTTGACTGTCCAACTCTTCTTTATACAGTTGAAGGTGCACATTCGTGAGCTCTTTGTTCGAGTCGTGTATCTTGTAATAAACTCCTTTTTACCTGTTGTATTTTTTCTGAATACGAGTGTGTGTATATGTCGGGTTCACAAGAAAACAGAACACGTGGAAACAAAAAATTTATTACACTTTAAATCGACAATAATTAGTATCCATAAGAACCGTGTTTAAATACCGTATTTTAACAAACCTATATGTACACACCACTATAAACATGTTGAAAAGAGACCCGAACATTCACGTAAAGACAGATTTGTAACCATCATTGTAACACCTCCAGTTTGGTTCTTTTAAAGGCACTGGGCTAAAACTAACAGGCTAAAGCTAACAGAGTATAAAGGCACAAACCCACAGTCCAGTGCTGCGAAAAGGAAAGACAGAAGTAAAAAAACAAACAAAAAAAGAAACTAAAATCAACTACATTCAGTATGTGTTCTTCTGCTCATCAATGTGCTGTTTCTGCTCAATGTAAATTTCCGCAGTATGGCTTTTTGCATCAATTCAATAAACTTCATTTGTCATTATGTTTTAAGTGCACATGACAGTAGTTACAAGAGTTAATGTTACACTAGTGTTGGGTCTTTCTGGTGCAAATCTGTTGATATGATGATAAGGGATAATAACTGACAGTAAACCATTAAATGTAATCATGTTTAGTCAAAGATAGAGTGACCAGATTATCAAATAAAAAAATGGGACATCCCTGGTTTGGGTTGGTTGGTAATAATAAAATTGTGAAACGAGAGCGTAATTAAGGAATTAAAGAAAATTGTTCTGCACTTGGCACTAATGTGAGTCAGTATAGTCACATTTTCTTTGTTTTGATCATTTTTAAGCAGCTTTTCTGTACTTTACTGAAACAAATAATAATTTATGCTTCTCTTTACTGTTGGCAGGGATCAAATTGGTCCAAAATAGGGACACCAGGGACATTTTTTGTATAAAACTGGGACAAATCAGTGGTTTTAGATAAATCTGTTGGGACAGGGGACACAGGGCTCAGAACTGGGACTGTCCCAGGGAAGTAGACATCTGGTCACACTATGAGCTCAAATGTTGAATAAAACTGGACAAATCAGCTGATTTTGGTCCGTCTCCACAGAGGAGGTAAAGTCAGGAGTGGAAGTTTGGTAGAAGGGTTTCACCTGAGTTCCTGAGTTGTTTTTCCAATTTGTGCGAGTGTTGGTTTGCAGGACCACATGAACACATAAGTGTTACCTAGCAACCATGATGTTAACAAGGGTCAAAAAGTGTCTAAAATGCACAAATGGTTGTGATTAGACTAATAAACATAAATCACTTAAATAAATGAAGGTTTAAACCAGAGGTGGGCAAACTACGGCCCGGGGGCCATATGCGGCCCTTTAATCTTTTTAATCCGGCCCACCAAACTTGAATAATAATGATAATATAATAATTTTCAATTTCAAATTTCAATAATTTTCAATTTTAAAAGTAATTTCAATAAATAGTAAATACTGTGAGACTGATATTTTGTTGTAATGAGTTTCAATGATGAGATATTTTAATGTTCAATATGTTTTCTACATATCCCATGTTATTTTTTCTCTTATGAGGATTCATCAGCTCCTGGTCTGACCCTTCTGTCAAATTTTAGAACTCTTTGTGGCCCACAACTCAAAAAGTTTGCCCACCCCTGGTTTAAACTGTCATAAAAATTCCTTCCTTGTGTATAAATTGTCACTTTTGGATGGGATTTTTAGTGTTTCTCTATTCTTCTACTTTTATACTTGACTCAGCTTTTTACCACACCACGAGTACTATCCCACCAAACAAAGTATTAATAATAAAAACATGAAAGCTGTCATATGCACTTCAAACTCGTCCTTCCATTAGAATAAGCAGCGTATAATCTTTACATTATTCACAACAAACGTGCCGAGTAACAGTGATTCAGCAGTAGAGTAACGTCGCTCTGGTCCACACAGTGTTTCATCATGACTTACATTTAAAGAGAAGATCTTCAAGCATGCACCAGATTGGACTGAAAAGATGTAGTGTGACCTGCCACCACGTTAGGATTTTTGCAATTAGGGATTCACTTTAAAGAAGACATATTGTGCTTTAAGACACTCGTGGATCATTAGGTTATAATTTGCACATTTTAAATCGCAATGTTGATCTAAACGATTTAATAAAAGAAACAAGTGAAATAATTTACAGGTTGGGAATTGTGGTGTCCAATGAGGTATACTCTGTAAAAGTCATCGCAAAGTTCTGCTCTGCTGGGCCATGCTCCAAGTCCCTCCTATGGAGCCCACGCATATCACTGAATGTTTCACTTTCACTCATTTTGCTCTCTATGCCAAGTCGCTCCCCTTTCAGAGTACCACAATCAGCGTGCATCCCGCTAATGAAACTACTGCACATCACATCAGGTTTGTTGCTGTGTACAGTTTTTGTATATTTATGGAGAATTGGGAGCATGGGTGTGGGCGGAGCTAACAGTAAGGAGGCCAATGAGGTTCATTTGGTCTTCTGATATTTTATGTTATTAGGTTCTTTTTTCAGACCTAGAGTTTTGTTTCATACCTGACAGTTTCGACTGCTCACTTAGCGTCAAAACCTGTTTAAATCAGTTGACCAGACACGTCACAGCAACATCACATGACCACTCTGAGGAGGAGCACTAGTGAGCAGTCGAAACTGTCAGGTATGAAAACAAAACTCTAGGTCTGAAAAAAGAACCTAATAACATAACAGTAATGAGGGGTTGGAAAAGGGCCCAGGAGAGATCACTAAATTACTGAAACATAGAGCAATGACATCTAAAATCTCTTCAGGCATGTTTTTGATGAGGGAACAATAGTACACATTATGCACAAAACTGCATAATAGCCCCTCTTTAAGAAAATTAAACAGGAGAACGAAGTAAAGAGCAGTGATCGGAGCAATGACGTCCTGAATACAGGAGAATAAAGATCACTCCAAATACAACTCTGAGAGGGTCAATGAGAAGTTAAAAACAAGTGACATGGTTAAAAGCTCTGAAAAGTCGATTTTGCACAATATGTCCCTTTAAATGATCCGCCAGTGTATGAGCTAGTCCTTCACACAGACTCCTGCCAGGGGGCGCTGTGAGGTCAGTTTCTGCTGAAGGCTCCCTGGGCAGCGCTGGAGGCGGCGCTGGAGGCAGCGGTCTGGAAGGTGCGGTTGGTCAAGACGCCCTGAGAGAACTCCTGCTGGGCCTTGGTGAAGCTGGCCCCTGTCCTCCGGTACTTAGAGTGCACCTAGAACACACACACACACACACACCAGCAGGTTTAGAGAGGAACAGGAAAGACTGGAACAATAAAGGAAAAGCAGGTCTAATAATATGAGCAGAAGACCAAGAGGAGCACATTCACCTGAAATATATGACTGAGAAATGAATCGATTTGATTTGGTGAAAAATAATGGCATGAAAACAAAAGTCAAACTTTAAATGACTGAACCAAGTGTTGTTGTTTTGTTTGTTTTGTATTGTATGTTTTATATTTTTTGTTTATATTGTTTCCCTCGGGCTGAGAGTCACTTGTCCCATTTGTGAGGAAACATTCAGTGTTTCAGGAAGCAAGGAAGAAATACAACATACACGACCAGGACACACCTCTCATTCAATGTTTTTTTTTTAACAAATTTTTATACAAACACAAGACAAGGATTTATATTTGAATCCTTGCTGCACACCGTTGACCTCCTCTCAATGAGGTCACCTGAAATGGTTTTCACTTCACAACTCTGCTGTGTCAGGGTCATGAAATACCATAGTGCAAAGCAGTGAAAATATATAAAACAAATGTTGTTATATTGAGTTTAATTTTTGCTTGCTACATTCCAAGTGTCATTCATAGTTTTGATGACTTCAGTGAGAATCTACACTGTAAATAATCATGAAAATAAAGACTAAACGTTAAATGAAAAGTGCATCCAGACTTTGGACTTGTAGTGAATCTGGATTCAGTCTGACCCAAACCAGCACTTATTACTGCATATACTGTAAGTAGTGTAAGTACTATAAGTAGTGTAAGTAGTGTTTATGATGTCATGTGAGGGTGTGGTACCATTTTGAGGAGGATGACGCCCAGTACAGAGTTGACAGTGAAGAATCCTGCCACCACCATCATGGTGACAGCCACAGCCAGGTTCTGCTGGATCATGCTGATGGCTGCGATCCAGCCGCTGTCAAACACACACACAAACACACAAACACACAAACACACAAACACACACACACAAACACAAACACACAAACACAGTCATTATAGTTAGATTAAGTAACTTTGGGGCTGTATTAGCTCTTTTTGTTAGACTGAAATAAGAGACAGAGGCAGAGCCTGCTCTTTCAAATGTTCAGTGGTGAAATCCACAAAGAAAAAAGTTTGTGTTGGCATGAAGAAAGCAGCAAGGAATTAGAATTTAATGATACAACAGTTTAGACTGCATGATATGATACAGGCTCTCATCTACCTGTCCCCCCAACTGTCCCCCGGCTCTCACCTGTTGCCCCAGCCAGGGATGCCCACCGTCTGGATGATGTACACCACCACTTGGAAGAAGAAGACAAAGAAAAAGAAGAAGAAGCTGAACGAGCTGTCAGACCTGGAGACAGAGACAAAGATTCAAATAATAAATTAAAGCTCATAAGAGTCAGTTTGGTGTGATATAGGACGTCTGTGTGCACGAGGAGTGTACCTGAACGCCTTGTACACGGGTCTGTACCAGCACACAAAGGCCACAGGGGTGAAGAGCACGAACCACAGGATGGACAGGCCGAAGTCCACCCCGTGTGAGTTGGCGTTCACTGTGAAGTACGCCAGGCAGCCCAGGACGTTCAGGAACAGGGTGGCACTGTGGACTGAGGACAGGAGACCAAGTACAGGGTTAGAACAAGGAAGAACAGATCAAAGTCATAGTTGGGGTTTGGGGTTAAATAAGATGAGGAAGGCACATATAAAATATATAATAACCCGCTATCTGCTACGGTCCACATAGGAAGTGTTCATGGGTCATCATCTCGATTTAAATATTGTGGCTCCTCTCTCTGTAACTGCTGCTGTGAGTCTCATCATTTTGGTCTTAAAATGTTCATATTAACTCACTCTACATGATCCTGGGGGATTTTATTTCACTATTTGTCCACAATATGGAACGGCTCCAAATTTGCCCTTATAACTGCAGGCCTCGATGAGCTTTATTTGACTGGAGCTGAAGGCTGTGGGTGATGTCACACTCCTTTTGTTCACTTCTTTATCTACAGGCAGGAATAATACCGATCTGATCAGCTTGATATAAATACGTTGTTTAAAAAAAAAAAAAAAAACAAAAACATCCTCATTTCAGGGTTCCCACTTTTTCCACCGACAAAATTTCAAAACTTTTCCATTACTTTTTCATGACCTAAAGTGAATTTTCCATGACTTTACAGCACCTACATGTGTAGAACTGATCAGACTTTTAGGGCTACATATGAAATGTGAACTCTTTCCACTCACCTTATGGTTTGGGATTATAGTTTTTGAACATTCAGAATTCAAAACTGTCAGTGCATTTATTATCGTCTCTTTTAAACAAAAGTTGCAGATGTTCGGAAATAATGAGAATAACCTCATGAGAACTTAACAGAACGCTGCAGTTGTGTGAAAGAGATACTAAAATTCCATGACTTTTCCAGGCCTGGATAATGACATTTTAAATTTCCATGACTTGTCCAGGATTTCCATGACTGTGGGAACCCTGCCAATTGACAAATATTAGTTGAACAGTTTGTAATGTGACCAAGGTTCTATGAATTGCAGATGATTTCTTCACAGTAAAAGGGTGTACACAGACGCACATCACCTGGGTGATATGACAAACAATGACTTATCAAAAACAAATGAATTTGATAGTAAATTCCTGAACAGAAACAATACAGTGTAAAGTTAATCATTACCATTTAATACTAAGATAGTGTCATTTCCTCCTCCGCTGTCTTCCCTAAGCTCCAAACCACATGATCTTATCTGTACACCTCCCAGCACCCAAACTGAGCACTGACCATAGGAAAGAACTCGACTTCTTGAAGACTGGGCTAATCGTACAGCTCTGATGTGGCCTATATTCAGTGTTGGGAAGGTGACTTTTAAAATGTATTCTCCTACAGATTACAGATTACAGACCCCAAAATGTAGTTTGTAATGTAATCCATTAAATTACTTAAAGTGAGTAAGACAATAAAAAGCCCAGAGTTTACTTAACCGAATTAAAAATATTATTGATAGAAGATGAGGAGACATGTCCACACAGCATGGTTTAGTCCTGTTAAATCCTGGTTTAGTCCTGGTTTAGACCTAGTTTAGACCTGGTTTTAGTCCTGGTTTAGACCTGGTTTAGACCTGGTTTAGACCTGGTTTAGACCTAGTTTTAGACCTAGTTTTAGACCTAGTTTTAGACCTAGTTTTAGACCTAGTTTAGTGCCCGGCAATGAGTGGAATTATGGGGGGAAAAAAAAAAGGGGGATATAGTCCAAAATGTAAAAACAGGAAAATACCGCTGTGTAATCCATTTATTTCAACAAACTAACTGTAATCCAGTTACCAGTCATTGAAACAGTAACTGTAACTGAATACAGTTACTCATAACTTGTACTCTGATTACATAACTCCGGTACATGTAATCTGTTACTCTCCAACATTGAATATATTAGATGGCTCCTCAGACTGAAGGTGTTTTGGGAGAGTAGACTCCAACACAGATGACAGACCCAAAGTAAAGAGGAGCCTTACACATCCACAGGTAGTACATCCTCCTGCAGATCCTCCTGTACTCCTCTGGGATCTCCTCCTCAAAGTCCTGGTAGAAACACGGCTTCACCGGGAAGAACTTGGGCAGAGGAGGCCAGTTGTTCTCCTTCACTGGAACAGCAAAGCAGAAACATTCACTCTGATTATTGTGTTCTTTCCCAACATCCAAACAGGCTCTGAACTTTAAACCTTACATTTCAATATCTGATAAAAAAAAATGTTTACCAAACCATTCCCACTGTGGCAATTGCTTTTAAAAAAAACTCCCTAGAGTGTTTCATAAAGGTGACTTGCCCTTTGTACTGTAGCAGTCCCTCTGGCTACATCAGACTGGATATTGAAAAGGTGTGGCTCTGTGGCCAGCTCTCAAAATAACCTTTAGTGTTCTAATGACATCACAATTTTGAACAATTCCTATAGATTAAACCTGAGCTGAAGGCCGGGTCAGAATTTCTATGGTCTGCAGAGTTTGCTGTTGAACTGGCTGCAGTTACTTGCGCACACAAAATCTGATTATGCTCACATGTTTGATATTATAAAACTATTCAAAAGGCATGTGAAAAGACAAATCATCCAGTTTCTTTCTGGTCATGGTCCCTCTCATCACTCACGTCAGATTCTGTGATTTGCATTTCATTTAAATCATCTTAAACGTCCAGAAATCAGATTATAATCAGATTTTGCATGTAAACAAAGCCATTGTCAGATTTGTTGACCTGGTTTATCCTTCATATTTCTGTAAATACTGGGCCTGTCCACATGAAACAAACACTGACACAAATATTGCTGTGCAAAAATATCAAAATATTTATATATCAGATCGTTTAATGTGATGATAAAGTATCGATGGGCTGCTGTATCAATATATTGCCAAGAGTATTTTTTGGTATATTTTACTACGTTATTTTGTTACAGCTACACTTTTGTTGCTTGTTTAGTGGAAGGAAACTCATTTATGTGCCATATTTGTCATTTTCACTGTTTTGATGATTAAAATGTTTGTGTTTCATATGAACTTTGCAAAAGAAGTGGTTTAATAAAGACTTTTAGTATCACAGCCACGTTTTAGCCATTTTTTTTACTGAACCGTATCGAATCGATTTGAAATATCAAAGTGCACTTTATCGAGATATGTATCGTATTGTGGCCTATGTATCGAGGTTTGTATCGTATCGAAAACTTCTTAATGATGCGCAGCCCTAAACAGAAAGTTCAGCATCTTCTCTGTCACTATTGTCCTGAAGTCCGCCACACACTACAGGATATTCCAGTCTTAAATGATTTTTATATTAAGTTTTAAGGTTAAACTCATCCTACTCCTTTTGAGCACCAGGTCCCAAATATGTTCATGTAAATATCACTATTTTTATATTGTTTTTGAATTTTGAAATATCTGGCTCAAACAAATAAATACATTTTTTAAACGTGCAACAAAAAGTGCACACCACAGACATGAGGAGAATCATATGAAATTTTAAATCTCTGATCACAAAGACTGCAGCAGGATCTGTCTGCAGACCACAGGATATAAAGTTGTGAACTAACCTCGTGTCAGCTGTTTCCTGTCTACAGTAAAACCACTCACTCTGAGAAAACTACTACTCTACTTCTAGTTTAGATACAAGACAATCTGTGTTATTATTATTTGTGAAATGTGGTGCAAAACTTCAGATACATGATTTTTAAAGCATAAAATATTGGAGATAAAGTCCACAGGAAGTAGAGTCACTATCACTAATCTGCAGGAAGTACTCTCACCTTTTTACTTTTAAAGAACGACTCAAACTGGATTAATAGCATTTCTGTGGACAGGGGGTCATAATTTGCAGGACAAATTCTATGGATAATGTGGATGAGATGCTGCAGTTTAAATATACAGCTTTACAAGAGTCATAAAGTCGCCTCATTCATTTTGCAGTTTCCCGAGTTTATATCTTGTACTTCTGTGTCCGTCATTCCGTCTGCCCCTGACGTTCTGTTTTATTGGCTGTTGACTGAAGCGTTATTGTACCATTGCTGATGTTTGGTGGCTACAATATGACAGAGCAGCTCAGAGTCACACTGACACCACACACACCAGAAGAGCAGCGGCTTCAAAATCACACACAAAGTCAGGTCACGCCTCCCTGAAGTTGGGAAGAAGCAAATCGCAGCCAAAATCAGGCAAATTCTCCTGTAGTGTGTGGAGGCCTTTATATGACAACTTTGTGAAGCTGCTTTCAAACAAATACGGTTAAATTTTTGTGAATCCAGCAAGTTACAGGCTCCTATAGTCCATCTGATCTGTGCCTACCATTTTATCAATGACTTGAGCTGAAAGAAAAAGTAGTGCAGTGTGTAGTGTTCTGATGTGCAGTGTGGCAGGTGCAGTGACAGGTGCAGTGCTTACCTCCAGAGTTGGGTCGTGGTGCACTGCGTGACTCTAACTCTCGTTCTTTCCTCTCCAGCTCCGCCGCCTTCCTCTCTAGCTCCTCCTGCTGTTTGGCCAGACTCGCCGCAGCAGCACTCGCGTTGCCCTACATCAGAAACACAAAGTACTAAAATATATCTTTGTACAGTACATCCATGGTGGGTAAAACATGTATCTAACTAAAAGTACCGTATTTTCCGCACTATTAGGCGCTCTGGATTATAAGGCGTTGAATGGTCTATTTTCAAACTTTTTTCACAAATAAACCGCACCGGACTTTAAAGGAAACCCAACAGTGTGATGGGTGAGTGGTTTTGTTTGTTTGTGGCGTTCACGGTGACTCTGGGCTTTGTTCAGTTGTGGCGTGTAGGGAGGGTGCTGTCTGGGACCAACGGATTGTCGGCGTGTTCACAGTGACTCAGTTGTTCAGTTGTGTCTAGAAGTGGCACATTGCACTCGCTTTTTCGGTTCGTTCCTCCGTTCCGTTCCTCGTCGGTGTGGAGTGATGAGTGTGTCTGTGGGTGTTTGTCGCTGTGCGGTCGCTGTCTGTTCCGTGTGTGTTTGTGTTTTCTGCAGGTGGTGCAGCTTTGCAGTTTACTGAAGTGGTGCTGGGACACCCCAGTGGATTCATGTATAGGGTGTTCTGGATTGTGGGGCGCGCGGTCATTTTTTGATGGGGCTGGAGGCTTTTGAGCGCCAACTATAGTGCGGAAAATACAGTAACTGGTGGAACTTTTAATATTTTGATTTTAATGTTGGAAAAAAAACCTAAACCATATATTCGGATGATGAATGCAGAAATGTGATGATAGTGCTGGATCTGGGTCATATGACAAAAAATATATACTTTTTTCCCCCTTCATATTGATTTATTTTATTCTGTTTTACTAAAAAGAAAAGCTTTAGATTATCTGAGGTAAAAAATGAGTAATACACTGTATGTAATAATGTTGTAAGTATGTTGTATATGCTGTATGTTGTATGTTGTATGCTGTATGTTGTATGTTGTATGCTGTATGCTGTATGCTGTATGCTGTATGCTGTATGCTGTATGCTGTATGTTGTATGCTGTATGCTGTATGTTGTATGCTGTATGTTGTATGTTGTATGCTGTATGTTGTATGCTGTATGTTGTATGTTGTATGCTGTATGTTGTATGCTGTATGTTGTATGCTGTATGTTGTATGCTGTATGTTGTATGCTGTATGTTGTATGTTGTATGCTGTATGTTGTATGCTGTATGTTGTATGCTGTATGTTGTATGCTGTATGTTGTATGCTGTATGTTGTATGCTGTATGTTGTATGCTGTATGTTGTATGCTGTATGTTGTATGCTGTATGTTGTATGCTGTATGCTGTATGCTGTATGCTGTATGTTGTATGCTGTATGTTGTATGTTGTATGTTGTATGTTAGGGGTGTCCAAACTTTTTTCATCAAGGACCACATATCTAGACAGAGACGAAGCAGAGGGCTGATCGAGGGCCGTGGACTGGTGCTCAATACAGTGAATTATTGAAATATGTGCATGTTTAACACGTAATGAGAATGAGCCTCAGTCTTTATTCACGCTAAGATCCTTAAAACCACACACTAAATATTAAATACTGGCTTCATCAAGGTAGATTTTCAAAAAACGTGCAGTAAAAACTTCATTTTTAATTGATGCAAAGTAATTTGGGCCAGTTCACCTGGAAGCCTGAGGGCCAAAAAAAATGTGGGCCATAGTTTGGACATGCCTGTTGTATGCTGTTGGGAGCACTGACCTTTGCACTCTGCTCCACAGACGTCTGCAGGACCGCAGGTTGGGACGAGGGCACTGCAGAGATGGGGACGGTGGTTCCGGTCACAGAGTAACTTCCCTGGACGACACACGAGCAGGACAAACAATAAGAGTGATCAAAGTGAGGATTATACTGTAGTTGTGTTTACTTCTACTAGAACTCATATCACCATTGGCACAGATATGAGTTCCTCAGTATGACACGTACACACCCACTCAAAAATTTAGGCACACCCTCTCAGTCAGTTTTTTTTTTTTAGGTTTACTACTTTATACATTATAATCAGCTCTGTGTATAAGATTCTCCATGGTCTATATGAACCATCTCTCACTCTGAGGAGCTCAGAGACTGACCTCCTGCTGGTGCCCAGAGTCACGACTAAACACAGACAGTCAAGAGTTTCAGGTTCATGCAGCTCAAACCTGGAACAGTCTGAACATGTGACATAGACTCTACTCTGACTCTGTTTAAATCCAGACTGAAAACACTTCTGTTCAGCTGCACATGACTGAAAGGTTTTCATTTTTCATTCTGCACTCTTCTCTCTCATTTAATGTCTTACTGTCTTCTTTAATTTTATGATGATTATTTATGTTTGATTATTTAGTATTGTGATTTTAATGTATTTCTTATCTTATTTCTTTGTTTACAGATTGTGCTTTACAAAGAAACTTGCCTTGTCTACATATTACACAAACATGACACAGTTATAATATAACAGAAATAAGTTATATGGAATTATGTAGTAAAGAAAAAAAAGGAAAGTTCAGCTGCATAGATTTTATATTTTATATTCAAATCCTCAGAATATCCAGCCTTTGCTTTATCCACAGTGTTACAAACTCTTGGCCTTCTCTCAGTGAGCTTCATGATAAAGTCACATGTTTCACTTTGCAGCTGTGCCACGTCAGGGTCAAGAAATATCAAAATGTTTGGAATGTACGTATGAGGTTTTTCTTCACTACATTCATAGTTTTGATGACTTCAGTGAAAGTGTGTGTCCAGACTTATACTGTTAGTGTAGGACACACAGTATATGTGCATATGTAGAGTGGTTTTCTCTTGTGAAACCAGTAGGAGCATGTTTCAGACTCTGTTTAACTTATGTAAATGTCCCTCATGTGCTCAAGATGAATTAGAAAACAGACACCAGCATGTCTCCAGGAAAACCTGTTGTCACAATACCAACAATTCACACTCGATTTGGACACAAGGAAAAGTTCGATACTGCAAAACGATTTCAACATCAGTGATACTAAAAAACATTTTTCACAATAAAAAAAAAAAAAAAATTAAAACACAAAAGAATAGTAGTTTCTTTAAACTGCACTGTATGTAACCTCTGATCTTAGAGTTTAACTTTGATTTGATGTTCATCTCATATAAGTTGTATTTATAAATTTAAAATCTAAATTTTACACAGAGTTCCTTTAAATATTATGACCAAATTGTCTAATAATAATTCTGTTATAGATCTAAGACCATCACTTTTGGCTTCACATCAGCTTTATGCACACGTGTATATCGTGACAGAAGTATTCATGTTATATATGTGAGCGTTTTCAGACTCTGTCATAAGTGTTACCCAGAAAACAGTCTGCCGAGACATTTCTCTGTAGTTTGAGTGTTCAGAAAGAAAATGGTGGAGTGCTGTGTGTCTGTAAGAGCACAGACAGACTGAGGAGGAGAAGAAAAGAAATGATCCAAATAAATCATCAAGTCATCATCCAAATAAATCTGATAGTATATTTCCACTAGAAGTCTATATAAAGAGTAGATCATAAAAACTGTTCCCCAGAAAAAGCACTATTCTGATTTTCACTGGATAAAAATTCTGAGCCTTAAAATCATGGAACTAAATGAACTAAAACACTTCACAAATACAGTAGAACAATTTACAGAGGTTGTACTGTCATTTACTCAGATGTGATGTTTCATGTGAATATCAATTAAGTGTTTACATTTGGCTCATTAGCAGAAAAAATAAAAGAATGTGTTGAAATCAAATCAATATCGTGACCCATACATGGAGATATGTACTGAATCATGAGAAAACTGAATCATTACATCCCTAACTCTTATACTTGTTCTGATACAGCTCAAAATCTTAATCTAAAACTAAATCTAAAACTTTTCAGAAAGGTTCAGTTCTGTCCTGTCAATAGGACTTTTTGGTATTGATACTTGCTAAAATGAGTATCTAGTTTCAGTACTAGTTTTAGTATCGTTTAGTATCGGATTTTCAATACGTTTGACAATCCTATTCCTGTTTAGAGTTTGTAGTATCAGAATTGAGTTTGACATTTTAGTATCGTGACAACACTACAACATATAATAGTCAAAAATAGCAGCTTTATCCAAGTGTCAGTAGAAGTGCCTCTCTGGTCGTTTCAGTGAAATCACTGACCTGTCCGGGGGCAGAGAAGGGGTTGTAGTCTCCCAGCTTCTCGGTGACTCCGCTGGTGGCCGTAGTGACCGAGGCATCCTGCACAAAACCAGCAGATTATTCTTTCACAACATCATTTATTCATGTGGTCACATGACAGGGTGACACAGGCCTGCAGCACCCTCAGGCACCGTCAGAAACAAACCAAACAGAGAGAGCGACACAAGAGCCCGGCTTAAAGACGGAGGCGGGGCCAAGTGACGCGCTAAATCTGACTGTTTTAAAAGAATGAACACTATTTTGTGTTAATATTTGGTTAATGGTTTTGTGTGCAGAGGCAGGCTGCTTGTGTAGACAGATCCAAAGTCAGTTCAGTAACTGTGATTACTTTCTGCACAGCCAACACCCAGAGTACTCACTTACATTTACTTGAGTTACTTTTTTAAAAAGAAATTGTACTTTTCTAGCAGAATACTTTTACTCCTACTTAGGTCACATTTTTATTGAAGTAACATACTGTACTCCAGAGGTGGAACATAACAAAGTAAAAGTAGTCAAGTACTGTACTTGAGTATATATCTTAAGTAGATTTTAAAGTGAAGTACAGATGAGTAAAATGTATACTCAAGTACAGTACTTTTTGCATAGCCTACATCTAAATGGAGGTAGTACTCAGTTACATTTACTTGAATATCTTTTTAAAGAAATAATACTTTTCTAGCAGCAAACATTTACTCCTACTTAGGTCATACTTTTATTGAAATAAGAGTACTCCAGTTGTGGAACATAAAGTAAAAGTAGTAACTGTACTTGAGTATACATTTTAGGTATCTGTACTTAAGGAGATTTTAAATTGAAGAACAGATACCTAAAATGTGTACTCAAGTACAGTACTTTTTGCATAGCCTACATCCAGATGGAGGTAGTACTCAATTACATTTATTTGAGTAATGTTTTAAAGAAATTGTACTTTTTTAGCAACATACTTTTACTCTTACTTGTTTTTTGTGTTTTTTTTAGTTTTTTTTAGTTGAAGTAATATACTGTTCTCCAGAGGTGGAACATAAAGTAAAGTAGTAAAGTACTGTACTTAAGTATACATTTCTGGTATCTGTACTTTACTTGACTAGAATTAAAAGTGAAGAACAAATACCTAAAATGTATCTTCAAGTACAGTACAGTTTTGCATAGCCCACATCCAAATGGAGGTAGTACTCAGTTACATTTATTTGAGTAACTTTTTAAAGAAATTGTACTTTTCCAGCAGCATATTTTTACTCCTACTTAGGTCATATTTTTATTGAAGTAACATACAGTACTCTAGAAGTGGAACATAACAAAGTAAAAGTGGTAAAGTATACAAGTACGTACTCGAGTATACATTTCTGGTATCTGTACTTTACTTAAGTAGATATTAAAGTGAAGTACAAATACCTAAAATGTATACTCAAGTACAGTACTTTTTGCATAGCCTACATCCAGAGGGAGGTAGTACTCATTTACATTTATTTGAGTAACTTTTTAAATAAATTGTACTTTTCTAGCAGCATACTTTTACTCCTACTTAGGTCATATTTTTATTTGATTTATTTGAAGTAACATTCTGTACTCTAGAGGTGGAATATAACAAAGTAAAAGTAATAAAGTACTGTACTTGAGTATACATTTTAGTATCTGTACTTTATTTAAAGTGGGTACTTTCTACTTTTACTTTACTACAGGTATCTGTACTTCTGTACTCCATTACATTTTTGAACAGGACTGAAAAGTAAAAGTATTTTTTATTACAGTTTGAGACCTGCTGAAAGACTGAGGCTTTATTTTAACACGATTGTAGTTTGAGTATCTGTACTTTTACTTAAGTAACAACATAGAGTACTTCTTCCACCACTGCAGTAGTTCTACTTCAGTAAAAGCTTTTGTAGACTCACTCAAGAGGAACCGAAATTTGATGTTGCAAGAAGAAATGCTCTGACCACTACTCTGTACTTCTACTTGAGTAATATTACTTTGAAACAGTACTCTTACTTGAGTACAATTTTTGGCAGCTCTACCACCTCTGGGTAGTTACCCAGACATGCCCAAACTAACTAACTAAACTAACTAACTAACTTTAACTACATTGTACATAAATCTTACTACAGTGGTGAAAAGTAATGAAGTACAAAAGTTAAAGTACTGGACTCAAGTACCAATTTCAAGCTAAAAATATAAACATAAAATACAATCACTTTTATTTATTCATGTTGCTACTGTTGACCAAAAATCTATGTGAAATACTTTCACATTTTACTCTTAAAGTACATTTCTAAACATACCTCAATACTTTTCATCTGATACACTCCGTTCCACCTTGTGACGTCATGTCACATGTGGCAATACAGGAAGTGCTCCGTTGTGTTTTTAACCTCCATACACTTTCACTAGAATCATTTGGATCATTTCTGTCTTAAAATTTCCAATCTCTACTAAACAGAAGCAAAACGGACCAGTTAAGTTAAAGTAAAAAAAGTTTAATTCTGCCTCTTCGTGACATCACAAGGTGGAACAGAGCATTTTGAGGTTTGGGGATGTAGACAGACTAAACCATAAAGAGTTACTCAAACATGTGTGAGTGAACTAAAACACAACTCTGAGCTATTTTTGAGGAGGTAAAAACATTCTAACATGACTAAACGCTCCTGAGAGTTTTGCGTAATACGGTACTTTAAACTTTAAAATAAGTACACTACTCTTTCACTGGGCTTAGTATAAACACAAAATTAGAAAAATAGACTTGATTTGAATCTTAATTTGTCAAAAAGTCCTAAGCTATCTATGCCCTGAGTTGTTTTTGTGAGAAATTCCATGGCGTCTGTTAATGGCGTCTCCTCTCATCCATACACCTGTTGCCTCGTCTCTCACCTGCGCGCGCGATTCACCGACGAAAACACGCCAAAAACGCACTATTTCTCTTGATTTAACTGCTAATATTACGAAATACAGTAGAACATTTCCCGCTTTGGTTAAAACTGAGACTACAAACCCAGGAAATGCAAGGACCGAACCTTTCTACGCACCAACCAACCAAACAGGTTTCGGTAGCTTACACCATATTGCACCAGCGCCCTGCAATTTCAGATCCAAATCAAACTCCCAAACAAAAGAACTAACCTGGAACGGGTTTACGTCCACGGGATCTGCGAACGGATTACTGTCAAAGTCCGACATGTTTTGGAGTAGTTGGAGAAAAATAAAACCCGAGTGCGCGCTTCCTCCCCGTGGCACCAGTCCTCTTTCTCTCCTGATGCCTCCGCCGCCTGCTGCTGCTGCTGCTGCTCCGGTGCTCCAGTCCTCCAGCCGTGCGTGTGCGCCTGCGCCACCGGGCCCCGGAGCGCACCACGTCACCACAGCAGAGGCAGGAGGAGAACAGGAGGAGAGGCCGAGTCACTTGTGAGCCATTAGCGCCCTTTATTTGGGGAAATAACATTAGAGGCTTTATTTTTAGAGGGATAAAAGACAAACGAGGTGAACTGCGCTCCTCGTGATCATCTGGTTGAAGTTATTGGCTGCAGAACGATCCCGGAGCGGTGGATGGAAGTGAAGACTTTTACTAAACGAACTGGAGATACCTGAAAGCCCAGCGGAGCTTCTTAGCATATGAATGATTAGACTATGCACATTCAGTGTTGGGAAGGTGACTTTTAAAATGTACTCCCCTACAGATTACAGATTACATACACCAAAATGTAGTTTGTAACATAATCCATTAAATTACTTAAAGTGAGTAACGTAATCTGATTATTTTGGATTACTTGATTTGCTGTAGAGAAACAAAGACAAGGAAATCTTCACATAAGATGTTTTGTCTGATAAAAGAAAATAAAAAGCCCAGACTTTACTCAACCAAATAAAAAATATTATTAATAGAAGAGGAGGAAACATGTCAGCGCAGCATGATTTAGTCCTGCTTTAATCCTGGTTTAGATCTGGTTTAGACCTGGTTTAGATCTAGTTTAGACCTGGTTTTAATCCTGGTTTTAATCCTGGTTTAGTCCTGGTTTAGACCTGGTTTTAGTCCTGGTTTAGACCTGGTTTTAATCCTGGTTTAGTCCTGGTTTAGACCTGGTTTTAGTCCTGGTTTAGACCTGGTTTTAATCCTGGTTTAGACCTGGTTTAGTCCTGGTTTAGACCTGGTTTAGTCCTGGTTTAGATCTGGGGATACAGCCCGAAATGTGAAAACAGTAAAATACTGCAGTGTAATCCATTTATTTCAACCAAGTAACTGTAATCCAAATATCACGCACTGAAACAGTAACTGTAACTGAATACAGTTACTCATAATTTGTACTCTGATTATGTAACTCCGGTACATGTAATCTGTTACTCCCCAACACTGATATGATATGAATGATTGGCCTATGCACATTACAGGCCGAATATTTCGCAGTGACTCACGTGAGCTTTTAAGCCGCGTTATGATGTTGTTACTTCATCCAAAACAGATCTGGAGTTGTGTTTTGATTTTTCTTCACACACACATGTTTGAGTAACACTTTATTATTACTGTGTCAACATCTCCAAAGCTCAAACTGCTCTGTTACACCTCGTGATGTCATGAAGTTGTCAAGTTAACAGCTCCCTTTTATATTTTGTTTAGTTGAGATCTGGAATGCCAAGGCTGAAATGATCCAAGTGATTCTAGTGGAGTTTAAAAACACAGTGGAGCACTTCCTGTATTGCCACGTGACATCACAAGGATTCAGTTTGACAGAAGAACAGACAAAAGCAAAACCAAAACATATTCTAAACTGTTGATTGATGAAAGTAATCTGTGTGTCATATGTTCATTCATTTTTCAAAATAAAACCAAAAATAAGAAAATGAGAAAACAACTTGTCTTCATTATTTGTCTCCAAAACCAAAATGAAAAAATGGATAATGATTCTTTTTTTTTTTTTTTTCAGTTTTCAAATTTGTGTTTAAATGAATAATGGAAAAAACGGATAACAGACGTTTCCTGTTTCTGTGACTTAAACTGCGATGCCGGACTTTGCTGCATATGGACTGAACCAGGACTGAGACCAGGGCTGAGACCAGGGCTGACACCGGGATCTGGTTCAGTCCTGATTTAGCTCTGTTTTAGTCCTGGGATCAATGCTGGTTCAGTTCTAGTTCTGGTTCTGGTCTCAGTCTGGTCCTGGTCTCAGTCTGGATCTGGTCTACACCAGACATGTCAAACTCAGACCCGGGGCTCAGATTTGGCTCATGATATAATTATATTTGGCCTGTGAGATCATGTCAAGTCTGTATTAGAGCTGCCCACCGGCTATAGACTATGAACATATATTTACAGTTATATATAGATAGAGACATTATTTATTTAAAATGTTATTATTTTATATTTTGCTTGTTCTGGATTCAGTGTTTAAGCAAAACTAACATTACACAAGAAGAGAAGCATGCAGATGTTAAAATTTTTAAATAAATATTTCATTTGGCCCAAGACGTAGTCCCAGTTTTTAATTTGGTGTGGTTTTATTTGGTTTTATTTTGAAAAACAAATGAATGAATGATACAAGGATTGAAAGTGTCCGTCCACCTTTGGCAGATAGAACAGCTGAACACACTCATGGCTCGTTCTTTTTACAACAGAAATCAAATATTGTTCACAAAGTTCTCATAAATGTGTGGCACTTGTAGGTTGCTTCACTCTTCTGTCCAGTTCATCCCAAACCAGCTCCATGGGGTTTAAGTCTGGACACTGTGCTGCTGCTGGACACTCCAGGTTTTCAAGTTTTACCATCTTGTTCTTTTTTCCTGAGGTCGTTTTGGCAGAGTTTGGACTTGTGTTTTGTTAAATTTTATCTGTTTTTTTAACCTCTGTCTGTTCAGTTCTTACCTTTGTACCATTTCAAGCTCTTCATTGGACTTACACAACTTTAATTGCAATAAATAAATGGAAAAATGAGGGTGTTGTAAAACGTCTGACTGGTGAACTGTGGAGATATTATTGCTTTATCAATTACAGGTGTTTTTATTGCTCAAAAATGCCATAAAAATGCATTTTACTCTGATCTTATGGCAAATCTGGGCATTGTCCAGCTCCAGAGCCACATTCGGCCCTTTGGTCGACTCTGATGGGACCGTTTATGCGAATTTGAAATTGCAAAATAAACATATTTGATCCTTTTACCTCATACATGGATTAAAGTTGCATTGCTTTTATTTTTATTTTAGGTGTTTTTTTGCGAAGCAGCCTCACTTTTTCATTGCCACCATGCAGTTTAAGACTAGACCTCTTCTCTCTGGCATTTAGTACGAGCTAGTCCAGTTATCTTGGTGTTTTTATTATAGTTTTCACGTTTTCTGTATATATGTATGTGTGACTGTTCTTCTGGTTTTGTTGACTTGTATGTGAAGCACTTGGCTCAGCTGAAGTTGTTTTAAATGTGCTATAGAAATAAAACTGAATTTAATTTGAATTGAACATAAACTCTTACCAGTCTGACAGCTTTTCCAGGACTAAAACCAGGACTAAACAATATGACACAAACAGTAGGTGGACATAATTTAAAGCAGCAGTGATCTCATATAAAAATCATTTCTCTATCAATAATATTTTTAATACGGTTAAGTAAAGACTGGACTTTTTATTGTCTTTAAGCAGACTTATGTTAAGATCCAAGTCTTTGCTTCTCTACAGTGAACAACTGTCTGTTTATGGAGACTTGGGCTCAACAGCCAATTTGAAGAGAACAAACATGAATTTTCAGGATGTGGTTGCTACATTCATGTCATTTTAAAAAGCATGACAATATCAAGTAATCCAAAGAAGTATTCAGATTACTCACTTTAAGTAATTTAATGGATTACGTTACAAACTACATGTTGGGGTATGTAATCTGTAATCTGTAAGGGAATACATTTTAAAAGTCACCTTCCCAACACTGCCCACCGCTGTCTTACGGTGACCTCTCCACAGATCAGGCCTGAAACTTGGCCTTGTGGCGTCACTTGGCTGTCACCTTATATAAAAATCTTTAATGCCATTCAGTGGAAAATTCAAGGCAAAGTAAGACAATATCCATGGAGAAGAGCAGGTGGTGGACTCCAAAGTTCCACAGCGCACCTTGATATTGATGAAATAAATGTGATGTGAGCCATAAAGGTCAGTGTCATAAACATGTACTTCCTACACAAACAGGAACATGAGCTTCTAAACAAACAACACACATTCTAATTCTCTAGAAGTGAGTGAATGAAGAGACGAGCCACACAGATTTGTACATTTCTTTCATTGTTGCATTGAGCAAACACAATAAAGACATGGATGGGGCAGGTAACATGATCTCTTAAAGATAATGGCATTTGTCCGCTACACTGTACACAGACTGTATCATACTTTACAATGGCGGTATGGCTAAGCAGTGAATGCACACTTTTATACATATGCAACATTCTGTACAGAGCTGGGACCCCTTGGCTGGAGTGCGCCCCAGCTGACTTGGTCCCTTTGATGGTGGTAAAAAGCAGCACAAATTAAAAACACATGGAGTGGTTTTCGGTCCTCACACACACACACAGTAACACAGTAACACTTGGCACACACACATACACCAGCCTGGCCCACATCGTACATCTGTCCAAAAAAACAAAAAGAGAAAAGATAAATATCTGACTTCAACTCCCCAGCAGACACTGGTGTTCCGGCTTTGTACAGTATTTATACCTGTATATTATAAGCTATCAAGAATTTCTGTGACATTAAAATTTATTAAATAAAAGAAACTTAATTTGTCATAATAACTAAACAAGCACTGCTTATACTGATTGTTTTGAAGTGTAAACTCAGAAAGCAGCTAATATTGACTTCTTCACTGTAGTCCACAGCTCCCGCTCTCTCGCTCCGGGCACGTCCCTGATGCTCAGTGCTCTTCTCAAATGTCCGACGTTCCCTTTTGCGCGCTCTGCTCAGTGCGTCTCGTCTTGGCGCCGTGTGAAGAGTCGCCAAGGCACAGTGAGGGCTGAAGGAGTCCAGTCTAAGAGTCAGCACAGACTGCCCCTGCCTCGGACAGTGGACCTGCTCCATGTGGCACTTAGGAACATTTCTTTGCACATTATAAAGGCTAAGCAGAGTGCTTTAAGGAGAGGACGTTGCATTGACGCTCTTTTTGCTCCTGTCAGGAATCACCTGCCTTCCAGGAAGTAGGAGTGCTTTGGTGAGCCAGTGTCCTTCATACCATGAACTCATTATTGCCGTATAACACTAGCTGCTGCGGTAAGTCCGGAGGGTCCCGGCCGTGGGCGCCCCCGTCTCGGGAGTGCCTCAGGGACGGGTGCTTGCTCCCCTTGAGTTTCTGTTTGCCCTTTTCGGGATTGAACGTCCCTCTACTTGTAAACTGTGGCCGTTCGTCGTACGTACTCTCTGGCTCCCCCGTAGGACTCAGGTCGCGGGTGTCGGTGCGGGTGAGCTGGGATGGGCCTGCAGAGGAGGGGGACGAGGGGGACTTGGAGTGGAAACGAAAGCGTCGGGTGTTGGCGGAGGAGGAAGAGGAGGCTTGGAAGTGTGAGGAGGAAGAGTAGGACGACACACTGGAGCAGGAGTCCACAGAGTCCAGGGACTCGGGCTGTCTGCGCAGAGTTCTCTGACGAGGGCTCCGACCATCAGACCTGCGGGGCCAGGGGGACGTCAGGGGGCCCCTCTCTGCTCATGGAACAACAAACAAACTAAGTCAGACATGTTGAAGCACTCATGGATTATGCAAATGTAAAATGTTTTGTGAAATCATTTGTGCTACATTTTCTACAGAGTGTTTTTATGATGTATTAGAGGTGGATGTAGTACAGACCTGATAAGTCGGAGAGTCCTTCTGAGTCAACGTTGAGGTTCTCGGAGCTGTCTGCTGTCCCAATGGAGGCCTCTGACTCCAGTGTCTCATCATCTGAGGCTCGAGGCTCCAGAGCCAGCATCTCAAAGGTGAGCTCCTCTCTGTGGGAGTACAAACATTACTACACACAACAGTGTACATGTGCAGACATGAGGACTGAGGAGATGTGCGTACTTTTCCTTCTGCAGGTTCTCGATCTGCTCCGTCAGCACTCGCTCCTCCTGCTGCATGGCGGCGTGCTGGTTCTCCGTGAGCCCAGAGTCTGCTGCCTCCTCGCTGCAGCTCTGCTCCAGCACAGGGCTCTTGACTGTGGACAGACGGGGGCTCAGCTGAGGGGACGTGCTGTGGTAGTTCACCCGCTGAAAGGGACACAAGACACAGTCACTTATTGGGAACATTTTGTCAGATTTTATAGAGGATAGAGCTCACAAAAAGCCATTCAATTTTTCCAATGCCTCAGCTTTTCATAAATGACTGACTGTCCAGGCTACGGCTAAAAGCACAGTGCCACAGAAGGTCACAGGACAATACAGTACACAGATTACCTTTTTAGCTGTATTTGGCTGCATAAGAAGTAAAGCAGAACAGTATGATAAGAATATATTCAACATTTATTCCAAAAAAAAAAAAAGTCTGCGCATCTACTCACAAACAAACAAATCCAAAGAGCTAAAGCTATGATGCGACACAGAACAGCACTTACCCTGCTACTTTCTACATTATTTTTCAGTACATTAAAAGCTATAACCATTGTGCTTTATTTTTCACACTTTCAAAACGTGAAAAGTCAAAAACAACATGAAAAGCGTGACTAGGACAGGTCTGCGGGGATGTTATGGGCATGCTTTGGAGATGGAGGACAGTTATACTCTGGGATGGTGTAGACACGGACTGGTAGCACAACACTGCTGTAGGAGTCCAGGCGGCATGGATACATACCAGAGTGCGTGCTATACTCATGAATCTAACTGCTATTAGTACAGGTTTCTGGGTAAAGGAGAGGACAAGTTAGGGACAGGAGCAAAACCCCACAGGAACAAGTGTCAGGGGGGACGGAACTCAAAATGGTTTCAAAAAGTAAGAGGGAGTTTGGGGGCACTATAGTCACGGGAAATATTAGGGTGTACACTCTGTGGAATATTTCAGATAAGCTCCATTTCAAAAGCAAAACTGAATTGTGTCAACTGGACAAACGTGAACATGATCGACCACTCATCCAACAGGCTTCTTCAGTTCTAACAGGGTTCTGTGTAGGGATGGGCAGGATTAGACAATCAGTGTTGGGGAGTAACAGATTACATGTACCCGAGTTACATAATCAGAGTACAAATTATGGGTAACTGTATTCAGTTAGTTACTGTTTCCATGAGTGATAATTGGATTACAGTTACTTGGTTGAAATAAATGGATTACACGGAGGGATTTTCGTGTTTTCACATTTCGGGCTATATCCCTTTTTTTTTTTTTGTGCCGGACACTAAACCAGGTCCAAACCAGATCTAAACCAGGTCCAAACCAGGTCCAAACCAGGTCCAAACCAGATCTAAACCAGGTCCAAACCAGGTCCAAACCAGATATAAACCAGGTCCAAACCAGATCCAAACCAGGTCTAAACCAAGACACAGCACAGCAGAACTTGAGCTCCACACATACGACGGGAGTATTAAAGAATAGCCTGATTTATCAGATGGTTTCACTTCGTAGAAACCGTCTGACCATGCAGCATTAGGATTCGTTGGCTCGATGGTATGCTGGTACTTTTTCTAATTTAACCAGTCGCTGCTATTTGGTGACATATGTAATGCACCGCTAACGGGGTTAACTGGTATATTAAGCTTTTCCCAAATCCCGTAGGAAGAAGGACAATAACGTCTTTCCCCTTGATGAAATTCACCAAACATTCTCTTTGTTCCGGCTTTAAAACCGTCTAGTGTATTCTGATTCCTGACTTAGTCACTGGAGAGAAATGAAATTGAGCGGAGGCACTAGGTGGTGCCGGCCTGACTAATTAACAACCCTCCCAGCCCCCTCTCAGTCCATGGAGTGACCGGGAGAGAAGGGGGAGAACAGGAGAGGATTGGGCAGTCGTGTCTTTCCTCTCACTCCTCAGATCAGAATGACTGGAAAAGTTCTGTGTCCTATATCAAACTCTTGTCCGTGCACGCTGTGGCTCCTCTCTCGCTTAATCTGATCATTAAAAAGGTCACATTTTGAGTCCACTTTCCGTAATGTCGTTGCTCCATTGCTCTGGTCTTCTCAGAGTCACCGGGGAAGAGCACGAGCGCATCTTGCTATAAACTTTGCCATAATCTGGAATATTTACTCTGTAGTGTTGTAGATGTTCATTAATATGCACTGTCCCTATTAAATAAATAAATAAATAAATAATAAATCTTAAACTTCAGGGCTGAATTATCTTTGGTCAGACTCAGGCTTATTTCTGACATGGAACAAGTTGAGGCTTAAACTGGAGATGGAGTTAGATTCAGCTCAGGATTTGAGGATAAGCCTGGACTTGTTAAGCGACTTCGATTGTATTTGTATTGAATGTATAATAACAGAGTTTATACACGACACTAGGTCCAATTTAACATAAAACACAATTGTATGTCAAATATATAGTAGTTTAGGGGGTCCATGGCCTGAAAAACCCTTGAAGACCCCTGGTGAAAAGTATTAAACGTCAAAGCCCAGTTGACACAATGCAGTTTACTTCTGAAATACACTCTAGGAGGTTCTGGTCTCTAAATGTTTGACTGTCAAAGTGTTTTTAGATCGTTATAGCAGTCTTTGTTTATTCTGTTCTACTTAGTAAACCTTTAGCTGTTGCACAATCTCATACATTCACTTCTATGTCGAAAAAAAAAAACTAGGAGCCTGCAGTTGGTCAAAAATCCTCCAGAGACCACATCACACTCATGCTGAACTCAAATGTGTGTCATTATATCTCGGCTAACACCAGTTATTATTGTATTAACTCAATAAACATATGACTCAGATTTCATACCAAACAAAAAAAATACTGGGATGACTCTGCAAACATAGACACTTTGCTTTCAACTTGTAACACAGACTTAATATGAATATCCATAAGTGATAACACGACATGAATCCGAAGTGTGTATTAAAGCTCACCATCGAGCGCCGTATGAGCGTCAGTCTGCACTTGGCCTTGTTCTCGGCAAACTCCAGCGTGTTTATGTCCTTTAGCCGCACCTTATATTTGTTCATCTGCTCACAAATGATAAGTTCTACACACCTGGAAAACACAATTTAAACAATACAAGTTCAGATGACGTAAACTGCGTACACGTCGTATTGTTAAATGTGATCTTACGCAGTAGTTTTGCTGATGTCCTGCACGCTCTGAAGAGGGTCGATGGTGTCAGGGCAGCGCAGTATACACGGAGCAAACACGATGGCCAAGGCGTTGGCGGACATGCGGTTGGTCTCCTCTTGTAGTGCAATTCTAAACACACAAAAAAGATCAGTTACTGAAATAAGTCACATTAGTTTCAGATGATTCTATAGGCCAAGAATGTTTAATATACATGGAGGCAGCCAAAATGTTGTTAAATTGTATGGAGTAAGAAAGCTTTTAGAAATATTCCTGCACACAGAATAGAAATCAGTGTGTATTTGTCTGTAGTTGTGCATAAAATAAATATTTGTAAACTCTTGAATGAGTCCAGTCATACATAAAATGTATTGTGTGTATTTTATCCATCAGAATACAAATTGAAAAGTTACAACGTCAAGAATTACAATCACAAAATCAGAATTTACGATTACGCTTTCATCAGTACGAATACGAATTCACAGATGCGAATTTACTGATCGATGTTTCTTCTGCTCGATAAATAATGTCTGTGAAGTGATGATGTATTTTTGACAGTAAGTTCGCGGCTGTGAATTTGTATTCATACTCATGAAGGCCTATTTGTAAATTTTCATTTCGTGATCGTAATTCTTGATGTCATAACTTTTCAATTCGTATGGATAAAATACACACAATATATTTTATGTACGACTGGACTCATTCAGGAGTTTACGAATATTTATTTTATGTGAAACTACAGACAAATCTGCACGGATTTCTATTCTATGTGCATGAATATTTCTGAAAGCTTTCTTACTCCATAAAAATGCAGATTTGCATTGTAATAAAGTGAGTTCTTAGGTTTAGTCACTGATTGAAATGATCAGGTTCAACATTTCTGAATTTACCTTTTATTTACAGGGTGTCCCAAAAAAATGTGACATCATTTCGTAGGCTAATCATTTTGGCAATTCTTGTTGAAATAACCTCACAGAATGTATAGAAACAGTAATTTAGCGATATGTCCTGTGCCCGATTTGAACCCTCCTTATGTTTAGCTGACGTGACGATTCTCCATAAAAATAAAAAAATGTGATACATAACTGTACGCAGCAGTTTGACAAACCTGATGTGATGTGCAGTAGTTTCATTTGTTGTAATGGTGCTCTGAAGGGGGAAGCGGAGAGCAGAAGGAGGGGGAGACTTGAGAGGATCAAAATCGAAATTGAATCTAATAAAGCACGTTGGTTCGTTCGTTTTCGGCAAATAGCAGTTTCAAAAATAAAAGGTAACACAATGATCTAAAGATGATATGTGTTAGCAATATTTCCCTTTAAGAAATACAGGGTGTTCCAAAAAATTAAGACATTTCACAGCCCAATAATTTTGTAGAAATAACCTCAGATTTTCACAGAATGTATAGAAACAAATCAAGATTTTATATTTAATGTTTTATTTTTGTTCGGTTTTCAGGTTGAGCCGTTCACTCCCAAAGAGAAGTCATTTTGTGTCTTGGAATCTGCTCAAACACACTCACCCAACACTGTGTAGCTTCGGTGCAACATTTGGAAAAACTTCAGCAACTGCAAACAAATTTGGACTTGGTACCAAAAATGTAAAGAGAAAGGCCAATTATTTAGGGCTAAAGGATCTGGTAGACCAACATCAACATCAGAAGAGAAGATCGAGCAAGTTCGTGAAAAACTCTTGCAAAGTCTGTATTGGAACAAGTTTGGAAACCCAGATTCCTTGAATGACGGTTTGGCGTAACAGATCCTTTAGTCCTACACAAGCAGCTTTCCTCTTTAAATATTTGGTACCAAGTTCAAATTTGTTTGCCAGTTGTTGTAGCTTTTCCAAATTTTGCATTGAAAGCACATTGCACAGTGTTGGGTGAGTGTGTGCAGCAGATTCCAAGACACAAAATGACTTCTGTTTGGGAGTGAACGGCTCAACCTGAAAACACAACAAAAATTACCTTTTATTGTTTTGAAACTGCTATTTGCTGAAACCGACAAATCAACGTGCTTTATTAGATTCACTTCGTTTTTGATCCTCTCAGTCTCCCCCTGCTTCTGCTCTCCACTTCCCCCTTCAGAGCACCACCACAACAAATGAAACTTCAGGCATTTAAAAAAAAAAATATATAACATGGTAGAAAGAAATGATTTTGCATAACTCCTCCTCTTTAAGGAAATGTTATCAATCTTGCCCTCTGTCTGGGAGTTTGACATCACATTAAAGTCGTACCTGACTAGATGGAAAATGAGGCGTTCCAGCGTGTTGAGATGAGTTCTGCTTAACTGGTCGATAACAGAGTACACACCGCGCACCATCTCCTTCTTATCTTGTAAACCTGAAAAACATCAAGATACATTACAGGCACTGACATAGTTTCTCTGTGCGGAGTAAAGCTGAACTCTTTGGGAAGAAGATCTAAGTAGGTTTTCTTGGACAAGCGTTGCAAGTGTGTTCAGATTTGCGATTTATATTTTAGTAATAACATTCTGCTCAAAGTTAACATTTTAAACAAAGAAAAATCAACAATACGAAGAGACAAACTAATACAAGAATGGTAAATAGTCTAAAGAGTCATTTTTATGCATACTTTTCCACCTTCACCTTCACCTTCACCTCTTTACAACAAGGAACCACTCATCCATTCACACACACTCATACACCAGTGTACGTAAACACTGGGGACGAGGTGGGTTAAGTGTCTTGCCCAACACAATGACAGCATTCATGTGTGGGAGCTGGAACCTCATCCATTGGATCAGTGGATCTGACCTCTCAATCAGTGCTGTTTTATGTTGAGAGCAGAATTTGAACCACCAACAGATCAGTGGACAAATGCTCTTACCATCTGAGCTACTGCCCCCTAAACATCACTTAAGACAGAGGTGACAAACTCAAATTCACAGAGGAAGTCGTGGGCCAAACTAAATATTTATTGAAAAATTTCAACATCTGCATGTTTTCTCTTCTTTCAAGATATGTAATGTTAAACCTTTTCTTATTCAAATAAATGTTTAATAATAGTTTTGCTTAAACTTTGAATCCAGAACAAGCAGAATATAAAATAATAACATTTTAAATAAATAATGTCTGTATCAGGGGTGTCCAAACTTTTTCATCAAGGGCCACATATCTAAACACAGACCAAGCAGAGGGCCGATCGAGGGCCGTAGACTGGAGCTCAGTACAGTGAATAAATGAAATATGTGCATGTTTAACACGTTAGAATGAGCCATCAGTCTTTATTATTGCTAAGATTCTTAAAACCACACACTGAATGTTAAATATTAACCTTAGCAAAGTAGATTTTCAAAAAACTTGCAGTAAAAAGATATTTATTGCAGGCCAAATTTGACCCCCGGGCCTGAGTTTGACATGTCTGACTTCAAGCATACCTACAGATCATTTATAAATGTTTATTAACCATGAACTAATAACTTACTACATATTTTAATTATAGTACATGAGCAGTTAAGGGTGACGCACTGATAATGATATCAATACTTTGACTTAAAGTATTTGCCAATCCCTGATATGAACCACTACCAGTGTAGGGACAGAAAATGATTCATGAAATGATGAATTATTTCCTTAAAACACAGTTAACTTGAGATCCAATAGTATTCTGTAACTTATTTCTCCTTCAAATCACTAGTGAACAGTTTTATATAAAAGTTCAAATATTATGAGAGGTTCCAGGCCAAAATCTGCCTGTAAATCATCTTATTACATATAAAAATAAAGGCCCAACCTGGAGATCCACTAAACTGATAACTGAACAAGCAACAAAGATTTATTTATTTATTTTTACCAATAATTTGTGTTGAATTCTAAGTCCAATCAAATCAAAACTTGCGACTGATACGTTACATGTGTATTTTTGGTCATATTGTCTTGCCCGTACATAATAATGGGACACAGTGAGATAAGACTCTCCTGGAGAAAGCCTGGACCTACCCATGGCCCGGATAAACTCCTCGTACAGTTCAAAGGTCATCAGAGGGTTCGGCAGATCCCTCAGCCACTGTTTGAACACACTCCCAATCACATGGATGTTGTAGTCATCCAGATTTGTGCTCTCAACATCTGAAAAAAAGAAAAACAATGAGAAACTGATTCATTTAAAGGGCCAATACTAATCAAATTTTTAAATCTGTGTTATGTTGTTTCCTCATCACAAGCGAGTTGGAGTTTTGTTTTGTTTCATTCACACATGTTTAACACACAAACCCTGCAGATTTAGAGTAGCAATCTTCTCTCTGTTCCACCTTGTGATGTCATGGGGTAATACAGGAAGTGCTCCACTGTGTTTTGAACTTCATACAATTTCACAAGAATTATTTGGATGATTACAGCCTTAGAATTTAAAGTCTCAACTAAACGAAAGGTAAAACGGAGCTGTTAATTTGAAAACTACATCTTCATGACATCACAAGGTGGAACAGAGCATTTAGAGCCTTGGAGACAGAGACAGCAGACAGATTTCCAAACACGTGTGAATGAAACAAAACACAACTCCAGTCTGTTTTTGAGGAGGTAACAACATTCTAACATGACTTAAAGCTCACAAGAGTCTATTTTGCATAATACAGGACCTATAAACTGTAAATAATGGTGGTTCTTACCAGTGTCCAGTCCCTGCTTGAGCTCTTTAATCTTGTTGGTGGACCCAGATTTGCGGTAGATTCCTTCCGTGTAGAGGCCGTGCATTTCGATGTAGTTCATGAGCTTTTCCACCACTAGGGGCACTGTTCGCTCATCACTGGTCAGACGAGACACCTCCACTCCAAACTGTCTGGACGAGAGCTCGGGGTCGAACTGAAACACAGACAATATGTGGTGAGAAGAGCTGCTCACCAGAGCCGCGCACGTCCATGTTACAATAGTACAACAGTGTTCAGATATGACATGTGTTCAACTACAGGGAACAAGAGGCATTTTACACAAGATGCCCTTCCTCAAAACATAAGCAGTTACTTACCAAGGAACTTTTTACTAGTACTTCCTGTAATTTTCAACATATTTTTTCACGTTTCAATATATATATTATATTTCTGTTACATAAATATCTGTATTTCCAATAGGTATTATCCCAGAAGATTAAGTCAAATTTATAGAAAGAAAAAAACACTATACAGACTATCAGCTATCTGTGTTTAGTGTCAACAAAAAACTCCAAACTATTAAATACAAGTTATTCAAATGATGTAATGAGCTTGAATAAAGTTATTAAAATATTGATACTGCAGCAGAGTAGTCAGTAGTACGTGTCAGATCATATTTAGTTTGGATGTGTGTAGGGGGACCAGATTTTCTAAGTCAAAAACTGGGACACACAGAAGGAAAGTAATGATGAAATTGTGAAATGAGTGAGTAATTAAAAAAACAAAAAACTTATGTGCTCAGCAATGTGAGTCAGTATAGTCACATTTTCTCTGTGCCCTTAAGTTTCCAAGTTTTTACTTAAAGCCACAGTATGTGACATTTTAGCTACAAATACTTTTAAAAGTTTTCTCTCCCATTTGGTTGTGTTCAGTGTATTACACTGTGAACAGTACATGTGTCCTCACTGTGAGTGGGCTTGCATCTCCACAAACCTGACTCTTATTTGGCCTGGGGGAGGCCTTCTCCTGCCTGTTTCCATGGAAATGTTGTGTCTTTGTTTGGCTAGAATATTTTACAGTTTGACATAAAACTTATTTATCTTCATGGAGACTGTTCGGAAGTATGGTTTTAACTTTCCATTTCCATGGAATCATGCAGGTACCATCTCCAGAAAGTTACATAGTGTAGCTTTAACACAATACACCTCTGCTGCTTTAGTGCAGCAGTAACTCTTCTGCTTCCTTTTCAAACAGTGTGAGGTGTGAGTGTGATACAATCCACAGCCACCAGATGTCGCCAAATATTAAATCAGCAGTAGCAGTAGAACAAGGACACTAAATGTATACAATCCATTCATTCTTAATCCTTGTAATTAATACTTTATACTAAATATCATTTATTTATCCACTTCACTTCTGGCTTAGATTAGAGCAGAAGATCATGTGAGCAAAGCACTTGTACTGTCTCTGACAGGCTGAGGGCAAAGAGGGAAGGAGAAACTAACACTGTAACTTGATTCTAACTCAATACAGTTTATCTGACATTTATCTGACACCAGATATTGTTATTCTGCAAAGGACAGTGTGACATACTCTGGTGTCAGTTCTCAAATAAATACTTTTGAGTTTGGTTTGAACCTGGAGTTACTGTATGAAAACCTACAAACAACCAGGACCCGACTGCACAAGTCCAGAGTCTATGAGCCGAGTGCAAACTGCAGGAACATACCTTCTTACTGCATTTCGTGGTCATCTTCTGGCAGCACTTTCGGTGGCAGGCGTACCGGCACACTGCAGGAGACACACACACATCCACAAAGTCAGTGCCATTGTCCACACAGAAGCAGCTCCTCCTCATTTTCCAGCACTTATTCCAATCATAAAAAAATCCTTGTGGCTTCAGAATCAAAACGTAACATCAGGTCTGAAGAAAACATGGTGTGAGCAAAGAAAGGACTGTGTGTGTGGGCAAGCGTCTGGAGCGGCGGCAGACCCCATGAGTCCAGTTGAAAACAATCTGATTAGGGGCAGGAGGAGGAGGAGGAGGAGGAGGGGCCGGAGGGGGGCTGGATCTGCTCTGAGCATTTGAGGTCATACAGATGAGCGTGAAATCCATTACATTTCTATTAAAAGGACAATTGGTTTAATAGCACAAGTATGAGCAGGGTTACAGGGTTCAGCGTTCAGTATAAATGAGCTAAGACAAAGCGAGAATGTGGACGCTTGAAATGCCAAGTCAAAAAAAACAAAATAAACAAACAAACAAAAAACTTAAAATGTAACTTTGTGATTGGAAATAATCACACTAGGCAATTCCAGAACTGGGCCAAAACTCCTCTAATGTACACAGAAATTATGATTTCACAAATAAAAATATAAGAAAACACCGTTATTCTGTTGAAATAATGTTACAAGTATCAGAAAATGTAAATGTAAATTGGACTTTTGGATAGAATTCTCTCTAGTGTGACATCAGTGTGTGTTCCAGAGCTTTTTACTAGTAATTTTCAAGATATTTTTTTTTCAATTTCATCACAAATTCAGTTGAAAGTATCAGAAAATGTAAATGTAAATTGGACTAGTTCAAAGTTCTACAACATACTGATTTTCTCTCCAGTGCCAGAGAGTATCAGTGTGTTGTAGAACTTTGTACTAGTACTTCTTGTAATTTTCAACATATTTTTTCAAGTTTTCATTACAAATCCTGCTGAAATAATGTTACAAGTATCAAAAAATGTAAATATAAATTGGACTTTTGGATAGAATTCTCTCTAGCGTCAAGAAAGAATCAGTGTTGTAGAACTTTTTACTAGTACTTCCTGTAATTTTGAACATATTTTTTCAAGTTTTCATCACAAATTCAGTTGAAATTATGTTCCAAGTATCAAAAAATGTAAATTGGACTTTTGAATTCTCTCCAGTTGGACTAATACAAAGTTCTACAACACACTGATTTTCTCTCTACTGTCAGAGAGAATCAGTGTTTTAGAACTTGTCACAAGTACTTTCTGTAATTTTCAACATATTTTTTTCAAGTTTTCATCACAAATTCTGTTGAAATTATGTTTTAAGTATGGGAAAATGTAAATATAAATTGGACATTTGGATTGAATTCTCTCTAACGTCAAGAGAGAATCAGTGTTGTAGAACTTTTCACAAGTACTTTCTGTAATTTTGAACATATTTTTTCAAGTTTTCATCACAAATTCAGTTGAAATAATGTTATTAGTATCAGAAAAAGTAAATGTAAATTGGACTTTTGGATAGAATTCTCTCTAGTGTGATGTCATCAGTGTGTTGTAGAACTTTTTACTAGTACATCCTGTCATTTTCAACAGTTATTTTCTGTTCTGACAACAAAATTTCAACAAATTTTCTTGAAATAATGTTAGAAGTATCTGTATAAGTAAATGTAAATGTAAATTGGACTTTTTATATCTCCATCTATATTTACAGCAGGTATTATCCCACAAGAATTTAGAATTTAGAGAATTAAAAAGAATTATATACGCACTATGAACTATTTACGTTTAGTCACAACAACAAAAAAACTCTAAACTATTAAATACATGTTATTGAAATGATGTAATGAGCTTGAATAAAGTGATTAAAATACTGGGTAACATTTTATAATAACTACACCTTATTTAGCCTTAATAAAGCATGAACAAAGACTTGATTCAATGATTCAAGCTTAGTAACTACTTAATTACTACCATAATTAGCACTTGCACTTAATTTGCTTGTGCTGTAAATAGTTATTCATAATAATTTCATACTTAATTACTCATGAACTAACCATTTGAGCATTTATTAATGCTTAGTAAACTATGAGAGAATGATTTACTAATAATACAATGCAATGATCATTCAGGCAGCTGTTATCTGTTAGTTAAGTCTTTTTGAGAGCTTTTCTAAAGTGAAGACTAATTATGCTTTATTAAACATTTACTAAGCATGAATCATTATTAATTAAATCTTTGTTCATTATTAATTAAGTCTTTGTTCATGCTTGATTAAGGCTAAGTAAGGTGTAGTTATTATAAAGTGTTACCGTGTCAGATTGTATTTAGTTTGGATGTGTGTAGAATCACCACATTTTCTAAATCAAAAACTGGGACACCCGCGGTTTGTGTTGGTTGTTAATAACAAAATTGTGAAATGAGTGCGTAAGTAAATAAGGAGAATTGTTCTGCACTCGGCCCATTCATGACGAATATGTGAGTCAGTTTAGTCACATTTTCTTTGTGTTTTGGTCATTTTTAAGCAGCTTTTCTGTATTTTCCCGAAAGAAATGACAGTGTATGCCTCTCTTTACTGTCGGCAGGGATCAGATGAGTCAAAAATAGAGACACCTGGGACATTTCTTGTATAAAACTGGGACAAATGACTAGTTTTGGATAAATCTGCTGTGACTGGGGACACAGGCTCAAAACTGGGACGGTCCCGAGTAAATAGGGACGTCCGGTCACCTTAAACATGTACTGTAGAATGTTAAAGAAGACATTTTGTACGTGTGTCAGCTGTATAATTATAATCTATGGTATCTGTGGATCATTATGTCATAAATTTGACTTTTTAACTCACAATTTTGATCTAAAACGACTTAATAAAAGAAAAAAGTCTGCTCGTTCTGGGTTGGAAAAAGCCAGTGTCCATGAGGGATTAAGAGCAGATCCATTCTCTTAATTTGTTTCACATACTGTATATTATTTGTTCTGCTGACCTAATTGAAACAAACGGAGCACTTCAGAAATGTCAAATTTGGGTTATAGCTTCCATTCTCATTCTAACTGTAAGGGGCTTAAAGGATTGCGATTAGCCGCTAAGCAGAACTGAGAAAAGGCTAATCCAAAAAACAGCAGGAAACAAAAGAAGTACACTCAGAATACCAGCAGAAATAGAACATGACATTTGAGAGCAAATAATCCTTTGGGGACATAAAAAATAGAAAACAGGGTGATCAAAACATCAAAAATCATTTGAGCAGGTGTTGATAAAAAAAGTCACATTTACAGGACAGAAATGAACCTTTGCTGAACAGTTTTAGAATGATTTTGAGCTGTGTCAGTAAGTATAAGAGCACATGAATTAGTACCGTAATTTCTGGGCTTTTAGCTGTGCTTTTAAGCCTCCAACCCCATCAAAAAACGGTTGCGCGCCCTGCAATCCAGAGCGCCCTATACACGAATCCACTCGGGTGTTCCAGCACGACTTCAGTAAACTACAAAGCCACGCCACCCGCAGAACACACAAACACACACGGAGCAGACAGCGACCGCACAGAGACAAACACCCACAGACACACTCATCACTCCACACCGACGAGGAACGAAACGGAGGAGCGAACCGAAAAGGCGACGTGTCACTTCTAGACACAACTGAACAACTGAGTCACTGCGAACACGCCGACAATCCGTTGGTCCCAGACAGCACCCTCCCTACACGCCACAACTGAACAAAGCCCAGAGTCACCGTGAACGAACAAACAAACAAAACCACTCACCCATCACACTGTTGGGTTTCCTTTAAAATCCGGTGCGGTTTATTTGTGAAAAAAGTTAGAAAATAGACCATTTAATGACAGTGCGTCTTATAATCCAGAGCGTCTAACAGCCCGGAAAATACGGTCATCCCTCAGTGGTCCAGTAGGTTCCATAGTGATCCAAGTGTGTATACTAGTCTATATGCTCTTACACCTCTGATACAGCTCAAGATCATTCTAAAGCGATTGTAACCCAGGGTATAAACTGCACCTTAAAGCAAGGGTTTTACTTGAATGTTGTTACTTGTACTCTGTAAATAGTATTATTGTGAAATGATTTAATGTGTGTACACTGAGATTGAATTAACTGAGATTGCTCACCAGTTAACTTATTGATTTCGTTACTGATGATCGGTGCTGTTTTTTTCTATACAGGCCAGGTGTGCCCAGTCGGGTACAAACCCATGCAAGGCCGAGCTGGAACAGCCCAAAACCTCACCGAACTGTATCACATCAACTTCATCCTTGTGTGGTCTGTTAGGAAGCTTGTTACAGCCAGTCACTCCTTATACTTCTCATTCCTACTCACTACTCACATCCAAAACCTGTTAAAGGCACTTTAAGGACTCTGTCATTACTCTGGAATCAACTACTACTCATGGATTGTGAACTGTATTTGGTTTGAGATAGCACTGGACTGTCAAATACTGTCAAATTCTGTTTTGCATACTGTTACATATTGTTGAAGCTGATTGTGGACCAAATTTTGTTTATTTGTGGAAAAACTTTGTATCTTGGTATCTCCAATCAAAGTACTTGATAATGTTGACCTATGGACTGTGGCAAAACCCTATTTGGACAAAGCATAGTAAAAAAAAAAAAAAAAAAAGAACAACATATTCTTGGACAATGTCAAAATATATGTGTATGTAAATGTTTGTGTCACTGCATTGACAAACTCTGTACTACACACACCCTCACTATAATATTATTTATTTATTTTATTATTATTATTATTATTATTATTATTATTATTATTATTTATTTATTTTTTTTCTGTATGCGTGTTTAGTTAAGTCTGTCTTATTGTGGATGTGCTGGGTATCTAATCCCTTAAATTTCACAAATTATAAATAAATAATAAAGTACTTGATAATAATCCGCAGACTGTACATCAGGGGTCACCAAACTTTATTCTCTGGGGGCCACATGGATCCTGACTGTGATGGGGGTCGGGGTCAGGTTGGTCGTATAACAGAATTGTTTGACCCTGACGACGCAGATTATATTCTTTGAAAACCGCAACACTTTTTTTTACACATCAGACAAAGTACACGCTCCTCACACTGAACAAAAAAATAATCGGTCGTCCACTGTTCTTTTAAAACTTGGCACTCTCTGTCAACTTTTTGTACTTTAACATGAGACATTTTGCTGTACTTAACTGTAGTACAGAACTCTGCAGTACAATACTCTCCACTACAGTACTCTGCACGACAGTACTCTGCACGACAGTACTCTGCACTACAGTACTCTGCACTACAGTACTCTGCACGACAGTACTCTGCACGACAGTACTCTGCACGACAGTACTCTGCACGACAGTACTCTCCACGACAGTACTCTCCACGACAGTACTCTCCACGACAGTACTCTCCACGACAGTACTCTGCACGACAGTACTCTCCACGACAGTACTCTGCACGTGTGTTTGACCATCACTGTTTGATCTCGAGTTTGTCAGGTGACGAAGATTCAGCGGCAAATATAAATATGTCATATAATTATTTAAATATAAACACTTCATATAAATATAATTTTTAATTGAAAAAATCAACAAAATACAAGATGCAGATGTGTTATTATTTGCCAAAAAGTAATTTTAAAAAATAGGCCATGACAACTTTTGAGGATTGCGTCATAGGGCCAGTTCGGAGTCGGCACGTAGGCCTTAGTTTGATGACCCCTGCTGTAAATCATCTCTGTTGATATACGGCACCAAACACAAACCCAAATCACTGTCTTCTTGTATTATTCTGTCACGCACCTCAGAGTCAATACCTACGTTCTGACCTCGACTACAATAACCCCTTTTTATCTCTTTTAGCCAGCGTCTACTCAGGAAAGGTTCATTTCTGTCCTGTGAATGTAGCTTTAGTATCAAAACTAGTCGCAGTATTTTTAGTATTTGATTTCTGATACTTTTGACAGCCCAGTTCCTTAGTATCAGAATGGAGTTTGTTGGGTTTTCATTGCGCTCACATTTGCAGACGCAGGCTCGGTCCATCATCCAGATGAGAGAGGAGCAGTACTCGCAGTAGGTGGGGATGCTGTACTGAGTGGACTTAAAGATGTGCCCCATGTGCTCCTCCACCTGCAGCACAGACACAGACGCAGGGTTACACGAGAAAATATGAGAAGGAGGGAAAGCAAAGGTTTCAAAAGACTTACAATGTCCGTGTCCTTCTTCCTCCGCTTTTTACGCTCTAATTTTGGCACCTGCTGAAAGACGAAAGAAAAAGTTTCAGTTTGTCCTGCTTGTGGTTTTGCAGTCTCGTGTGGTCCCGTCGTGTCTTACCTTGCTGACGGTGCTGTCTAGAGGCTTGTACTCGGTCATGAACTCGTCCAGGAACACTTTGAACGTGTTGACCCAGACTCGGACCGGGGACTCGCTCCAGTCCCTCTGCTCCTGCCTCATGCTCTTCTCCAGGATGTGTTCAAACAGAGCGTACAGGTCTTTGTATCGGACGCTTTTACAGTCGTCCATCTGGAACAGGACACGAGGATGACTTCAGGTGTCTATGTTAGGCTGGTCATTTTACTAAAACACACTTTAAATCATTCTATTTCAGATTTTTGCTAAAACGTTCACACTTGCTTTCACAATTTGGACGTTTTTTAGGTTTATAATTTTACTTCCTGGTTGGAAATCGTGACACAAAACCAACTAACATGACAGATACAAATATAGTTCATTAATAATTGAATTCATGTTTAAAGTATCAAAAAAAAGGGTTTGTGTTTTAGTCAACTGTACCTAAATTTTGGATAGAATTCTCCCTAGTGTGATGTCATTACAGTGTTTAGAACCCTTTACTTAATGTAATTTTCAACTTTTCTTTGCAAACTGCTTCTTGTTGGGTATAAAACTATAATTTATTTTATTTACAATAGTTATAATCACAGCAAATTAAGTTAAAATTAAAGAATCATAAAAATCTGTCCTATGTTCTAGAGGGACACAGACAGCAATATTCAGGGCGGTGTGGATTTTCTATCATTTTTAGTCACATCGACCAATCTGGGAAGAATCTGGGGCTTTTTTTTTTTTTTTACTGTAAACTTACAAATAAAAAATAACCCTCTAATTCTAATAAATGAGTAGGCCTTTTAAAGGAATTTCACCTTTATACTTTATTACAAATTTCATTTTTAGTGATTGGTCAGGACAGCGTAGGCCTGGTGGTTTGATCTATTGTGCATGTTTTGGGTTGATGGAGGAAACCTCCCCAGACACAGGGAGAACATGCAAACTCCACACAGAAAGGCCCGGGTGACCTGAGGATCAAACTCAGAACACGCCTGTCAAGTGTGAGTGCTAGTCACTAGATTTCAGAACTGAAATCTGATTTTCCTCTGTGCCGAGCTTGTTCCCACTTAGAATGAGAGTAGATGCCAGAGGACCAAACTACAGAGCCTCAGCTTCACAAAGGGTTCAGACACAGATTCAGATTCAGTTAAGAGTCGTTTAGTTGAGGTGTTTTAGGGAGAATATGCTTCATGGAAAGGGCTGGATATAAACACATACCGCCAGAGCCGTGGAGTAGGAGATGAAGATGTTCAGACGGAATTCCTTCAGAGCCTTTTTGAAAACAACGTCCACCATAGTGTCCTTTTTACTGTCCTCTGTTTCCAGGTCATTGATCTGGAAAAAATACAGAAACACAGTGAAGTAACATAGAAATCCATAGTACTGAGACTGGGAATATGGACAGACTCTGTAGAATCACAGCTCCACAAAGCCTGAAGCTGCAGACGGAGACAGGCCTCATGTGAAGCTCAATCCTCCAGAATTCCCTCCCTGATGTACAAAGAATTGCACTAGCACTGAGTCAGGACTGGTGCATGGATTTAGGTAGAGACTATTCAGATCAGAGAGAGGTTTAAACACACTGAAATTCAGCACTGAAACTGGCAACCCAAACGAGAGAGTCATGTGAGACTAATTCTGTTTCTGATTGGATAATCGTCTAAAACTAAAACACCATACAACTTGAAGCACCAATGAAGACTAAGTAGTCAAAATGCATTGATGTGACAATTAATAAATACACCGCAAATCAAAGTGCGTCTGCCATCTTTTTTCTACTCCACAAGAATTCAAGGCTCTGGTCTGATGAGCATCTGTATGCACAAGTGCAGCTCTCCAATATCATTCTTTTTACACCAAACAACTTGTTCATCATGTCCAATGTTTGTGTAACACATAATGAATCAGCTTTAGAATTGTTATCAATAAAAGCTAACAGTTTATTTGACCATATCTACATTATATCAAACTCAAAATCAAACGTTTCTATAATAAGGCAGAATAAACTGGTACAGATAACTGTGATGGATGAATATGAGGGAAACATTGCAATCACACATCACATGTGCAGTATAAACAGTGTTGGGGAGTAACAGATTACATGTACCGAAGTTACATAATCAGAGTACAAATTATGAGTAACTGTATTCAGTTACAGTTACTGTTTCTGTGAGTGGTAATTGGATTACAGTTCCTTTGTTGAAATAAATGGATTACATGGTGGTATTTTCCTGTTTTCACATTTCGGGGTACTTCCTTTTTTTTTTTTTTTCCTTGGTAATTCCACTCATTGCTGGACACTAATCCAGGTCTAATCCAGGTCTAAACCCAGATCCAAACCAGGTCTAAACCAAGACTAAAGCAGGTCTAAAACAGGATTTAACAGGACTAAACCATGCTGCGTGGACCGTGGCTCCTCCTCTTCTATCAATAATATTTTTATTTTTTGATTGTCTTTTAACAGACTTATGTGAAGATATCAAAGTCTTTGCTTCTCTACAGCAAACCAAGTAATCCAAAGTATTCAGATTACATTACTCATTTTAAGTAATTTAATGGATTCTGTTACAAACTACATTTTGGGGTATGTAATCTGTAATCTGTAGGTGATTACATTTTAAAAGTAACCTTCCCAACACTGAGTATAAACCACAGCTGTACCTTCTTCATGAGGAAGTCGTTCATGCTGCGGTAGTCGTTGGAGCAGGACAGGATGTGCAGTGCGTCGTTCTGCCACTGGGCGGGCTCCAGAGCCACACTGCTGATCTTCACGCTGCGTCTCCTCTTGACTTTGGGGGAGGGCTCCTTGGGCTCCTTGTTCTCCTTTAGGTCCCTGCTCCCCCGCTCCAGAGTGCCACTGGGGCTGAGGGGAGGGGACATGTTCTCTTGACCTGCAAAAGGACAAACACAGCAGCTTTAGAAGGTTTTACAGTTTTGTGTTAAACTACACACTCAAACCTCTACTTTGCTTAGGAGTAAGTAGATTTAATATGATACTGTATTATTATATTGTGAGTTAAAACAGTTTAACCGTAAGATAATACTACAAGAGTGCACTTTTGGCTTCTCATTGGTAGTTAAAGCGTCAGTGTGCAAGTTTTTAACCAAAAATAATAAAGTCAAATAAAAGCATGGTTTTATAGTACTGAAAAAGAGCCTAGAAACACATGCTTTCTCACTGTGCTCGGCTTTCATCTCCATAAACCTGACTCAGACTGGCCTAGATGAGGATTCCCTCCTGTTTGTTTCCATGGAAATGTTGTTGCTTTAACTGTAATTTTCCACATTATTGCAAAAAACATTATATACGTGATACAGACTTTCCACGGAATCATGACGCTGACCATTTACAGAGTGATACTGTACCTTTAAAAACACTGTTCATATTTGATATTTAGTCAGTGGGATGGGGCTTAGTTAGGCTTGGTTAGAGCACTCGTCTACTAACCCAAAGGTTGGAAGATCGATCGAAATCTGACCAAGTTTTGTTGTTGCGTCCTTGGGCAAGACACCTCACCCACCTGGCCTTAGTATGAATGTTGTGCATCAGTCCATCAGTCCATCTCTAAAAGTCTATTATGTCCTTCATTTATTGTTGATTTGGTCAAATCAAAACTGAAATTGGTTTTACGTAATGAAACATATACTCGTAGATGCACATGTGTTGTTTAGTGTCGTTCTCACCCTCTCCCAGGAGCACTGCAGCGTCTGTAGAGTCCAGCTCCAGAGAGTCGGCTCCACTGATCAGCTTCTCTTCTCTTCTTCTGGATTTGCCCCAGAAACGCATCTTACGCACCCTGTCCACACCAGCAAAGTCACACATCAGTACAATGTCTGCAGCTCAGTCAAATACTTGTATGCACTATTAACTACACATAACATATTTAGATCATGTTATTGGATCACAAAGTCATTATAGGAAATAATTTAAGAAATTATATAACTTACAGTCATGGGGGAAGTTGAATTTTTTGTTGCAATATCAGAGTAATAATATTTTAAAACAGTAGAATTTTTGTTCTTACAAGTGCTCCTGACTGTTTATAGGATTTGTTCTTTCAGAAGAACATTTTCAGTTAGGAAAAAGTTTTATGAATGCCAAAAATGTTCATAAGAAGGCCTAAGAACACATTTGTTTCATGAATGAGGCCCAATGATTTTTGCTTAATACCCGTTCTTTAAAATATGAAACATGTAATAAAAAACTGAAGATTGTTAAAGACCTTCCATCCTGGGAGTTCTTCCGGATGCTTTCCACTTTTCCCAGATCTCCCGAGGACATGGCTTTGTGCATCTTTTTCTTCTCTTCACCACTAGGGGGCTGAAACAATAGAATACATGCAACGTTAAACACACGGATATTTACAGATACAGAATTTAAAAACAGGATGAAGAATTTAGCGTTCTGAAATCAATGAGATCATCTTAGAACCCCACCCATGGGCCTTTTTCTGCTACACTCCTTTCCTTCCACTAGATGGTGCTATAGGCTTGGTTCTAATAAGCTTGTCTCTACAATAACATGTCAGTTTGGAAAATATTCAGTTTGAATATAAAGACTATTTAAAGGACTCAGATTATTCTATTTTCTGATCCATGTTATAATGTTGTTTCCTCATCAAAAACAGGCCTGGATTTGTGTTTTGTTTCATTCACAAACGTTTTTAACACACAAGTCCTTCATATTTACGTTGAGTTTTTCTCTCAAACTGAAAACACTCTGTTCATCTTTGTAATGTCATGTGGTAATACAGGAAGAGCTCCACTGTGTTTTTAAACTTCACACACCTTCACTAGAATAGCTGTTAACTTCAAAACTACCACTACATGACATCACAAGGTGAAACTGAGCATTTTTAGCTTTGGAGATGTAAACAGACTAATAATAAAGAGTTACTCAAACGTGTAAATGAAACAAAACACAACTGCGGGTGTGTTTTTGAGGAGGTAACAACATTCTAACGTGACTTAAAGCTCACAGGAGTCTTTAACTGGGCTGCATACGGTTTCATTTTGTCTGATAATTGCTGATTGTTCTGACAAATATTCATGATTTCATTTGAGATTTGATTTTGAACACCACTAACTTTTGAGGAGACTAAAACAACGCTCTATTCTGTAAAGAAAGGACAGAACAGTGACGGCTTGCTCCAGCCCCGGATGTCAATTTCCCGTTCATTCTTCCCAATGACTTTTCCAAAAATTCAAATATTAACAGCTCAAAGGAATTGTGGAGGCCTGTGAGCTACGTACAAACTAACATCCATAACACAGCTGTTTTAAGACCAAAAAGCACATTTAAAACGCAAGATTCTGCAAAAAGTTTTGATAAATAAAATGATACAGCTGTATGATACAACAACTCACCTAAAGTCACAGATAATACTCCCTACAACTGTACAACAACTCACCATTATGTGACAGATAATACTCCCTACAACTGTACAACAACTCACCCTTTTGTAACTGATAATACTCCCTACAACTCTGCAACAACTCATCCTTATGTAACAAATAATACTCCCTACAACTGTACAACAACTCACCATTATGTGACAGATAATACTCCCTACAACTGTGCAACAACTCACCTTTATGGAACAGATAATACTCCCTACAACTGTGCAACAACTCACCCTTTTGTAACTGACAATACTCCCTACAACTGTGCAACAACTCATCCTTATGTCACAGATAATACTCCCTACAACTGTCCAACAACTCATCCTTATGTAACAGATAATACTCCCTACAATTGTACAACAACTCACCCTTGTGTAACAGATAATACTCCCTACAACTGTACAACAACTCACCCTTATGGAACAGATAATACTCCCTACAACTGTGCAACAACTCATCCTTATGTAACAGATAATACTCCCTACAACTGTGCAACAACTCACCCTTTTGTAACAGATAATACCTACAACTGTACAACAACTCACCATTATGTCACAGATAATACTCCCTACAACTGTCCAACAACGCACTTTTATGTAACAAATAATACTCCCTATAACTGTACAACAACTCACAGCTTGCAGACTTTTAATATAAATCTTTTTCGGAAAAGTCTATGGGGAAAACTGAAGGGGAAAATGTACTTCCAGAACCAGGGAGTGGGCGATCACTGCTCTGCTGCACCAACTCAAATTGTGATTTTAATTCAACTGTGATTACCGAGCAGTCCTTCTATTTGAAGCTTTTTTAAACTGTAACCTGTACTGTAAGTGCGTCATCATAAAATAACCAGGAGGAACAGAATAAAATGCTGCTTGTCAGAATAAAGTCATAATGATTATATTGTGTAACTGTAATAATAAGAAGGTGCTGGATAAACAGCCTTGGTGACAGAAACAACATCTGATTCAAAAAGTCAATCACAAGAAATGCTAATTGGTAGAACATGCAAAAATTAATCGGAGAAAATCAGTTAGTCGGAAAGCAGATTCAGTCATTATGTTAGTCCATCAGTCTAAAGAAAACATCCGAGAAAAGCTCCTGCCAGAAGACTTCAGACAGGGCTTCCCCGATGTCTCCTCTGCTCTTAGGGTTAGTTCAATCGCATTGCTGCATTGGCGGAGAGGGTTAGGTGGAGGCGCGGTGCACAGTTGCGTGGCCAGGTGGCGCTGTTACCATGTCCGAGTCACTGAAACACGCCCCCTCTGCCTCTGGGTGGTCAGGGGCGGGGCTCGCGCTGGCTTTGGGCAGGGGGAGGGTGAAATGGCGGGGGCTCAGGGGGCTGTCGTCGTCGTCGTCTGAGTCTCCGCCCACTGACAGGACGGGCGCGCGGGTCAGGAAGTCAGAGCGCGTCCGGGCCATTCGCGCTTTCTTTTTTGGGCCCGCTCTGCCCACCTGGAGTTCATCACAAGTCACAGTGTGTCAGGGTGATGGGAGAGCCAGCTCGCCACAAGAGTTCACTCGACTAATCCTAAGAGTTTCTCACAGTTTTTGTCAAGCTCCAAAAGAAAATAAAAATAAAATCTGACTGAAATTAAATGAAAATTAATCAAAAAGGATAAAATTACAACTTTCATCAGATTTAGAATTTTTGAATTCTCCAACATGCTCCTACAGCTTCGCTCAAACGGTGAGAGATACAGGACCACATTCAAACTATAATACTCCCTACAACTGTACAACAACTCACCTTTATGTAACAGATAATACTCCCTACAACTCGGCCTTATAACCCTATGTCCTGTCAATCATGTCATTGTTGCACTTTCTATGACCTCTTGTATAAAGCTGAAATTTTATATTTTATTACTTATCTTTCTATTTTATTTTGTGCATTTACATTTATATATTTATGTCTTATTTGACTCTTTTTTGTTACTTATTTAGAATTTATTATAATTTATATTTGTTACTCTTTGTTATTAACATATATTGTGGTGTGTGAGCTCCTGTGTCCAAATAATTTCCCTTGTGAATCAATCAAATTTGACCAAGTCTAACGCTGAATTTCTCTTTATGATTTTTTTAACTCTGGAAAACTAAATTAATTATTTAATTTAAATTGCTATATACATTTTCAGTGTGTTAAAAAAAAAAATCCTCTTAAATATTCAGCACATGATACATTAGAGGTTCTGTACTGCATTTCTTGGTTCTTACTAAGTTAGATCAACTCTCTTATTTATAGCTTAAGCCCTGGCATCTGGGATCTTTGTTGTAAAATTGTTCACTGATTTTTACAGCCTGAATTTAGACTGTTGAATCTCAGGGCTGGAAAATACTCATCCATCTAAAAAAAATTGAATATCACGAAACAGTTCAATATTTTTTGTGAGTCATTTCAGAAACCTATATATTATATAGACTTGTGACACACAGAGTGAAGCTTTCAAGCTTTTATATCCCCAAATTTTGGGTTTTTATTATCTGTAAACCATAATTATCAAAATGTCAAGCAATAAATGCTTCAAAACTTCAGTCGATCCCAAAGACTGGGTCGCTGCCCTCAGGTGGGTTGCAGGAGATATTTTTGGGGTCTTTTTGTCACGATGTGCATGTAGGTCTGCGAAATATGATTCTGACACATGACACATCTATGCTCACAAAAATGAAAACAAAGCACAGAAACAGACTGAACTGTCTGACTGTCTGATCTGCTGCTGCACTTTTTTCCTGCACCTGGACTGAAACACGCTACAAAAACACAGACAGGCCCACCTATCTCACTAGACATGTTTGTATAATTTCTAATCTGTTTGTCATTATTTTAATGACTCTTTTGTTCCAATATTTCTAGTTCAATTGAATGTTGAAAAGAAAAAGAAATGTTCTACATTTAATGTCCAAATAAGGGCCTTTTGGATCCTTTTATTGCTGCTTCAATGTTTTTCATTGTTTAAAACTTGAGTCACACGAATTGTTCAGAGAGACACAATCACTCAGTTTTTAATTTTCAATAATGCTCAAATCCACCTTTATTTTGTGATTTATGAATAATGTCTATTGACTTGGGTTGCAAAGGTTTGTGACTTTTAAAATATGGGTGCCCCTAAAAAAAATGGGAAACACTGCTCTATATATGGTAATATGTGGGTTTGACTTTCTGAAATGTGTCACAAAAAACATTGAACTTTTTCATGTTATTCAATTTTTTCGAGATGGATTAGTATTTTCCAGCGCTCAAATTCAACAGTCTAAATTCAAAGTGTAAAAATCAGTAAACATTTTTGCAGCAAAGATCCAAGATGCAATGTCTTAAGCTATAAATCCTAAGAGAGTGAATCTGAATTTGTAAAAACCAATGTGACTGGTCAGAATAGACCTAATAACAAACTGCAGAAGAGAACAGACATTCCTAAACCTAAAGTCTCTGTCCTGTCTTAAAAAAATTAAAAGTGAAAGAAATTCAATTCAATATAAAACTCAAAATCTGATAAAACAAATACTTTCCATATATAGTATTTATATTTTTGTTGAATTGTAAAACCTAAACTGAATGAAATGGATGGGTCTAGACTAGATCCAATTTCTACTTTCCGCAAACCAGACCATAACAAACCACGTCTGAGGAGCATGACTACAGCTATAATGGATTTAGTCAACTAAATTATCCTTTCAGTCAGTCAAGTTAAACTAAACTAGACTAAAACTAAACAGAACTGACTAAATCTTGACTGAAACTACAAATCATTTTAGTGAAAGGACTAACTAAATGAGAATGTCAAAATGAGCACTGGTCAGGAGCAGCGGTGCATGTACTGTAGGTCAGTAGTACTTCATCCCATCATTCTCAGCACACGTCACTCTGGAACCTTCACGCACATCAGCACATGCTCACAAACAAACACAGGCGCCGCTTACATCTCGAGATTTGGAGGTTTTAGACGAAGACTTGGAGGTGGGTGGAGCTCCCTCTTTCGGACCAGCCGGGGCCCCTTTGGAGACGGCATCCCCTTCAAACCTGCAGCATACGTCAGAAATAAGTTAAAAACGGTAAGATACTTTTTAAAATTTTAGTTTTCTGTCCCCAATTTTTTCCTATACATTATGTAACTGAGTAAAATGGGTCTTGCCCCAGAACAGATATACTGTATAAGCAGATGTAGAGGTCAAAATAAGTCTGCTGTGTGTGTCTGCATCTTTATTGTACAAAAAAGTGATGATTTAAAAAAAAAAGTCTAACACTGTAGAAGCCTTAAAAAAAAAAAGGAAAAAAAAGTATAACGTACAAAGCGTTATGTTTTGAAGGATATACAGCTCTGGAATTAATTAATTCTGCATTAAATTTTGTTTGTTTTAATTCATATTTTGTCTCGTATATTTACAGTAACTCACAAGTGTAATTGTAAATGCAAACTTGCTGTTCATACTCTGCTTTTCTTTCTTGGAATTCTGTCATTGTTTAAACGGGTTTGGCATTAGAAGTACTTTTTACTTCAGCCTAAACCCTTTCAGTCATGATCCAAGAGGTTGCAGTCTATGTTTTGTTTTGTTTTGTAGTGCTGCAAAAACACCAAATAAAACTACTACTACTAATCGGGAAGTACAAGTTAGCATGCTATTTGTTGTCAGCTTTACCGTCACAGCAAAACTCAGACTGGCTTTTGTTGTGAGAAACGCTTATAAACTCATCCTGGTGAATAATGTGGGTGCTCGGAGTAAGTTTGGAGCACTGCAAACTGTTTCAAATGAACTAGTTCTGTTTTTGACGTTTTTCAGACAGTCAAAATCAGGTACTGTGGCTTTATTTCAATGTCCCAAATAGCTCGTCTACGTGATATGTGGGTCACTTTGGTCCATAGAGTATAAAGGATGGAAGCAGCACACTCACTTTGTAAAGGTGACTTTGTCTTTGGGCGAAAAGAAGATGTTGCTGCTCTTGTCGCTGAGGCTGACCGCGGTGCCCTGCTGGACCGGCTGCTTCTTGGGCACGCTTTTACCTTTGACCCCTCCCTCTCTGGACTCCAGCTTGAGTTTGGGGACCCATCCTTCGGGGGTCCCTTTGCTGTCCTTGTGCCTGGGACTGGACCCTCTCTGTGGGGGTAGCTGTGGCTGCGGGGTGACTCCCTGGATGTCTACAGCGGGGGGAGAGTGCATTGAGGGGGGAGTGGAGTCAGACTCGGTGCGGGCTCGGGGGGTAGGACCGCTGGCTTTTTCTATGTACAGTGAGTTGGGCCTGCTGGGTCTCCGGGCCCCTGAGGTGTCTGGGGCCTCCTGTCTGCTCTGCTGGATCTTCTGGAAAGCTTCTTCTTTCTGCTTCTCTAAAATGTCCTTCCCAGACTGAGCGAAGAACTGCCTCTGTCGCTCCAGCACCTCTTTCTGCTTTCTGATCTGCTCCATCATCTCCTTTTCGTTCTGCTGTTGCTGGTTCCTCTGCCTCTCTTCTTTCTCCATGTTCAGCTTCACCAGTTTGTCGATGATGGCCTGGTCTGTGCGGGGGACGGGGCTCGCGTTAAGGGGAGAGGGCGTCAGCTCTCCTGTCTGAGCTGCAGTGTCCCGCAGCTCCACTGGGGGACGGACCATGTCTGTTAGCTCTTCACTTAGCGGAGACTCTTTTTGCATGCTAATGACCACCACCACCGGTCTGCGGCTGGACTCCCGCCTTTCTTTGAGAGCTTTGGCAGGAGTGGTGCTAGTGGTGGTGGTGGTGGTAGATGTTTGTGTGTGCGGTTGAGGCTCAGTCACAGGTTGCTGTGTAGCGCTGCCTTCAGGGACGTAAAATGTTGGGAGGTAGTTTTCGATTTTGGGCGGATGTGAAAGAGGAGTGGGTTCTGTCTCTGGAGCTTTATCTTCTGAGGTGGGTCTGTCAGGCTTTGGGCTGCTGGACACAGTCTCTACACTGGGCTCTGGTTCCTGTGAGACAGAATGCACAGGAGAGCACAGATCTTCAGTGTCTGTGATTTCTGCCACAGCTTTAGGGGGCACCTCCTCCATACTGAGCAGCTCAAAGCTGCCCTTGGAGCTCTGACTGTCGGGGGTGCCCTGAGGAGAGCGCAGAGGAGGAGAGGCGGATGGGACGAACTCCAGGGACCACCGGCGCTCTTCAGACGGGGACGAGGGCCCTCCGGTGTTGGCCCGCACTTTGAGCAGCTCCAGACTGAACTTGGCCTGTTCCAGCTCTCTCATCCTGCGGCTCTCCCTCTTGGCTCGGGTGGTCTTCTGGCTGGGCTCGTCCACAGTGCGCGCTCTCTCCCGCAGCACAGAGGGCAGTGACGCCTCTGCTTCTTCACACTGGAGCTTGGACACCTTAGCAGTCTCCTCCTGCTGTTTGATGGAGGCCTCCCAAGTGCTGAGGTCCAGACCTGGGATGGTTTCAGGCGTCCCGTCATCCTCTGGGGAAACCCTCACTTCTCCATTCTGTAGTTCACGGAGTCTCTCCTCCTCTAGCTCCTTTAGCCTCTGTGCCTTTAAGCCTTCAAATCTGAAAAATACACAAGAACAACAGCACTTTCTATTACAAGTCCACTGAAACATGTACTAAGAGGTTCCCTGTGGGGTTAAGGACTGAATTTCTTGTTTAAATAAAGAGGAAAAAACACAAACATCTCTACAGATCTCCATTGGTGACTAGGGATGGGCTGATAACGGTATTTGCTGATATGAGCTTTTACAATCCACAGCGAGGCCCACAAGAGCATAATGCTCTTCCATTTCCATTTTGACTCATGGGTCTGTACCAAAAGGGCACACAGAGAATGGGGCAGTAAAAATATTGGTATTGAACACCAACAGTCAAATACTGCTGACTAAATAATTGAACACATTCTTCTATTGAAACTTTGCAGCTCATGTCATCAACATTCCCCGGGAGTGTGATGCTGTTTACAATCTCAACTTTGTTTTAACATAATCTGCCCATAAAGAAGTGACTGAGCTGGAAATACAACAAACTTTTGTATTTGCTAATGTGTGCATTGTGACACCATGGTAACTGCTGAACATTCCTCCATAGGCATACAGGCACATCACCCCCAGAGTGATGAGTGAGATACAAAGACAGGACTGAAAAGCAGGTGTAGTCGTGTACCTTTTCCTTGCGAGCAGCCCCCTGCACAGAGCCTGTAGCTGCAGCACAGAGCTGCAGAGCTGGAGGTAGCTCTGTCTGGCCTGGTGAGTTCTCCAGGCCGACTGGATGACCACAGCAGCTGAACAGCGCCTCTGGACCCACAGCCTCCAGGCCCTCTGCAGCACCAGCACAGACTCCCTCCAGAGCTTCAGCCTCTGCCGGGCACGATAGCCCCTCCAGTGGGCCTGTAGACACACTGCAGCGCTCTCATACGCAGCCAGGTCCAAAGCCTCTTCATCCTCTGTCTCCACCTCTTCCTCCTCCTCCTCCTCCTCCTCTGAGGGCCGGTACACTCGCCACCATTTCTGACAAAGGAAACACAAAACAGCAGTCAGTTAGTTGTTAACATTTTGTTCATTTATGTTGGTCCATGAATGACAAGCCAACATAAGAATGTAGTTTTTGGATAACAGTGAAACATTTGAAATTATAATCCTCCAGTTTTCAAAGTGACACAATGTATTATTATTTTTAAACAAACTCACAATTATTTTGGTGCACTTTACAGGGTCAACCGCCTGTTTTTCTCCTTAGACATATTATAATTTTTTATAAATCAGAGAACATGCACACTACCAATGTTTTATCTATGCTTTAATGTTGTTTCATTCACACATTTTGACACACAAACCCTGCACATTTAGGCTGAGTTCTTCTCTCAAACTGAAAATGCAACTGATCACGTTTGAGTAACCCTGTATTTATGTTCCACCTTGTGATGTTATGAAGTTGCAATAGAGTAAGTTCTCTGCCGTGCTTTCAAACTCCATACACAATCACTAGAATCATTTCAATAATTGGCAAAACAGTGAAGATAGAGCTATTGTCTGAACGTCTTTGTTTCTCTGTAAACATTATAGACTCTGTGGCAATCGCAACTGAACTAAAGGTAAAACAAGAATATTTTTAGAAAGAGTAACAATTTATGGATATTCTAGTGCATTGCCGTGTCATGCTGATCAATTTAGACTAGAAATAACTGTTAACTTGAAAACTCTTGCTTCATGACATCACAAGGTGGAACAGAGCATGTTGAGCTTTGGAGATGGCCCAATAACGCAGATTTACTCAAATATGTGTTAATAAAGTAAAACTAAACACAACTGTGAGTATGCTTATGACAAGGTAACATGCTAACATTGTTAAAACCTCACAGGAGTCAATTTTGCGTAATATCGGATCTTTGAATAAACTCTTTGACTGTACCTGTATACAGACAGCGGCCTCTCTCATCCTGCAGAAGTGTTTCCTCTCCAGGTGAGCTCTGAAGCGCCGCTGCAGGCTGACGATGAGCCGGAGCACCTCACTGTGGAGCAGGGCCTGGAGCTTCTGCTTCTCAGCCTCACGGAAGAACACCTGAGGGAAGAGAAGGACATGAGGACCTGGACATCAGCACCAGAGCGCACCTCCGCACTACGCACTGAGTCACATCACGTCTACAGGGCACAGGGCTGTCCTACAAGAATGTGAGCTATGGTCCTCTAATGATATAAACACAAACGCAGACCACAGTGTGACTCACTCATACCAACTACTGCACTTTCATTAAAGAGCTCACGGAGAACGTGGGTCATGTTGATGTCATTTTAAAAGGCGCTGGACCTGATTTCTACTGTCTAAACATTAAACAGTATGCAGTGGTCAAATATGAGTAAGTAAGTAAGTAAATAAGACTGTTTCACAACTTTGTTATCAACACTACATTGGTAAAAATCACAAAATGATTCAATGACATGAGCGTACCATAGTTTTTCCCACTTGGTATCCGTCCTTGGACAGGCTCAGGTGCTGAAGACACTGCTGGATACACTCTTTAGAGGCTCTGGTTCCTTCAGGCAGCAGGACACGGAAATGTTGCACAAAGTCCTACAAGAGAAAACCTCAGTATGAACAATGGCACCAATACAAAGTGATACATAGAAGTCTCTGATCTACAATAGCCACTGAAGGTTGCTGTTGAAGTTGAAAGTGATGTCATAAGATCTTGATATTGTAGCCGTATAGGTTTGTTCAGGGTCATGTCACTTCTGGATCCATCAGCTGGGTGAAAACTATCAACATGTTTACAGGTCATCCTTTTTAGCGACCACCCATCTCATGTTAAAAAGAGATGACGGTTGTCTAAAGCTCACAAGGTAAACAAACAACCACAGCATGGATCTAGAGCACTGTTTCCCAAAGACTGGCTTGTAAGAATTTTTTTTGGGGTCGTCTTGTCACAGTCTGCATGTAAGGCCTGTAATATACAGTTCTGACACATGTTAAAATGTTAAGACATGTTTTATATAATTTCTAATCATTTTGTAATTATTTTATTGACTATTTTTTCCAATATTGTTGGTTCAATTGAATGTTGAAAGGAAAAAGAAATGGGCTACATTTAATGTACAAATAGGCGACTTATGGATCCTTTTATTGCTGCTTCAATGACTGTTTTTCATTGTTTAAACTTGAGTAATACTAATTGTTCAGAGACATAACCAGTCAGTCAACAATAAATTATCCTCATTAACCCTCTCCAGGCAGGTGTTGCAGATTTGCAACAGCTAAATTCCAATTACCTACTTACTCCACATCCATATTTTATGAGTTTTTTTCTTCTCCCATCCGTGCTGATAAAGGTGGGCGATGCAGACTGTGCAAGAACGGCTACACACAAACGGCCTGCCAGAAGTGCAAAATACTTTTTTTGTTTACAAAGGATAAAAAAGTCAGGATTGTATATTACTACCCCATATTATAATTTTCCGCCAAATATCAGATTTTTCCTGATACTAAAATTAATTTGAGCCTGAGAGGGTTAATATTCAATAATGGTCAAATCCACCTTTAAACTATGGGTCCCCAGAAAAAAGTTAGAGAAACACTGATCTAGAGTTAGAGCTGTGACAAAGTGTCCCAGAGCAACATCACTACATCACAACATCTACAGCTTTACTCTGCTGGTACAGTGTTGTATTAGATTGTCTGCCTATTGGTAAATCCTCTAATAATTATACTTGTTGAACTTTGCGTTGTAACACTGTGTGGGACAAATAAAGGTTTACTTTATCTTCCTAAGCCTTAGAATAGCAGCAGGTTCCACATATAGTGTGTCAATAAAAACAGGATGGAACAGATAATACTCCCTACAATTGTACAACAACTTGCCTTTATGTAACAGATAATACTCCCTACAACTGTACAACAACTCAACCTCATGTAACAGATAATACTCCCTACAACTGTACAACAACTTACCCTTATGTAACAGATAATACTCCCTACAACTGTACAACAACTCGAATTTATGTAACAGATAATACTCCCTACAACTTCACAACAACGCAACCTCATGTAACAGATAATACTCCCTACAACTGTACAACAACTCACCCTTATGGAACAGATAATACTCCCTACAACTGTACAACAACTCACCCTTATGTCAGAGATAATACTCCCTACAACTGTACAACTCACCCTTATGTAACAGATAATACTCCCTACAACTGTACAACAACTCACCATTATTTAAGAGATAATACTCCCTACAAATGTACAATAACTCAACCTTATGTAACAGATAATACTCCCTACAACTGTAAAACAACTCAGCCTTATACACCTTTATATAATTATGCCTTATTTGACACTACTCTCGTTATGTTTGCTATTTATTTTGAATTTATTATTACCATTTATATTTGTTCCTTTTTGTTATGATCATATATTGTGATGTATGAGCTACTGCATCCAAATAGTTTCCCTTGTGGATCAGTAAAGTTTGTCTAAGTCCAAGTCCAAGTCTAAGTAAGTTTATTCCAGGATATTTGAGGTACTTTAGGTAAGGCCCCTGCTGTTCATATCTACTACTCCTAACTGAACACAAACACGGAATCCTCCCTCATCTGAACGTTCTCCCAGCCCCGTGCGCTCCAAGCTGCAGGGGGCGGACTGGGAAACCACGCTCTGTTTATGCTATTACGGCGAGGGGGAGAGTTCCACGGAGCCGGACAATACAGCGGCTCTGTTCTGAGAAGACGGGGCTCCTCGGCAGGGGTCCCGCACGCTGACCCCCATCCCACAGATATGTCTCATCACCGGGGAGAGCTGACCTAAGCCGCCTGAGCACCGGTTCTGGTAAGAGCAGATGTGTGGGCTGTTCATCTAGTCAGGAAATCATGACTCCAGGCAGACAAAGATATTAAACCATAATGACCAATAACCACACATGGCTATTTTAAAGAGGGGGTGTTTTACTTCGCTGTGGTATTAATGTTTTTAGATCAGCGTGATGCCTTTTTTTATTATGAGTCAAGTCACTTCCCTTTCAGAGTTTTATCACAACACAATCAGCGTGAACTCTGCTAATGAAACTACTGCACGTCGCATCAGGTTTGGAAAAATGCTGCAGTTTTGTGTAGTGTTTTTTTATATGTTTATCTATATGCGGCGCAAATGTTTTTACACTCCATGATTCTGTCTCCAGTGTTGGGAAGGTGACTTTTAAAATGTATTCTCCTACAGATTACAGATTACATACACCAAAATGTAGTTTGTAACGGAATCCATTAAATTACTTAAAGTGAGTAACGTAATCTGAATACTTTGAATTACTTGATTTGCTGTAGAGAAGCAAAGACTAAGATATCGCAACATAAGATGTTTTGTCTGCTAAAAGAAAAAAATAAAAAGCCCAAACTTTACTTAACCATATTAAAAATATTATTGACAGAAGACGAGGAGACACTGTTTTAGACCTGGTTTAGTCCTGGTTTAGTCCTGGTTTAGACCTGGTATAGACCTGGTTTTAATCCTGGTGTAGACCTGGTTTAGTCCTGGTTTAGTCCTGGTTTAGACCTGGTTTAGATCTAGTTTAGACCTGGGGATATAGCCCAAAATGTGAAAATAGCAAAATCCCTCTGTGTAATCTATTTATTTCAACAAAGAAACTGTAATCCAATTACCACTCACTGAAACAGTAACTGTAACTGAATACAGTTACTCATAATTTGTACTCTGATTACGTAACTCCGGTACATGTAATCTGTTACTCCCCAACACTGTGTGTCTCATATAGAGGATTGAAGAACCACACGGTCACTTGCTGCTGGCACAAAACTCAAACCCGTCGAATCACTTTAAAAAAAATACTGGACAAAAAAAACATTCTCATTTCACCACAGCACTATTTTAGATAAGTACAGCCTGCTTAATTTTAGTAATTTTGTTTATTTTAAATATGAATGTTTATCTATAAATTTTGTATGGACTTGCCCCCCCTCCCCTCCGTTACGGAATTTTATTAAAGTAAAGACTGTCGGTGGGATGGGAACTAGGGCCACAGCCCGGGGGAACTGTGAGCTCCCACACAGATGTACTACATTTGAACAAAGTATGTCTCAATCAGAGGCACTAAATTTCGGAACAGTCTCCCACTATCGATAAGAGAGACTCTTAACCACACCTGCCACTTTCAAATCCCACTTGAAACAGCGGCTAAAGGAAAAACAAGACTTGTGGACCCTTTTAGTTAAGAACTGTCCCTTGTTTTTGTTGTTTTTTCTCTATTAAATTTGTAGTGTTACCTGCCGAGGGACGACAGATGTAAATTGTTTTTTTTCCTATAATCTGGCACATTTACACTGCAGTGTTGTAAATGTTCATTAATATGCACTGTCCCTATAAATAAATAAATAAATCTATGGGGAATTTTGGAGTGGGAGCATGGGTGACTTAGGCTTGTGGCCTGATTTTACACAGAATGTTACAGCAAAACATGAAGAGGAAATGAATAATGCCCGAAAGAGGTCACTAAATTACTCAAACATGCATGGATGACGTATGTTTATAATGACGAAAAAAAAACAAAAAACACCCCTTCCTTTAAAAAACTAGTCACGACTTTTGGAAAACTCTGAAATTTAAGCTGGTTAACTGTGTATTTGTGAAGTGAGTAGTCACTGGATGTACCATAAGTAGAATATTTGATTCTGTGCAGGGTTTGTGTAGTGCCATTTTCAGGATTTCTCCACTGATGATTACCATATTTTTCGGACTACAAGTCACGCTTTTTTTCATGGTTTGGGTGTTTTCTGCGACTTATACTCTAGTGTGATTTATATATTAACATTTTCAGACTGACATCCAAGAGGCTCTAGTCTCGTGTGTCAGTATCTAGTACTACTTTTACTCCTGTACCACTGTCACTTCACTCAACTGCACATGTCTCCTGTAGAAAAAGTAGTGAAATCTGCAGCCGAAAACGGTAATTGAGCAGCAGAAAGAAATTTTGGAGTGAGCAAGAAACTTGTGAGGGACTGATGGAAACGGAGATGGAGAACACAGCTTCACGGCAACTGGGAACGTCTACAGTGCAACTTTCCTGGAAGTCACTGGATGAATCAACAAAGCCTGAACTTCAATGACAATTGAAACCATCCTGTCGGGATTCAGAAAGGCCCGAATAATTCTGGAACTGATGCCGAGTCTGACGACAGCTACACAGAAGAAGAAGCGGCGCGTTGTTTACATCATGGATCTTTGGTTTATCTCCGCAGGTCACGCAGAAGTGATACCGACGATGAAGAATTCAATAGATTTAGTGATTTGGAGTGAGATGGAGAGTTTGGTAAACTTATGTTCTGTTGTTTATGCTATAATTATCTGAATAACTGTTGTAATGTTACGTTAACATATTAACACCTATTCAGTCTGTTGTTCTCTGTTCTGTTGTTGTTACTAGAACTTGCCTTTCAAGATGAAATGTCGGTTCCTGGTCTCTGATTTTATACAATACATTTCCCCAAAAAGTGCGACTTATATGTTTTTCTTCTTCATTGTGCATTTTTTGGCTGGTGTGACTTATACTCTGGAGCGACTTGTAGTCCGGAAAATACGGTAGTTAAATGTAGTTAAACTGTGTGAACGTGAGTTGCATGAGCAGACCGACTGTACCTTGTAGCTGTACTTGGAGTGGTATCCAGACTGGCGTATCCTCACGGTCTCCAGCATGCCCGTGTACCTCAGCTGCCTCAGGACCAGATTATCGTTAAAGCGGAGGGGGAGCTGAGAGAGGAGAGAGGAGAGAGTGGGAGAGGGGGAACAAGAGGAGGCAGGTGGCACATGTTAAGGAGACTCAGGAATGATAAACAGCTTTAGAAATGATTCAACATCAAGAGAGAGAAAAATGCTTTGAACAAACTGAACCCCAACAGTCCACAGTCTGCAGAGAGCACAGTGTACCTTCTCAGCGTTGGAGCGGATGCACTTGACAAAATAAGGCTCAGACTGACCCAGAGTCTCCATCAGCTTATTGAGGGAGGCCTGTGGAAGAAACACAAGCAGAAACATCAGCAACTCAGACCAGACTGTCTAATACAGGAACTTCCCCACTAATAATGATTCATTCTCACAGAAACTCCTAATGTGCATACAGCTTTTTCACTATCATCTAACTACTCTTATAATATTCTTATATATCAAGAATGTAAACAATAGTAAACTCTGTCACAAAGCCACTGTCACAACATCAGATTTATAAAAAGTGAATAAGGCCATTGAGCAATACACTGTAGTGTCCGAGTTATCTACACTAAACATGTTTGAATGAAGAGCAGCGTTCCCATGTGTGGAGCTGTGTGGGATAAACATGTGCTGGTGTGTGCAATAGTGCAGCAGGAGGAATCCAGTCTCCTCCCTCTCAGAGATTAAAGCCATCAGCGAAGCACAGGATGTGGGAAGTGAAGTCATCCACACTGGGGCCCGGCTGGGGCCCTGCCAGAGGGGCCCCCACACTCATCCACACCTCCAGCACCACATCACAGCCATGAGAACGCCTGGCTCACTTTGGGTGTGTTCAATTTACATGGTGAGAGTATTCAAAACATTCACATTGAAACAGTTTATGACGACTTTACAGCCTTGTAATGTCAAACACACGCTTATTTAAGCCTAAAAACAACTGAACTGTTCACTGTCCTTTGTACTTCATATAGAAACTGTACAGTTGGATGAAATAAACCACTTCTATAGCCAAGCCAGAACACTGTCTGTAACATCTGCTCACAACACCAGGGTTTAAATCTTTTGGTAAAATACCACAAAACCAGAAACAACATTAAAATCATAAAAGCAGAATTACAAGCGGACTTCTTTGAGCTGTGAGACATGACTTCACTCATGTCCTACTTTTGGGTTGTTTTTGGAGCACCACAATAAATGAACCAGCAATTTCTCTGGAAGGACATGACAGCATTTATTCTTATGTAACACTTATTATGCTTTAATCATTTGTGATTTTTTTAAAGGCAAAACGAGGACATATGGAGCCACAGAAAGACTGGAGTGCTGAATTAGTCAGTGCATGTAGTTATTTCCTTGTCAAGAGGAAGTCCAGATCTCTGTATGTTTTATCCAGAGGGATGTCAGTCTGTCATGTCTAGAACCACAATTAAACAAGACTGTCCAATCACATTTGTTTATTTCAGTGATGCATGTGAAACCAAGGAGCTCATTGGTCATCTATCATTTTGAATAAAACCTCTCATCACAGACAGCTCACAGCGGCTACAATCATCTGACTTCTTTCTGATCGTGGTCCCTCTGATTCCTCACATCAAACAGTGCAGTCTCCATGTTCTTCAAAACCATTTAAAAGGTCTACAAATCATTATTATCAGATTATGTTGAGTTTAATGCTTTGCTCAATGATTCTGCACACATCCACAATCTTTTCCCTTGATATTGTTCCCATCTTGTTTCCTCAGAAGCGTGCATATTTGTTTTAACGCGGTGTGTGGTGCCGTCTCTTCTCTGGCCTCTCACCTGAAACTGTGCACTTATACTGGGCGGCTTCTTCTTCTTGTGGAGGTGGAGCAGAGACTTTGTGATGCGGTCGTGAAGAGTCAAGTTGCTCAAGTACTTCAGTGACTTAACATTTAGTAAGTGCTGCAGGGGGAGAAGGCAAAGCATGGTTAGTTTGAGAATTACTTTTAATTAATAACTGCATAAACACCCTTTGGCTGTACAGCTGTGATTCAGATGATACCACAATGTTCTATAAGGGAATCATATTTAACACAGATGGGGGCAAATAAAAATGTTCTGCATGTTTGTCTATGGAGGAATGTTCAGTTACCATGGTGATACAATGCATACATTAGCAAACACTGTCAAAAAACGTTTGAAGATAATCTGAAATTAAGAGACTTGTTTAACAGCACAAATCATTTTCGTGGTTATCTGAGGTGGATAGGACTCTGTTACATTTACTTAAATAACTCTTGGATTAAACTACCTTCCAGAGTACTTTTCTGGGAGCATACTTTTACTCCAACAGTACTCTTACTTGACTAAAATTTTTGGCTGCTTTTCCCATTTTGAGTAAATCTAAAGGGACAAAAGCTTTATGTGACAATATGAAATGATTTGAACATTTTCATGCGTCACTCCTACAAAATAGGATTTAGTTTGTCTCATTTTTTGTGTCTATATAAAATAAAATTGCAGATTTTGTGCATTATTTCATGTTTTATCCTTCCAAGTAGCCTACTTTAAATAATAAATCAGATGTTGCTCTTAAGTTACTTTTACATGAGTTTTTACTCTCGAGTCATTTCTTGAATCACTACTCTGTACTTCTACTCGAGTGATATTATTTTAAAGTAAGGTTACCAGAATAAAAACAAAAAACAAAAAACAAAACTGGGACATCCCTGCTTATTTGATCACTGGTAATAATAAAATTGTGAAACGAATGCGTAATTAAGGAAAATGTTCTGCAGACACCATTCATGACTAATATGTGAGTCAGTACGGTCACATTTTCTTTGTGTTTTGGTAATTTTTAAGCAGCTTTTTTGTATTTTACCTAAACAAATGACAATTTATGACGCTCTTTACTGTTGGCAGGGATCGGATTGGTCAAAAAAGGGACACCTGGGACATTTCTTGTATAAAACTGGTACAAATGAATGGTTTTGGATAAATCTGCTGGGACAGAGGACACAGGCGCAAAACTGGGACTGTCCTGGGTCAATAGGGACGTCTGGCCACTTTATTTAAAAAAGTAACTTTACTCTTACTTGGTTAAAATTTTTGGCTACTCTGCTGAATTACAAATCCAACCAAGTCAACTCTGTCTGGTCAGATTGTGTTAAAACAAGCTCAGATTAAAGTCTAGGGATGTAACGATATCCAAATCCGTCAATGCAATATTTTTACGATATGCATCTCATAGTTTGATATTTATTTTGATATTTTGTAGAGCTTTACAAAATTGTGATATATGACTTTTTCCTTTCAAAAGCCTCAGAAAAGCCTTGAAAAGCCGCTGCTACTGTTGTAATATGAAGAATTAAGATTTATAAGCATTTAATAACAGTTATTTCTTCTTGTAGTCTGCACTGACAACACCAAAGGATCATGGTCTATGTAGTTCCCTCTCTTTTTTAGCTACTGCTGCACCATGACAAGGCAAAACAAAGTAATTCAAAGTGCTTTACACAATAAGAAAGACATTAAAACCACAAAGAAAGACATTGGAAGCACCATAACTATTCATTTAAGCAAAGAGACTTGTAATTCAGTCTCTAGGGAAATCTGTCTCCTGCCCCCATCTGAGAGAATGACATCAGCACATTGAAGAATCTGAAAAAGCAGCGGTGCATGTACCTTGGGGAGAGCTGGTTTGGGCTTGTAGTTTTTATTCCTCCTGTGAATGAAGAGAATACGTCATGAGTGATTCCAGCAGAGTGAACAGGTGAGTGCTTTCTGTTGACTTAGCAGTGACTGACTTTAATTAAAGACATTGTAACCGCATGTGTCATAAAACTGCCAATAAAACGGAGATACACTCATCCCTGTGGGGACGTCAGGGTTTGTTTACAGAAGTCACAGGTCACACTGCAGGTATGTACTGACTACTGACAAACGGCGGCGGGCTGCTACAGACCCAGGGATTGCAGGGGTTTCTCAAATTTGTCACCAAAAATGCCTATTTCATTCTTTAAAAGGGACAAAATGATACCATTTTCTAATCCATGTTAAAGTTGTTTCCTCCAGGTATGATTTTGATGAAGGAATGACATTATAACCAGTGTTGGGAAGGTGACTTTTCAAATGTATTCCCCTACAGATTACAGATTACATACCCCAAAATGTAGTTTGTAACGTAATCCATTAAATTACTTAAAGTGAGTAACGTAATCTGATTACTTTGGATTACTTGATATTGTCATGTTTTTTAAAACTACATGAATGTAACAACCACATCCTGAAAATTCATGTTTGTTCTCTTCAAATTGGCTGTTGAGCCCAAGTCTCCATGAACAGACTTTTGTTTGCTGTAGAAAAGACGATCTTAACATGAGAAGTTTTGTCTGTTAAAAGACAATAAAAAGTCCAGTCTTTCCTTAACCAGATTAAAAATATTATTGATAGAAGAAATGCTTTTTATATGAGATCACTGCTGCCTTAAATTATGTCCACCTACTGTTGGTGTCATATTGTTTAGTCCTGGTTTAGTCCTAGTTTAGTCCTGGTTTAGTCCTAGTTTAGTCCTGGTTTAGTCCTAGTTTAGTCCTGGTTTAGACCTAGTTTAGTCCTGGTTTTAGTCCTGGTTTAGACCTGGCTTATATCTGGTTTAGTCCTGATTTAGTCCTGGTTTAGACCTGATTTAGAACTGGTTTAGTCCTTGTTTAGACCTAGTTTTGTCCTGCTTTTAGTCCTGATATAGGACCTGATTTAGTCCTGGTTTAGACCTGGTTTACAACTGGTTTAGAACTGGTTTGGTTCTGTTTAGTCCTGTTTTTAGTCCTAGTTTAGATCTGGTTTAGACCTGATTTAGACCTGAATTAGTCCTGGTTTAGATCTGATTTAGTCCTGGTTTAGTCCTGGTTTAGCCCAAATAAATATAAATACTGCTGTGTAATCCATTTACTTCAGCAAAGTAACTGTAATCCAATTACCACTCATTGAAACAGTAACTGTAACTGAATACAGTTACTCATAATTTGTACTCTGATTACATAACTCCAGTACATGTAATCTGTTACTCCTCAACACTGATTATAACAGCTCAAAGTTCACTCACAGTAGTCAATATTTTCGTATTATAGGATCTTTAATACAGGCAGAAGAGTGTTTTTGAAATAGCAGATGGTGTCGGTGCACCCTACTGCTGATTTGATTCCTTTTCATTTTGAAAATGTAAAATGCAGACTAAATCCTAGCTCAGCACTCATTTGGATTTGAATTGAGTTATTGCTCTAACAACGGAGGAGCGCTGCCATGCCAAATCCTTCAAATCAGGAGGGAGTCTTTATACCTGAAAACTGTGAATAGATCATTTTCTGAGAAGCTCAACATTTGATTTTTCTGGTTTCAAAAGTCTATTTCTCATGATTTCTTTTCACTTCCTCCATCAGCTTTGTCATCATTAGTCATATTAAACATCTGGTGTATCTGGTGTAAACATTATCTTGTTTTTTTGGTGAAGTCTTATGCAGAGGTTGTGAGGTGAGCGTTACACTGACATGAGGATGTCGTGGGCTCTCTCCAGGAGTTTGCTGCTGGTGGAGTTGACAAAGATCTCGTCTTCAGCGGTGGAGCTGCCCGATGACAGACGGCTCTGACGCCCCACACGACCGTTCCACCCCAGAGCTGGAGAGCCTCTGCAGGGAGAGAGACAGTGGGAGAGTTAGTGATGTGTCTTTTTGTTTATTTGCACAATTTCACTTACAACCCCCGTTACAATTAGCCAACTGGCGCCACCTAGTGCCTCTGCTCAATTTTATTTCTCTCCAGCGACTAGGTCAGGAATCAGAATACACTAGACCCGAGGTGTCAAACTCATTTTGGTCCAGGGGCCGTATCCAACCTACTTTGATGCAATAAATTAAAATATTTGTGCAGAGAAACACAAATCTATTACAGAAATCTTTTTTAATTGATGAACTCTTTCTTTTACAAAACATTATAATATTATGAACAACCTGAAACTTTAAGAAAAATGCAGTTTCAACACAAAAACATGAACTTGTATGTAAATAGGAATAAGTAAAATTTTTTTTTGAAAATCCTGCACTCGGCTCCACTTTTCTCATTGTTGACATTTTTCTGATGAGGGTGTCACGGTCAACAGTCAAAACGATCGTCCTTTAAGAGCATTTGGAAAGAGACAAGTCTTCATTTGTGCTGCTCTGGTGGGAGGGGCCACGTACAGAGAAGCTGGAGACGCTGCTGTGATAAACACCACAGAAAATTACCAATATTCTAATAGAAAATATAATTAAAATATTTGAGTAGAAAATCAGCCGAGGGCCAGATTAAAGGTCTGGGTAAGTTTGACACCCCTGCACTAGATGGTCCACAAGAACCCCAGAAGTGTGATTCCAGGCACCAGCCAATCAGCAAAGAGCCATGCATTCAGTGTTGGCAACGATTCCCGAGATCGAGGATTTAAAGCTGAAACAAATAGAATGTTTGTTGAATTTTATCAAGGGGAAAGACGTTATTGTCCTCCTTCCTAGGGGATTTGGGAAACGCTTAATACACCAGTTATCAGCGTTAGCGGCGCATTACATACGTCACGACCAAATAGCAGCGATTGGTTAAATAAAAAAAGTACCAGTCTACCGTCGAGCGAACGAATTCTAACACTGCGAGGTCAGACGGTTTCTACGACGTGAAACCGTCTGATGAATAGCCTGTGAGTCAAAGTTTAAGAAAGGACATAGAGCATAATGTTGCAGGTGCTCCTTCACTTCGACAGCACAAGCAGACCCAGAGGAGCCGTCGTGTGTAGTTGACTCCTGTACAAGTGTCTGCACAGAGCACATCTCACCCACAGGAGCAGTGAAGGGCTTAAGCTTAAACCTACAGCCAGCACCATTCCATCTGCTTACACATTCTATACTACTGCAGGGAGTTCAAAGTTAGAGTTATATAACCTCTGACTGAGCACATGACACTTTTAACTCCCAGAGAAGAGCAGCAGAAGACAGGCCAAGGACAATCATATATTAAAAAAAGGGAGTGTTATTATTTTTGCCCAAAAACGCATTAGCACGGAATGGTCTTAACATGATGAATTAAAAAGGTTCTTGTTGTGTTTTGTTGTATTTATCAGTCACCATTTATGGGATAAACTTTGTAACAACAGGTGGTTAACTGACACATTTACTGGCATGCGAATGTGCACAAAAACTCAGACGTCATGGGGTCAGAAAACTAACCCTGCGTGAATAAGTCACTTTTTTGGCTATGCAGACTCAGCTTTAAAGAAACAGTTTGGAATTTTGGACATAGGGCCTCATTTCCTAGTGAGCCAGAGTGTTGGAGACGTGTGGAGACACTTTTTAAAATATTCCCTCCAGTCTTTGTATTTGCAGATGTCGCTGGTGCTAGACTAGTGCATGTCAATGGCCAAAGTTATCCTGCCACTAAAAACTAACCTTGCATCGCATGAATTGTTGCATGTTGAGGGACTATTTTCTCATGTATCAGTCCGCCACTGCTGAGCTTTTTATCAAGAAGTACAAATCGCTGCTGCTGCTCAGACAGAAATCCTTCAAATGTAAGGTTGGTTTTACTTCTAAAATTATTCTATCAACACAGACATTCACATGGACAGTCTGGTGTAATAACAGATTTGTTTCGGGTGTTTTGTGGAGTGGGTAAGACTGTTTTTAGTGGCAGGATAACTATGGCCATTGACATGCACTAGTCTAGCACCAGTGACTTCTGCAAATACAAAGACTGGATGGAATATTTCAAAAAGTGTCTCCACACGTCTCCAACACTCTGGCTCATTAGGAAATGAGGCCCTATGTCCAAAATTCTCAACTGTCCCTTTAACACATTAGTTAAGTGTAGAATTTGCAATTTATAATGAATGCTCATAGTTTAAAAGTATCACCATACAGCATCTTTAGCTGCATTGCTTAGAAGTCTGTAACAATATTGATATTTTGAGTACAGCCCTCCTAACACGGCATTGAGGTTTTGGGTTTCAAACCCTGATGGGACCATCCATCCATCCATTTTCTTCCTCTTATCCGGGGCCGGGCTGCGTGGGCAGCAGTCTAAGTAGGGACTCCCAGGGACTTCCTTCACCCCAGACATGTCCTCCAGCTCCTCCTCAAGGTGTTCCCAGGCCAGCCCAGAGACATAGTCCCTCTAGCATGTCCTGGGTCTTCCCCAGGGCCTCCTCCTGGTGGGACATGCCCAGAACACCTCCTGAGGGAGGGGTCCAGGAGGCATCCGGAACAGATGCCCGAGCCACCTCAACTGGCTCCTCTCGACGTGGAAGAGCAGTGGCTCTTCGAGCTCCTCCCATGTGACTGAGCTCCTGGCCCTATCTCTAAGGAAGCACCCAACCACCCTGCGGAGGAAGCTCATTTCGACCACTTGTATCCACGATCTCGTCCTTTCGGTCATTACCCACTTTGAATTACTTTGTGTACGAATTGTGCTATACAAATAAACTTGCCTTGCCTTACCCAGAGCTCATGACCATCATAGGTGAGGGGAGGAACGAAGACTGACCGGTAAATCGAGATGATGGCACCATTCCATGAAATGTTTCTTTTTTTTTTTTTGGCAAAATAATAAGACTTCCCATTTTTTGAACTGCCCTTAGTTGCTCTCAAACAGTACAATCTGTCTGTGTATGTCTGTGTATGTCTGTGTATGTATGTGTATGTATGTATGTGTGTGTATGTATGTGTATGTATGTGTATGTCTGTATGTATGTGTATGTGTGTATGTGTGTGTATGTATGTGTATGTATGTGTATGTCTGTGTATGTGTGTGTATGTATGTGTATGTATGTGTATGTCTGTATGTATGTGTATGTGTGTATGTGTGTGTATGTATGTGTATGTCTGTATGTATGTGTATGTGTGTATATGTGTGTATGTGTGTATGTGTGTGTATGTATGTGTATGTGTGTATGTATGTGTATGTATGTGTATGTGTGTGTATGTATGTGTATGTGTGTGTATGTATGTGTATGTATGTGTATGTCTGTGTATGTGTGTGTATGTATGTGTATGTATGTGTATGTCTGTATGTATGTGTGTATGTGTGTGTATGTATGTGTATGTGTGTATGTATGTGTATGTCTGTATGTATGTGTATGTGTGTATGTGTGTGTATGTATGTGTGTATGTGTGTATGTATGTGTATGTGTGTATGTGTGTGTATGTATGTGTATGTCTGTATGTATGTGTATGTGTGTGTGTGTATGTGTGTGTATGTGTATGTATGTGTATGTCTGTATGTATGTGTGTGTATGTATGTATGTGTATGTATGTCTGTATGTATGTATGTGTATGTGTGTGTATGTATGTGTATGTATGTGTATGTATGTATGTATGTGTATGTGTGTGTATGTGTATGTATGTGTATGTATGTATGTGAATGTATGTGTATGTATGTGTGTGTATGTATGTGCATGTATGTATGTGTATGTATGTGCAGGACTGTTTATCTGTATACGCTCCCGCCCCATAAAGCACTGCTCCGTCTGCTCCTCTGCGCCCCACCGAGCCTGGACATTTAGCACTCCCCAGACGCTCTCCGACGCATAGCTCTGCCTTTACATCACGAGGAAGCAGCTGCGCCCGCTTTAGTGCTCTCCTCTGTGGGGATGAGTGCGTGTGGGGCAGGGGAGGCCAGAGGGAGCACGGAGCCGAGCTGAACAAAAACCTTCTTGTGCTGGGGCTCCAAATTGGAATGGACGCAATTAGAACATTTTTGAAACACCATAATTTCCTCCGCAAGCAACTTATTCTGCATAAAAACTGCTAACCCTGGAGTTTAGATCTGTGTAAACAAATTCTGAAATGTGATATTTATATTAGTTTGTCACTTCATATTTCAGTCTGTTGTTGATTCTTTTGGATGAGTTTAAAAGAATGAGAACTTCGCTCATCAGTTACTTGGGATGGGTGCGTTGGAGGACAGGGAACAGCCCAAGAACATAGAGAAAAATCCCGCACACCATTTTACTTGCAAATTGTGAGATTTATTAGGACAAAGCGTGCCGAAAAGTTGCACGGTTTGTCCAAATAAATCTCACAATTTGCAAGTAAAACAGTGTGCGGGATTTTTCTGGATGAGTTTCAAATCTGAAGTGTGAACAGAATCCTACCGTATTTTCCGCACTATAGGGCGCACTTAAAAGCCTTTAATTTCATCAAAAAAACACTGTGCGCCTTATAATCCAGAGCAGTTTATATATGAATTCATTGGAGTGTCTTAGTACGACTTTAGTAAACTACAAAGCCGCTCCACTTGCAGCATTACGGCTCCCGTAGTCAGGAGCATCAGTAATACATTCCTTTTAATATCAAAATGCACCTGTCAAGAGACACACTTACAACACCGACTTTAAACTCAAGACTATTATAAATTGAAAGTGCGAGCTGCGTGGGAGCAGTAGATGAGAGAAGGAGAACACACATTCACCAAGACAGAGAGACAGCGCCGAGCGACTTACGCCATGATCTGCCAACGGATCGTGGACGCCTGGACTAAGGATCAGTATCAACTGTGGTCCGAGCTTTCACCAAGACCAGAATCATCACTGAACTGCCAGGGAACAGTAACCACACTGACTCGGATAATGACGAGAGGGATGTGGGCGAGCTGGACGCCAGAATCACCCAACTGTTTGAACAATTATGAGTTATTGTGAATACACGAACAATTTAGCGTCTCAGGCAGTATTTTTTTACGTGTTACAGTTGAACAAAGTTGAGAGTTATTGTGAACGTGTTAAATAAAATTTGACTGACTTATCTAACTGTTGTGTTTCATTTAATGCACCTTATAGTCTGGTGTGGTTTATATGTGAAAAAAGTTTGAAAATAGATCATTCAATGACTTATAATCCAGAGCCCTATAGAGCGGAAAATATGATTAAAACACAAAGAACAAATCTTGAAGTGCTGTCTCGATATGAAAATGTCACCACAAACTATTTTGATTCTAAGGAACAGACTGGATACTTGATACAATACTGATTCTGATGCCCTGATGATGTGGTATCTGTGTAATCCCTCATTAAAGTTTCATTTCTGTCCTGTGAATGTGAATTTTTAGTATCGATATTTGTTAAAATGAGTATCTAGTTTCGATATTTGTTTTAGTATCCAGGAGTGGCAGCTGCGCTCAGGGTCAGGGCTCGTGTCTGTTTACGGACATGCCACCGGCGTGCAGTGTGCAGAGGTGACGGAAGCTGCGTGTAAATCACAAGGAGCATGTTTTTAAGCACTGACCTAAATACATTTGCGTAGTAAAACAGTAAAAAGATAAAGTACTGTGAAATCCTACTTTACCGTGAGCCCACCCACGTTACTGCGAATGTACTGCAATATGATGGGTAGTACTCGCCTCATGCACATTTACTCTGTGTTTTTAATAAAATTGTACTTTCAGAGCAGTTCTTTGACTTCTACTTGAGTAATATATGTGACAGTGTAACACTACTCTTACTTGAGTAAAAGTTTTGGTTCCTCTTCCCACTGTGAGTAAGTTAAGTGACAAAATCTTTATAGTCCAATTTGGTTCATTTGGTCTTCTGATAATTTATGTTAAGTTTATTAAGTTATTAGGTATTAGACATATCAGAGGTATTTTTGTTAAAAGGTTAAGAAGCTGAACAAGAAAATACAAGATGTCATCAAACTCTCATTCAATATTATCTGAGTAAAATTACCAAGTAGTGGTCCAAGATTTTTAGGGAAACTACTGCTCAAGGAGAAGTCACTTAAATTGTTTATAATTTTAGGATTAGTATTTAGTATTTTAGTGCAATTGAAAGGGCAAAACATTAAATTGTGCACAAAATCTGTGATGCACTACAAAGAATATTTTAAAAAGTAAATAAATATCTCTAGGAGTGGTGCAAGAAAACACACATTCATATTTATAATATTATCATAAAATTTGTGTCTATGTTATTAGGTTCTTTTTCCAGACCAAGAGTTTGTTTTCATACTTGACAGCTGGACTACTCCCTGTGCTCTTCCTCAGAGTCATGTGCTCTTGCTGAGACTTGTCCGGTCAGCTGATTTATACAGGTTTTTTTATACCGGTGGATGCAGGACGACAGCCCGACTTCCTCAGGACAGTAACCCAGGTGTGTGAGAGTAAAAAAGCCCCCTCATCCCAATTTACCAAACACTGTCGTTCTGCCTCCTCTCATAGGAAAACAGCGCCAAAACCTGTTTAAATCAGCTGAGCGGATACGTCACAGCAACATCACGAGCCTCTGAGGAAGAGCGCTAGTGAGCAGTCAAAACGGTCAGGTATGAAAACAAACTCTTCGTCTATTAGACAAAAATTTATGTTGAATATTAGAGATTTGAATGTTTGTTTTCTTGAACTGCTCCTTCAGATATGATTTACCTTTTAAAGGGCCCATCTCATGAAAAATCAACTTTTCAGAGCTTTCTACCTTCTAAGAGTGATGTGTGGGCCTTGTATATGTCGTCAAAGGGTTTTTTAGATTGATTTGGCAGTTTTTAAACAAATTGCAGTGTATTTGCCACCATCCCACGCGACAACGAACTAAAGCTGCTACAACAATGACACGGCAGATACACCTATGACAGGTTTGACGCAGCAGAAAGCGCTTTGCTGTTTATAATAAAATTATAAACAACAACTTAAGTTACTTCGACTTGAGCAAAAGTTTCCCTAAAAATCTTGGACCACTGCTTTACACTTCTACTCAAATAATATCGAAAGAGAATTTGATAACATCTTGTGTTTTCTTGTTCAGCTTCTTAACTTTTTAATCAAAAATACCTCTGATACATTCCGATTTTTCACTTTCTGGTTATTACTTTACACATATGTCACTTTTATAGTTTTTGAACTATTAATTTACTGCTCGATACTTAATTGCACTTTTTACTCAAGTCAGTTTTTTTCCCTTTACTCTACCCAAGAGAATGCAGTAGACATAAAGCACAGTTTTGTCTCTAAACGCTACTAAACGGCACTTTTTTGTGGTAGCACTTCTGGCAAAACAAGATTCCATTTCAGTAAGAATTTGGGAAATGTTTTGTAACTAAAATCTGACATAAAGTCGGTTTATTTGTGTAAAATGTTCAATTGCTGCGTGCACCAAAAAGCCACACTGCACAATTTCTCTGGAGGCTTTAAAATGTCTTTATCGTCCATACCAAACTTATTTGCTGTTAGAATCGGCCCCATACAAAATAATACAACCCGAATCATGACGGCAGCGAGTACGGCAACTTCCGGAATAAAGTGAATTGTGCGTGTTTCTTACCGTGGAGACTTGTCGTTGATGTTGCTCCCCTGCAGGTCGGACAGGGGCGTGCGCGGGCTCTTCCTGGTTACACCTGTCACAGCAGACACGTGTCAAAGACAAACCTACACGCCGCCAGAAAACCTCACCACACCACACCTCGCCACACCCCAACACCACACCCGACACCGCACCCACACCACATATCAGCGTTGTTATGTGCCTTTAAAGTGACATTCAGCTGGAGATGATTCCTGGTGAGGTTAATGTAAGCTTCTTCGGTTAGTGGGGCGGAGGATGTTGGGTTAAGTCCGGATAAGGGGGGCAATTTGTCGCAAAAGCTGTAATGGGACTGGCTGATTTGAGGAGCTGTGTTTTCATGCAGGGGTTAATCTAAGCAGAAGCCTAGTGCTGATTGAGCAGTGATAAGCATACTAAACTAAACTAAACTAAAATAAACTAGGTGGCGCTGTTTATTTGTGTGACTAGAGCCTAATCAGTGGATCAGAGATGCACCATTGTTCCCTTAAAAAGATGAATGATTCTTCTTTTCCTGTAACTTTCATCCACAATCTGGTTATGGATTTGCAGCAGAATTTTACCCAGGAACTTTCTGTGAACGTTAAATGAACATGGAAGATAATTTGTTTCATTAGATTTTAATTACCTGCACTTGTCTGCATAAATTGTAATTTAAATAAAATATAATAAACATTTTGACTTTTTAGCATATTGGTCTGTGCTGAAGTTTTAAGGCACAAAATATCATTCTGTGTCTTGAAACTTCAGCACAGACAGATATTTTAATTTGGTTGATCTGTATGGAAGATAATTTGTTTCATTAGATTTTGAATTTTAAATACTGCTGAATTTATTAACTTATTATTTTTATTCTGAATTTTAGTTGAAGTTTTTAAATTTGTATTATTATTATTTATTTTTTTTAACAGGTTTCAAATTCAGAATATAAATTTCACCTTTTAAATATTCAGAACAAATATTTTCAAGCTCTCAAACAGTCAGAGTGTAAATTTCACAGCAAAGATCCAAGATGCCAAGGCAGAAGCAATCGATCTTGTGTGAGTGAGGAGGACAGAGGCCGTTTCCTATTGGCCGTTCTCATCTGTGGGCGGGGTTTGAGGTTTAGATGAAGCAAATTCTGACCAATCGGATCGCTTCACTGCACCATTTCCTACTTGTTACTAAGTTCAATCGGATAACTTTGGATCGATTGCTTCTGCCTTGGCATCTTGGATCTTTGCTGGAAATAGTTTTTTCACTGCAAATTTTACACTCTGAATTTTGATTGTGGAATTTGAGGACGTGAAAAATATTTTTGCTGAATATTTAAGTTTTTCTTTCTTTTTTTTTTAAACATAAAAAAAATAAAAAATAAATAAAGTAAAATGTTAAACACTTTGAAAATGTACCCTTAAAATTTCAGCAACTAAAATTCGGAATAAAAATAATTCAAACATGTTTTTTCAAAGTTAAAAAAATTCAAAGTCTGTCTCCATGTCTCTTGTATTTATTTGATTACAGCTTTTTTATTTTTATTTATCTCACTAAAATCTCTTGGTTCTACAGTTATAACCTACAACTTGCCACGATTTCGTCATCTGCTTGTCTCCGTGGTGAATGATGAGTTTAAAGCCATACTGTGGAAGATTCCAGGCAATAACATCTCCATGGAAACAAGTAGGTGGCGAACATAGTGTGTCTCTAAAACTAATGTAAACAGAACATATGTGCAGAGGTGGGCGGTACTCGGCTACATTTACTTGAGTATCTTCTAGCAGCATACTTTTACTAATACTTGAGTAATATTTTTATTGAAGTATCAGTACTCTTACTTGGTGTGTTATATTTTGTCTTAAATTCAAATTATCAATCATTTTTTAACTCTTGAGTAATTTCTTGGACCACCACTTTGTACTTGTACTTGAGTAATATTATTATTAAGTCACATTACTCTTATGTCAAATATAATTTTTGGTTACTCTACCCACCTCTGCAAATGTTGCAGAGATCCTGCTGCAACATTCGTCTAGCAGTCCGCAGACTTTTCTAATGTCTGTGTTTTGGTGCATCTCTGTCTCTGAGTATCTACAGTCGACTTTAGTGGGTTAGCCGAGAGTCTCAGCGTTTATCGGGGACTTGGTGATATACCGTTTTCAGTTTCATCAAAAATCTCACTCTCATCTGGAGCTGCAAAACGGCACAAAACAAAAAGTACAAAACACAAAAGAGTGTGAGTGTAATGCAGTATTCCCAGAGAAAGACACGCCTGGAGGAGCTAGCCTGCACCATACACACAAACAGCTGGGACAACAGGTGAGCCAGTTAGTGCTGAGAAGATATGTGCCCCTTGTGGACTAGACCTGTCTTACACCCTCACCATCACCACATATGTGAGATTAGTCACGAGGGAAGCTGTGGGAGCCGCTCTCAACACTGCCCAAAGGGGAGGAGAGAAAGCAAATAAAAGAGTCACAGAAAACAGAGTCCATGCCAAAACACAATACGAGCACACACGTCTGGATTTCTATCAAAATATGGAGAAGGATGGAGCGTGCAAGGAAAACATGGAGACGGGATCAAATGCAGGCAAAGAGACAGGCAGAGGAAGAGGCGACCAACAAGCACCTACTCATTTACTCATACTCAAGTACTGGAGGTGGTAAAATGTAATGTTATCTGCTCAGGCTGTGTGCTAAAGCTGCTGTGGCACACTGTGTGATGGAGCCAGTGTTTAGAGGAGCACAGCTGCTGTGTGTTACACGGGGACGTGGGTCTGCTGAAGCCCCCACAGCAGCTGGCAGCTCTGAATGACACTTTGCCATGCTACTGGATTTAGACACGGTTTAATCTCTGCACTGTTGGCACTACCACAGACTGGCATTAGAGTTTGTGTAGTAGCTTGTTGGTCGCTCTCCAGCTCCCAGGCCACAGACAAAGAGGAGGAGGAATGGTGGATGATATGGGCCTTACTGTACTTCTCCTCCTTGCATCTCTGCAGGATCTCTAAGCTTCTCTGATGCACAGGGTGCTGCAGAAAACTAAAACTATCCACACTTTTCAAAACTGCACAGGGAGCAGCGTCATCATGCCCTTCGGAGAAGCAAAACAAAAAGAAGAGAAAAACAAACACAAGGAGGAAAGAGGGAGGAGGAGGAGGAGGAGAAAAAGAGAGATTAAACAGTGAAGATGAACAGAGCTACAGTCTTCTACAGGAGAACTATCAGGACAGGTGATGACTGAGAGGAGGAGCTCTTGGTGCTAAGCACTCACTACAGCTATGAGGCATCACACTCAGGGGCCTGCTACACAGCGCCCCCCAGAGGCTCGGAAGAACAGAGGAACCTAGAGATGTGTGTATGAATACATCCAGGTTAGGTCTGGTACTAAAGCATTTCATTATAACCTGAAGCTCAGGGACATTATTGTTACTTGGTCTGAGGAGAGTCACAGAGTCACAGGGCCAAAGGGCCAGAGTATAAAACATGTATTCATCCTGTGTACAGTGATTAAAACAGCACAATAACAACATCATGTTTGGACAATTCAAATGTATTCCTCAGTGAGACCGTGAGTCATGTGGAAGTGTCACACACATACTGTGGTGCACAGACCTCACTACAGACACACTGAGTCCTGATCATATGACTCAGAGGGAGCAGTGTACTACAGTATGTGCAATACTACAGCAGTGTACTACAGTATGTGTGACACAAGAGCTGTCTCTGCTCTCACATCTGAAACAACCAGCTCCAGTATCAGAGCAGCAGGGACCTTTGACCCAGAGGAGGGGCTACACAGTGAAGGATGATGGAAGCACTATAGAAACTACAGTGACTACAACTATAACTACTACTACTACTAATACTACTAATACTACTACTACTACTAGGCATAAACACAAGCTAAAGCTACAATGTGCAGGAGATTCCATGGATCTTTTAACAGGGTGAATGTTTGGAGAGACCACTGGGTTGAGCCTGTGTCATCACACAATGGACACACAGAACATGTACAATTATTCATGGTCCATTCACATGGGGCTCCTGCACATTGTCCTTCTGCTCAGACACACAGACAGTTGTCTCTATAACACAATATGAATGAACAGGAGTTAGAGATTGTTTTTTCTTCAATATTTGAGGCAGTCATGAAATCGCTTGGTTGGTGATTGCTCGGTGAACTGTCCATCTGGGCTCGTACACACAACAGACTTCAGCTGAACACTAGAAGTGTAACATTTAACCTGGGTGTGTGATATCCCTGACAGAAAACGCACAAACACCTTTATCTAATATGAAGAAGAAACACACAAAGAACCGTCTTACATCTTCCAGTAGAATCACACTTTGAGTTTGTACCTTCCACTTGAAACCTGCAACAAACTCTCCACACACGAGCCTGTGTGTGCAACTCACCGAACCTGTGTGTGTGCGTGTGCGTGTGTGTGAGTGTGTGTAGTACTGACCAGGCCTCTTGTGTGCATGTGTGTGCGTGGTACTGGCCAGGCCTCTTGTGCGTGTGTGTGTGTGTGTGTGTACGTGTGTGTACGTGTGGTACGTACCAGGCCTCTTGTGTGTGGGTGTGTGTGTGCGTGTGCGTGTGTGTGTGTAGTATTTACCAGGCCTCTTGTGCGTGTGTCTCTTCCCTGCCTCTCTGAAAGCCACCAGGGCCCTGAAGTAGGCCCTGAGCACGGCCCAGCGGAACGTGGCCGGGGGGTCGATTCCGATCAGGCCGCAGATGAAGGCGTTCTTACTGCTCTTGAGCAACGCAACGATGTCGGGCCGCATGTGGTCTGTGTTCTTTTCCCGGAAATCCTGCACAAAACACAACATTTGAATCATTACAGGTACTCGTTACATTTGGGCAAACAAAGTTCAACTGCAATGCTAATGTTACGAGTTACAAAGGCAGCAACTGATAATGTTAAAACCTCCATGAGTCACCACAGAGTCCCATGTACAAATCCCCCTAACCTTCTTCAAACATTCTGGGTGGCTTTACAATGTGCAGCGTCATCTTTAATCCATCAATTTGATTTTAGAGAGTATTTTGATTATATGTCACAGTAAAGTCATGTGTTTAAAGCTCCTATATTACACAAAATGAACTCTTGTGAGCTTTAAGTCATGTTAGAATGTTACTTCATCAAAAACACACCTGGAGTTGTGTTTTTTCTCATTCACACACATTAGAGTAATGCTTTATTATATCTGCATGAAGTTGGCCCCCCATCATACGCAAACCTACACAAAAACTATGTCAATCGTTTGTGCTTTGTTTGTGCTGCAAAAGGGTTGTTTGTGCCGTTTTAGTTTTGGAGATATTAAGGATTCTTTTACAGGTCAAATTGGGGTCAGCCAGCCCCCCAGGAAGCTTCAAAATGCTCTAAAAAAGCCCCAAATTGTGTCTATCGTTTGTGTTGCAAAAAGTTTCATTTGTGCGATTCCTGTTCTTAAGATATTAGTTAGTATATAAGTTTTATTTTCAGCCAAAGACATCATCCAGACCATCAAAATGTTAAATAGATAAACAGGCAGGAAATTATACCAAACATTTGTATTTCGTTTGTGTTGTGACAATTTTCATTTGTGCTAGAATATTTCTAAAATTATTAACTATTATTTTTGCGGATATTATATAATGCTCAACTGATGGCAGCGACTTTAACAAAACTCCACAAATCTAGTGAAGATAAATGTTGTCAGGCTGTAGACAAGTTTGTATTATTATATAAAATATGAATCAAAAGCAAATTACGAAAGACTGATACAGACTTTTCCACAGCCTGAGATCGTTTCTCTTCACTACTTTTGTGGAGCTTTGTTACAGCTGCTGCCGTCAGTTGTGCGGAAATTACATCATATAATTTCTGCAAAAATAATAATGAATAATTTTAGAAATATATTAGCACAAATGAAAATTGTCACAGCACAAATGAAATATAAATGTTTGGTATAATTTGCTGCTGTTTTGAGGCTATTTAACATTTTGTGGAGCTGGATGACGTCATCGGCCCAAAATTAAACTGCTAATATCTTAAGAACCAGAATCACACAAACCAAACTTTTTGCAACAAAAAACGACAGAAACGAAACAACAAAATGACTGACACCATTTTGTGTCGTTTTAGAGCATTTTGAAGTTTCCTGAGGGCTGCTGACCCCAATTGGACCTATAAAAGATTCATTAATATCTCCAAAACTAAAGTAGCGCAAATGAAACTTTTTGCAGCATAAAATAGCACAAATAATTGACATAGTTTTTGTGTAGGTTTACATTTGGAGGGAGGCCAACTTCACACAGGTCTTTATTTTTTTATTTTTTTATTTATTTATGTTTATGCCACAAGCCAAATTAAACCCCCTGGAGGTCCAAGTTTGACTCAGAATACATTTTAACAGGGCTACGGGGTCAGGCAAAGAATATTTTTAACTACTCCAGCAATACCAGATCCACACCTTGCTCCTGTCCTCATCATAACCATTCTACAGTCAGTATTTTAGCAGAACTGCAGCTGTACTGTCCAAACCTGACAGAACCTCAGCTCATCTAAGCTCCTCCAGAGACCCCACACTTCCCACTCCTGGACACAGCTCACAGAGGAGCAGCTGGAGGAGCCATCACCACTCGACTGTATCCCATTGTGTTCTTCTGGACACTGTGGACGTCTGTGGAGGACTGTGGACGTCTGTGGAGGACTGTGGAGGTGAGATCTGCTCAGGGCATTACGGAGGAGGGACACTAACATTTATCCAGGGTCTAAAGAGTAAAGGGTATTCTAGGGTCACATTTACAAAATCACATGATGAACAGGGAATTTTATATATTTGCAACAATTATAGTTCAATTGATGAAAGTGTGACAATGTTAAGCCAATTATAGTTGTAATCTGACACCCGTGGATCATTATGTTGTACAGAGTGTCCCAAAAAATGTGACCAAAATTTGCAGGCCAGTAATTTTGGCAATTCTTGTTGAAATAACCTCAAATTTTCACAGAATGTATAGAAAACCATAAAGATTTTATATTTAATGTTTTATTTTTGTTTTTTCAGGTTGAGCCGTTCACTCCCAAAGAGAAGTCATGCTGCGTTTTGGAATCTGCTTGCACACATTTGTAATCCTTTAGCCCTGCTTAATCAGCCTTCCTCTTTATATTTTTAGTACCAAGTCCAAATTCGTTTTGTTTTTCCAAATTTTGCATTGAAGCTGCACAGTCTTGGGTGAATGTGTGAGCAGATTCCAAGACACAAAATGACTTCTGTTTGGGAGTGAACGGCTCAACCTGAAAACACAACAAAAATAAAACATTACAAATATCAAATCTTGATCTGTTTCTATACATTCTGTGAAAATTTGAGGTTATTTCAACAAGAACTGTCAAAATGATTGACCTGCGTAATGATGTCAACTGTATTGTAAATGTACCACATGTATTACAGATTAAGGCATTAAAACTGAGAACACAGTCAGTATATCACAGTGGGCGTGTGCCAGGGGAGGTGAAAACAGGGCAGTGGCGTCTTCAATACAAGAGAATAACCCCAAATTACACCAAAAGCATGTAAAGGCAGCAGCACAGCACACGAGCGGCATATGAGCAAGTATCGCTTTCAATATTATCCAGACGGACAATTTAAACCAGCAGTGTCATATACACGTCCAACAGCCGTCATGACACTACACGCCCCTTAAATTAGGTTGGAGTTCTAATTTGACAGTGTCAACGGAGCGTCTCCAGGCTTTGTATGAGAGGAAAGACAGAAAATAAACACATGGTGTCAAAATACATTTCTGATCCGATCCTTTCAAAATACGTTCTGTAAAACCACTACAGCGGCATAAACACCGTGTGTTACATTAGGAGGGCTGACTCGTGATGGACTACGGAAAGTTTACAGCTGTAGAGAATAAATATAAAACACTTCATGACATCTGACACCAACTTTACAAGAACTTCTGAAGGAAAATTTGCTTTGAGCAGATGACTAAAATGAAGCTTCATTAATGCAGCTCCGCAGATAAGGCTCGTTATCACTGCAAAACATCGTCTCTCTTGTTGTCAACTTTTGTTTTGTGATTTAAAACAGAATTCATCAATGAAAACAAAGTAAAACATTTAGTGTGTGTGTGTCTCTCTCTCTCTGCCGTTCTTTCTCTGTCTGACTGTCTCTCTTCATCTGCCTCTCTCTCTGCCCGTCTCTGTCTGTCTGTCTCTCCTTCTCTCTGTCTCTCTCTGCCCGTGTCTTTCTCTGTCTCTGTTCCTGTCTGTCTCTGTCTCTCTGCCCGTCTCTCTGTCCGTCTCTCTGTCAGTCTCTCTGTCAGTCTCTCTGTCTATATCTCTCTCCGTCTCTCCGTCCGTCTCTCCGTCCGTCTCTCTGTCCGTCTCTGTCTTTAGTAGAGCATGAAGCAGAAGCAGAGGCGTCTCACCTTGACTCCGTACTTGACTTTCCCTGCGTAGTGTCTGATGATGAAGGCGGGCTCCATCACTGCAGGAAACTCGATGTAGCTGTTCCCCTCGTGCTGCCGCTTGAACTTGTCCAGCAGCGTCTGGTTAGTGGCCTGAGGAAAACTGAAAACACAACATTTACAGTTATACCACATGCATCCAGGAAAGTTATTTGAATGGTCTTAAAACATAAAATTGTTTTAATAAACAGCCCCAACTAAAAGAAGATCCAGCTTTCATCTATTGAACGATAAGTCAGTATATAGTAAATATCGTGACAGGCCTGGTCCTCAGATTTATCCTAAGTTTAAATGCATTTTCAATCTTGAATCAAAGAGAAAAAATGACTAGTTATTGTGCAGCATCATTCCAAATATGGGCATGTCTTAGGATCTCGTGTGTCCAAAGAGAAGGGGTCTGAGGTCTGCTCACAATGTCCAACAGTGGAACACTTGAGCCTGACTGATCCACTCTGTGATGGTTCTCACGTGTGGTCAGTCCCAGATCACATTTCCAGTCTCTTTCTCACTTTTGGATCTGATGAGCCACAAATGGAGCCGGAAATCAAGCGCTTACAGGAAGAGCGGAGGGAGCGGAGGGAGCGGAGGGAGCGGAGGGGAGCAAGAACTGAAACCTGAGCTATGAAAAACAACACAGTCAAGGCCTCGGCGCAGCTATTTCCAGTGGGAGGATGTCCACTCACTGTCCTCACAGAGAACAAGGGGATAGAGAGCAGACTGAAGAAGACGGAGTTATCTCTGTCAGTGGGAATGGAGCTAATGGGCTCATCACACAGGCTCTGATGACTGACGAGATACAAGGAGATAGAAGGATAGTTTTCATTTGTTTACTTCCTAAAACTAATCAACAGGCTTCCACAAGTGTCACTTTTATTACTATTAACACACTGTACTTAAAGGAACTGTGTGTGAGATTTAGATTTGAAAAAACGTATTATTTTTTTTAGAACTGTATTGCCAAAAGTACAAAATAACAGGCAATTTACATTAGAACAAACAATAACAAGTGTCGAGATTGGGCTATTAACTCCAATTATATGTAAATAAATACAGTAGTCAGGTAGGGCATTAAAAAAAAATAAAAACAATTAAAAAAAAACACACAACTCAGTCAAATAAAGATGGTACACGCGACCATCGCCTTATATCCAAAATATCCACTTTGAGTTGAAGTTGGGCAGTCAGACACTCCATCTGATAAACGTACTTTCATTTTTGTGTCCATTGAGCAATCGTTGGTGGGATTGGCTTGAGCCAGTTCAGGGTCACTATTTTTCTTGCCACATGTAAAATGTACTGTTGGTCGTCAGTGAGTGAGTTGAGATATAAGTCAAGCAAAAATAGTAGAGGGTCCATTGGAATATCTGATCTAATTGTATCTTCAGTCTTCTTTTTGATACTTTCCCAAAATGTTCTTATCTTTGGGCAATCCCAAAAGATATGGGTGTGGTCTCCAACCAAACCACATCCTCTCCAGCTCTTATTGGTGGTGGTAGTCTTAATCATGAATGTCCTTAGCGGAGTTCTGAAAATCTGATTTTTGTTTTCCAGTCAAACTCTCTCCAGTTTGGACTTCCAATTCCTTTGTGACAGTATAAACACATATCTTCCCATTGCTCATCTGTTATAATCACATTCATCTCAAGTTCCCATTGATGTTTAACATGGAGCGTATTATCTGATATGTTTTCAGATAGGTTTTTATACATTAAAGATATAATTTTTTTCATTCTGGTTTCTTTTTCAAACAGTTTAACAAAATACATTTCTATATTAGTAGGCTCTCTCATTACAACATCCCACTGTGGATGTTTTGTCAAATAATCTGAAATACCATATTTTTCCGCACTATAAGGCGCACTGTCATTAAATGGTCTATTTTCAAACTTTTTAAACAAATAAACGGCACTAGACTTTAAAGGAAACACAACAGTGTGATGGGTGAGTGGTTTTGTTTGTTTGTGGTGTTCACGGTGACTCTGGGCTTTGTTCAGTTGTGGCGTGTAGGGAGGGTGCTGTCTGGGACCAACGGATTGTCGGCGTGTTCGCAGTGACTCAGTTGTTCAGTCGTGTCTAGAAGTGGCACATTGCACTCGCTTTTTCGGTTCGTTCCTCCGTTCCGTTCCTCGTCGGCGTGGAGTGATGAGTGTGTCTGTGGGTGTCTTTCACTGCACGGTCGCTGTCTGCTCCGTGCACACTAGACACCAGAGTGGATTTGTGTATAGGGCGCTTTGGATTGTGGGGCACCCAGTCGTTTTTTGATGGGGTTGGAGGCTTAAGAGTCCGGAAAATACGGTACACTTCACCCATCTGTTTATTTTATACTGATAACAAGTTTAATGCCGATTCATTACAAAAAAACATTGGACACAATGTTCTTGTTTAGGTTTCAATGTGGTGTTTTCGTTTCGCAAGATGGTTATCCAGTCTGAATGGTCACTCCCTAAACCCCAGCACCTGCACCAGTGAGTCAGTGCTAGTGCAGCCTCTGCAGCTCAGGGAGGGAATTCTGGAGGTTCTGAGTTTCACATGAGGCCTGACCATAAACTGATAACGAGACAAACTGGGATGTGTCTCTATCTGCAGGTTCAGGCTCTGGGGCCACAGGTTCAATTGTGATTGTAGTATTTGTCTCCATGGATACAAGCAGGTGGTGGAGCCTAAACCACAAAAGTTACAAAGTGCACCTTTAAATTATACTTTTTAGAAGTTGCTGTGACACTGTACAGTTCACCACATCAAGAACAACTTGCTCTATATCTCCTTTGTTACCTTAAACTGTAATAAACCAAAAGGTGTTTTGACATGTCCTAGTGTGACACTGGCCTGCTCCCCTCCCTCTCTCTCTCCGCTCTTCACTCCACTCGTTGCTTCCTCTCTCTCGTCTCCCTCTCTCTCTCTCCCTTCTCTCTCTTGTCTCCCTTCTCTCTCTCGTCTCCCTTCTCTCTCTCTTGTCTCCCTTCTCTCTCTCGTCTCCCTTCTCTCTCTCTTTCGTCTCCCTCCTCTCTCTCTCTCTCTTGTCTCCCTTCTCTCTCTCGTCTCCCTTCTCTCTCTCTTTCGTCTCTCCTCCTCTCTCTCTCTCTCTCGTCTCCTCCTCTCTCTCTTTCGTCTCTCTCTCTCTCTCTCTCTCTCTCGTCTCTCCTCTCTCTCTCTCTCGCTCTCTCTCTCTCTCTCTCTCTCTCTCTCCCTTCCTCTCTCTCTCTCTCGTCTCTCTCTCTCTCTCTCTCTCTCTCTCGTCTCCCTCCTCTCTCTCTCTCGTCTCCCTCCTCTCTCTCTCTCGTCTCCCTCCCTCTCTCTCTTTCGTCTCCCTCTCCCTCTCTCTCTCTTCGTCTCCCTCCTCTCTCTCTCTCTCTCGTCTCCCTCCTCTCTCTCTCTCGTCTCCCTCCTCTCTCTCTCTCGTCTCCCTCCTCTCTCTCTCTCGTCTCCCTTCTCTCTCTCGTCTCTCTCTCTCTCCTTCTCTCTCTCTCTCTCTCTCTCGTCTCTCCTCTCTCTCTCTCTCTCTCTCTCTCGTCTCCTCTCCTCTCTCTCTCTCTCTCTCTCGTCTCCCTCCCTCTCTCTCTCTCTCGTCTCTCCTCCTCTCTCTCTCTCTCTCGTCTCTCTCCTCCTCTCTCTCTCTCTCGTCTCCTCTCTCTCTCTCTCTCTCTCTCTCGTCTCCCTCCTCTCTCTCTCTCTCGTCTCCCTCCTCTCTCTCTCGTTCTCCCTCTCTCTCTCTCTCTCTCTCTCTCTCTCTCTCTCTCGTCTCTCTCTCTCTCCTCTCTCTCTCTCTCTCGTCTCCCTCCTCTCTCTCTCTCGTCTCCCTCTCCTCTCTCGTCTCTCTCGTCTCCCTCCTCTCTCTCTCTCTCGTCTCCCTCCTCTCTCTCTCTTTCGTCTCCCTCCTCTCTCTCTCTCTCTCGTCTCTCCTCTCCTCTCTCGTCTCTCCTCCTCTCTCTCTCTCGTCTCCCTCCTCTCTCTCTCTCGTTTCCCTCGTCTCTCTCTTTCGTCTCCCTCCCCCCTCTCTCTTGTCTCCCCTCTCTTCTTTCCGTTGAACAGGTAGCTGTGGTTGTGTGTGACCTGCAGGAGGAGGAGGAGCAGTACTCACTTGCACTCTTCGTCCAGCAGGTGGAACAGAGCTGTGGGCTTCCTGCTGATCAGACTGATGCAGCCCGTGTTGTCGATGTAGTCGATGTTACTCCAGCTGATGCCCTCCACCCGGTACTCCTCCTGCGGGACACAACGGGAATGATGTCAGACACTGCACAGCAAAAACTACACAACGCCACAACTACTATGTAAAGGGCCTGTACCTGAGTTTCATTTATTCTCCTCCAGATAAATGCTCTTTACATCATGCATAATATGAAATCATTTGTGAATTTAGCTTCAAGTCCAAGGTAATCAATAGTAAAACCTTGCTCTGCCTCATATTGTGCATTATGACACTACTCTTATTACATTCTAGGATCTGAAAATTGCCAATTCATGGGTTTCAAACAAATGATTCCTTCCTGATTTAAGGGATGTCAAATCAGAAAGTAACTGCTGCAGTCATTCTTGTCATTTTGGTGACTTATGTTTGTATTAACACGCTCTACATTATGTTTTTATTTTCCCATTTTGTCTGTAAATCAATTCCAATTCCTAATATGGAACTTGGCTCCAAATTCACTCCTATAACTGCTGGCCTCTGTGAGCTTCATTTGACTGGAGGTGAATACTGTGGGTGATGTCACACTCACTCAGTCCACTTCTTTATACAGTGTTCGTTTCTGTAGCATAAAATCAAAATCACCACTTAAAAGCCACGGGCCACATCCTGAGGATAGTGAGGTAGAGAACTGAGCCAGAGAAAAGAATTGGTCTGAAAGGGGAGTTAAAGAGGCTATTTTTGTTAGGAAAGACAATCCATCCTTGAACAGAAATGGAGGCCTCAGACATCATCTGTCTCCATCTACAACTCCATCCTCAAACCCAAAACAAAGAGAACAATAGAGGGAGTCAGGTCAGGACCAGAGGTGTTCTTCACATCTCTGACTCACTCACTATGGGCCTGAATGATTCTGCTCAGATGGCCCCACACTCAGTACAGATGAACAGGCCGAGCTAATAAACAGAAACTGTAAACAAGTTGGGTGTTCGTTTCAGAGTAGTTTCAGTGTAGTTAGCTCCTCCCTTCATTCAGATATAAGGAAGTGTCCACCAGCGTCTGACCAGAACTGAAGAAGCAGCTTGGATGAACTGCAAAACATTTTCAAACCAAATAAACGTTTGTTCAGTTGACAAATTAAATTTCTCCTTTGCCATAACATCAATTAACACTACTAAACCCTTGTACTATGCCACAAGTTCAAGTACAATGTGACATCACACAGGACAGCCCTGATTACCATGGCCAGGCTGGTGTCACCTAGTGCCTCCGCTCAATATCATTTCTCTCCAGCAACTAGGTCAGGAATCAAAATACAATAGACGGTTCGCAAAAACCCCGAAAGTGCAAGTTCAGGCACCAGCCAATCAGTGAAGACATTCTGCGTTGTCAACGATTCCCAAGATCAAGGTTTTAAAGCCGGAACAAAGAGAATGTTTGGTGAATTTTATCAAGAGGAAAGATGTTTTTGCCCTTCTTCCAATGGGATTTGGGAAATAACAGCGATTGGTTAAATGATAAAAAGTACCCGCCTACCACTGAGCGAACAAATTCTAATCCTGCGAGGTCAGACGGTTTCACTTTGTAGAAACCGACTGATGAATCAGGCTATGATCACAGCCAGGTGCTTCTGATATAAAAGCCCATCTGCAGGAGCGGGGTCTGAAGTGTGGATACCTGTTCGACCAATCACACTGCCTCTTATACCTCCAAACGCCTCCTCCCCCCTCCCTCTGTTTGAAATGTGCTTGTGGGAGGAGTTTAGGTGTGTAATCTCGCTTTAACTTGGTTGCTTAGTAACAGTTACTCCCCTCCCCGTGTCTAACCAGAAAGTTAAATCATGACCTTTACCAAAATTGTCAAACTATGGAAAATTGTGCAATGCTTCATAAAATCATATGTGTAACTTTTAGATTGGGAGTCCGTCACCTGTTTGTTTCTGTTGCTCTGCCTGGAATGTTCCACAGTATGACATTAAACAGCTCGACCTTACATTTATTACATTACAGTCAGCGCAAAAACGCTTAAAAAACAGATATTCTGACTATGAGCGCAGTTGTCTCTCCACAGATCTGACCTGTAACACACATTTGACAGACCCTCTACCAGAAAAGCTACACCGTGCGTCTTTAAGTAGTCCAGTGGTGTCTTGAGAAGGAGCGTGAGCCGTGCCGGGGCTGGAGCAGTGGTCGGAAGTTGCCAGGCCGCTTGTGGTTTCATAATGACAGAAGAATGGAGTGTTACATGTGATTTTCTTCTGGTCTTGGGAACGAGATCTCACCAATAAAAACATAATCCGCAGGCTTTGAGGAAATCTCGGCTTTCAAGTTCACTTTGGTTCAAAAATGTCGGAACATTTAATGAATAAATCTGGACGGTTAGTGCTGCTTACATCTCTGATTTATTACAGCGAGCACATAAAACACTGAGGCCAAAAGTGACTGTCTCGTTAGATTGTACAATAAAATAATGCAACAAATGAAACGCAATTAGCCATAACATTTAACATCCATCTTTAAAAAAAACTTCTGTGGAGTATTAACTGCTCACACATAACAAATTTAGATCACCACGTTACCTTTTATTGTTTTGAAAATGCTGGATTTGTCAAAAACAATGTATTAACATCCCCGAGTCTCTCCTCCTTTCGCTCCCCATGCTAAATCCCCCCCTTCAGAGCACCGTAAAATACAATCAAAGTGCATCCCGCTAATGAAACTACTGCACGTTGCGGATTTGTCAAGTTGTCATGAACAATTTTGTATCATGTTTTTGTATATTTATGGAGAAGTGTCGTGTGGGAGCATGGGGAACGTAGACTTGTGGGCGGAGCCTCGAACAGGCTCGTATTGCTAAAACATAAGGAGGATTAGAATAGGGCCCAGGAGAGATCACAGACATGACTCAAACATGCATGGATGACTAAAACTTCTTCGGGCGTGTTTTGGGATTTGGGAATTTATTACATGACCTAGAAGTCTAAAGAAAACAAACCAAAAAACAAAACAAAATCACCATTTACCATTTACCACCAAAGATTATTTATGAGCTGACTGGTGATGTAGTTAAAGCTATAGTATGTCACTTTCTGGAGGTGGCACTCAGCTGCATGATTCCAAAGAAAAAGAAATGTAAAACAATACTCCTGAACACTGGAGATAAGCATGTTTTATACCACGCTGTGGAAGATTATTAGCCCGATTCATCAGCTGGTTTCTACAACGTGAAACCTCGCAGCGTTAGAATTCGTTCGCTCGACGGTAGGTGGGTACTTTTTATCATTTAACCAATCGCTGCTATTTGGTCATGACCTATGTAATGCGCTGCTAATGAGACTAACTATTATATTAAGCTTTTCCCAAATCCCGTAGGAAGAAGGACAATAACGTCTTTCCCCTTGATAAAATTCACCAAACATTCTCTTTGTTCTGGCTTTAAATCCTCGATCTCGGGAATCGTTGACAACACAGAATATATGGCTCTTTGCTGATTGGCTGGTGCCCGAACTTGCACTTCCGGGTTTTTTGTGAACCATCTGGTGGATTTTGATTCCTGACCTAGTCGCTGGAGAGAAATTAAATTAAGCGGAGGCACTAGGTGGCACCAGCCTGGATAGAAGTTTATAGCCAAAGGAAGAATATTTCCACTGAAACAAAACTCTCCTCCAGGCCAAATAAGTTAATGGAGATGCAAGCCTGTTCACACTGAAGGCCTATGTTTTTCAGTGCAATAAATGCAAGAAAAATTAAACTACAACACCTTAATTTTAGTAAATTTTTTGGCTAAAAAAAACATACTGTGGCTTTAAGGGGGGACTGTAAATATGTAGTCATGAGAACACTTGGCGTTGGCTCTCCTATCAAGTTAAATCAATAAATAAATTAATGACAAATAATAAAAAATTTAATAAATACATAAAACATAAATTTGAGAATCTAGGACATAAAAAAAAAAAACTGGCACAATTTGCTTTTCCTATAAACCTCCTGTACTTTTCTCTCCACATTTCAGCGGGTTTGTGTTTTGTTGCCAGTTGCTGTGCCTTAAATTGTTAACCTTTGGCTGTGGCCCAGATCTCCTCAGGGATAATGACATGGTGGAGCTGCACAAACATCTGCAGATCCTCCTCTTCCCCTTTCACAACATCTGCAGATCCTCCTCCTCTCACACATCTGCAGATCCTCCTCCTCTCACACATCTGTAGATCCTCCTCCTCTCACACATCTGTAGATCCTCCTCTCCTCCTCTCACACATTTGCAGATCTTCCTCTCCTCTCCTCACACATCTGTAGATCCTCTCTCCTCTCACACATCTGCAGATCCTCCTCTCACACATCTGCAGATCCTCCTCTCACACATCTGCAGATCCTCCTCCTCTCACACATCTGTAGATCCTGCTCTCCTCCTCTCAAACATTTGCAGATCCTCCTCTTCTCCTCTCAAACATTTGCAGATCCTCCTCTCCTCCTCTCACACATTTGCAGATCTTCCTCTCCTCTCCTCACACATCTGTAGATCCTCCTCTCCTCTCACACATCTGCAGATCCTCCTCTCAAACATTTGCAGATCCTCCTCTTCAAACATTTGCAGATCCTCCTCTCCTCCTCTCACACATTTGCAGATCCTCCTCTCCTCCTCTCACACATTTGCAGATCCTCCTCTCCTCCTCTCACACATCTGCAGATCCTCCTCTCCTCCTCTCACACATTTGCAGATCCTCCTCTCCTCCTCCTCTCACAATACAAACACTCCCCCCTCCCCCCTGGTCTTCTGATGAGACGGGACACACACGCACTGGAAACGATAACGCTCTATAAAAGTGGAACACCTGGATGAGGATCTGAAGAGTGAGCGTTTGGGAAGCTGCAGTTTGTCAGAGTGAGATAATGACAGGCCTGTGGTTTGGCAGAGGTGTCACGGCCCTAACATGTGCAAATACAACTGCTTTAAGCACCTTTCACTTCTGCTTTCACCTTTTTCTAAGCATTACAAATTGGAATAAGCTTTACATTTGCACATATCCACAAAACTATTCTTCATTGTGACATTTAAAAGTAACTGAACTTAGAAAATGTTA